GCGGGATTTCTCAGCCAAGCAAATGGCCACCCATTTGCAGATCGCGACGCGCGATTCAACTTGGCGACATATAGCGCGTAAAAAGCGAGGTGAACTTTCGACATCTGACGAAAATCCGCCGCACCATCGGCGGAATCTGTTCTTGCTCCTGTCGCTTGCTTCGCGTAGAAGACACGCCGGCTGAGTCCTCACGAGCGAGCGCACGGCGGGTGCAAACCCAAGGGGAGCGTATTACAGCGGGGCGAAATAATTTCCTGGTGTCCTCCGCAGCCACGAAGGAGGAAGAACGGAAGCGAACTGGTCTTTCACAAAGTTTCTTGGACACTCGAAGAAGCTTCTCTCTCTCCTGCCGAGAAACTGCCGGATAATGGTCCCGGTAGACGGAGCGACCAAGTGATCCTTGCGGGATAAAGGGTGTGTCGCACACGTACGTGCAAAAGGCACCCGTCTTGTACGTGTGTGTCTATGTGTGTCTATGTGCGTGTGCATATGCATGTGTGCGTGTATGTGTGCGCATGTATGTGTGTACGTGTGCACCGGCTCCTACAAAGCGTATCCTACGTGCTTGCTCCTCCACGGAGAATTCAGCGGAAAGACCAAATCTCTACATCCTCCTTTTCGACGTAATGACTGCGCCGCGACGTTTCGCCCTTTGCTACGCGAGACCCAGGCTGTGCGCACTTTAATCGCTCCCATAAATGTCGCTTAATATAATTCATACGCGAATTCCGTGACCTTATTGGCGGGCGATCAATTAGTCGCACGGACGACTGATCGTCGGACGTTACTCGCGATCGATATCTCTGAGAAATCGGTTCGTCCGCGCGACAAAGGGATCAGCGATAAATGCGTCGTGATTTCGGACGGTCGAAGAAAAGCGACAGCAAGGTGTTAATTGAAAAACTTTCGAGAGAGACGAGATCAGTGTCGGCGTGGGTGAATGAAGCAAGTCAAAATCGAAAATATTTTTAATATACGTGTGTCCTGTTGTTTGCGATCGAATTAACATATCGATGAAACATCACGGCAATATGCTCTGTCACTCACTCTGAAGAGTCAATTATCAGAGTCAATCGCCGAATGATGAATTTCCCAAGTCGAGCCGACTCGTCTTGGGAAATGCAGCCCGCTCTCGCTCGGAAGCGATTCGACAATTAATGACATTCCGCGAATTTCCGCGATATGGCGCGACGATTCGCCGCGACGCGCGTTCCATCCGAGCGTGGACGATGCTGACGTAGCGAGGGAAGCGGCATAGCGAAAAAATCGCAACTCACCCCCTGCGCCTCGCCTCAGCTCGGACGTCGAAATTTTTCTCCGCACGCTCGCAGAAAGGGATCCCCCTTGCCACTTCTTCGACGGAGTCGCGAGTGTCCGTCCCTAGCATTAAGTATAAAGAGGTGGATATCTCTTTCCCCGTTCGCGATATAATGGGGGCTCGTCGAGTTTCCCTCCGCCACCGAGAGCTCACCCACCCACTTGGCAGGCAACCTCGTGATCTCTCTCTCCCATCTACTCGGAGAAAGAGCGAGCGAGAGAGAGAGAGAGAGAGAGAGAGAGAGAGAGAGAGAGAGAGAGAGAGAGAGAGAGTGAGAGAGACAGAAAGAGAGACGGAGAGAAAGAAAGAGAAAGAGAGAGAGAGAGAGAGAGAGAGAGAGAGAGAGAGAGAGGGTGTACCACCGACCAAGCCAGAATCCCCCGCGGTCGAAGGCACTGGCCCGAGAAATTCAATTACTGCTAAACTTCTCTCGACCGGAGACTCTCCCCCGGCTCGTCTATATACTACTGTAAGCACTCTGTTTCGAAGATCGGCCGGAGAGAGAGACATCTTGGGTCTCTTTCTCTCTCTCTCTCTCTCTCTAGCTATCTCCCTTCGTTCTTCGCAGGTATATGCGCGGTGCACTCGCCACCCGTAATTGAAACCAGGTGCGCCCAAGGAGTTTCTTCGTCGTGACGGACAACGTCATTCGTTTTTCGTAGTTTCTCTTTTTCTTTTCTTTTTTTCATCGGTCTCTACGACACTACAGTCCGTCCTGTCAACGAGTGAAATTTTCGTGAGAAGAGGAGGACTAGGGGGCTTGTGGATCAGTCACGATAATTTCTCGCGTGAGGACGAGACTTCTCGAGGACGGGCATTCGGGGGTGAGGGAGGAAGAACAAACGAGGAAAATTCTGCTAGCTGACGACCCGGAGAGATAATATATGCTGAACGACACTGAAATGCTCATTGAACGGCGCAGAGTGTTATCGGCGACTACGATGCAAATCGAGACTTTCGACCGGTGAGCGCGAATGGTAGTTCTTAATTACTTTTGAATTACTTCGGCAGAAGTTGAAGAACGTCTCCTTCCTCTCGACGTCCTTCTGCTCTGCCTTCGTATCTCCTTTTCTCCTTTTCTTTTTCGTCGGCGACAGAATCCACGTTCCACAGAGAAGCGCGGCAGCACTTTCCCCTCGCGGCAAGAAAATGTTCGCCTGTGATATTCTTTGTCGACACGGTTCGCCCTTTTTTCGCGCGCTTCGAATTCGCCCGGGGGACGATCTTTATCAGACCTGTCCTGCTCCTCTCGCCCCCTTCGTTTCTCTCTCTCTCTCTCTCTCTCTCTCTCTCTCTCTCTCTCTTTCTCTCTCTCTGGTTTTTTCGCTTCTACGTGACATAGACGAACGTACATCGCAGGCAAAAAAGTCCGATTTTTGTAATAAAAATTACAAGCACTGGTAGACAGAAAAAAATATCTTATATCTGCTTCAGCTGCGAAACAATCGTTTCTGCCAGCAAAGTTTTAAAAATGCATGACTTTTGTGTAAAAAACGTCACGTATCGAAATATAACAAAAATTGTATAATGGAACCGAGTAAGATTTTTACCTTCTTCATTTAATCATCGCGGATGGTTTCTGTTTGACATTTTAATTTCCGCTATTTAAACATTTTTGCTCGAATACTTCAACGTGCGCCTCGCAAGCGGGGAGAAAAAACTTTCTCTCCGTCTAATCAACGTGGATTTACTTCTATTCGAGAATTTAATTTTCGCTGCCTCGACATTTTCATTGAGAACTCCAACAAGTGCCCCGCCGCGCACGGAAAAAGCACGCTTCGCCTAAATAACGGTTTTAAAACGCAACGCGTGAGCAGTTATAAATGGATCCGCCTGCGCGCGGGTTTCGTTGCAAGTGTACGGGCTGAGTGGACATGCGTGTAACGAGATGTCACGATGCAGATGGATTTTATTAACCGCAATTATATCCGCGAAGCGCGGTCTCTTTCGGACGTCACCGCCAGAGGTAACAATAAAATGCAACGCGCGCGCGCGCGATAGAAAAATGCTACATAGTAGAGTGGCCGCGCACCGACGGAACCGACAGTCGATTGCAACTGCATTGTTATAAAGTGATGCTCCATCGCAACTGGCGCACCCCCTGTAAAGTGATGCCCGCCGGGAAAAAGCCGATTCTTATGGCTCACATAATTGTCAGCGGACTTTTGCGTCACGCGATCCCCATTACTCGCGTCCCATTTGATTTTTAACGTTACACATCCCGATGATTAAACCCGCTCTTAATCTCATTTACGTTTCTGAGCTTCGAAATCGATCAGGGGATGAATTTTCGAATCTATAATCGAATCACATCTTCGAATCCTCATTTGCGAAAATTCCAATTTACATTTAACAACTGCCTAGCCAAACTAATATCACCGATTTTTCTCCGCGGCGATATGAACTTTATTCTCGATCGAAAAACCGATGTAATGTTCATACAAGCAATAAACGACATCGTTATCCACTATCCGCTACGTTAAATCTGATAAGCAAATATGTAGTGATACCATATCCTGAAATATCAAGGACGGCGAGTCGGCGAGCCCGACATTAACGGTGTTTGTCTGTGGCTAACAAGGAGCGTGCATTGTGCTGTAAAGAAATGGCATCGAAATTTAAAAATGTCCGCCCGTTAACGCACAAAGCTGCGGCAAGGTGCGTTTATCAGAGGAGCGAAAACGCACTTGGGCTTATGCCAGGTCGCGTGTGCACTCCACTTATTCTGTATATATAATATATAGGGTGAGAATGAGTCGTGGCGGAAAAGAAGCCTGCGAAAGGAGAAGAGCGGAAGGGTCGAGGCGTAACGGAGAGAGAATTAAAGGCACCCGCCACTAACGAGAGTACGACTTCTGCTTCGAGTGGCATAATAAGGGCCCGCGAGCCTCGCCATTATTTACTTAACATTATGGCCATAGCGGCCACTTGCCCTACTTAAAGACGTGTACGCACGTTCCTAATGGGCACTCGTCCGCAAGTCATGCGTGTGCCGACACGCACATGCGCGGCCGCTTCGGTCGCGTGCCGCCGTTTATTATACCCTGTATTGCGCTTCTGTTGCTACTCGCCACAGCGCGAAGCTATTTTCTTCGCCGTGTTATGAGCGTAACATTTGTACCGACACGTCGACGGCACGACGACGGAGACTCGTTGAACTCGATCGAGAATGAATTTGAGACGGTGAGAGGACGACCGGAAGACGGCGATCACCCCCGCGAATTGTCGTGAAGAGTCGAGTCCAAGAAAGGCGGAAACGAACGCCTTGTCAGTTAAAACCTGAGGACCTGTTAATCACTTGAACTACCGAGCGATCAAAAATTATCGGCTCCTCTATCAAGTAAGATCCTCTATTTTAAATTGAAATTCAAAAATTGTAAACTGAGATTTATATGCGACAGGCTTCTAATATATTTCTGAGGGACCTTGAAGGAAACTCAAAGAAATGAATAGACGCCTTCGTCTCCTCGTATCTCGTCCTCGCCGGCAGGAATAAGACCGCGTCGTGTTCATCGTCTCGGTGGTACTCGGTGTTACGCAATACCATCGTCGATTTCCCCGAGTCTCGCCGTCGCAACTGCGTCCTCGAGATTCCAAAGGCCGCCGGAAGGCGGCCGGAAGCGGAGCTCACCCCCCGCGATCGGGGTGATCTCGCGAACCCAGCAGTTTGATTGCGACTCACCGGTGATGCCACCGCCGCCGACGATAGCGTCGCCCTTCTCGACCTTGGGCTGCCGATACTCGTCCTGCGTGGACCTCTTCCTCGGCAGGAGGCCGCATTCTGGCTGGTGCTGGAGCTGCGTCTGGATGTGCGCGGCGGCGGCGGCGGCGGCGGCCGCGGCCGCCGCGGGTATCGCGATGCCCGCCGGACTCCCTACGTGCGCCGGGTGCGGGGGCGGGCTACCAGCTGGCGTCGCGCCGGCGGCCGCCGGCAGAACGGGGGCGGTGGTGCAGCTGCCGGTATTGTATTGCAATTGCAGGCCCAACTCGCGCGCCTCGCTCTCCTCCTGGGCCTGCTGCCGTCTGAGCGCGACCTGAAGCAGTTTGTCCGACGCTTGAGAACCGGCCGCCGAGGGGCGGTGAAGCGGAAAAATCAACGTGGAACTCGTTAATTTGTACGCTCGTCGACGGGGGCTGCGGAGGGTGGCAGAAGCGGCTCGTGCTTATTTAACGCGCGTTAACCGCCACCACGCTGATTTTCACCGATTATTTTAGCTATTTAGCGCTATTGCTCGTGTTTCGCTACGCGACGGTAGCTCTCTCCGTTGGGGGCTGACTCAAGGGCGCGGGGGTGGGGGGGGAGGGGGAATTCAACGAGGGGATCTCGCGAAATGGTAAGCGCTCTTCGAGCTCGGAGACATGAGCAGGAGCAAAAGATCTCAACACGTTGGTGTCGGTCTGCTCGGTTAAACGTGTTAATTATGTGATGTGTAGCGAAACGGTAGCGAGATGAAGAAACAAGAGACCAACAACTGGACGGAGTCCACTTCTACGCGAGTAGATCGCGGCGGACGATGTTCATGTTGAAAATTTCAACGTCAAACTTTCACCGATCAGTGGAGACCGGACGATCCAGCGTTCAATCAATTCTCATTTTATGTTTCACGACACACGAAGAACTTATTAATTTCGCGCTAGGTATCCGCTGGCAAGGGGAGGGAGGGTTAACGTGTTAACACATTCCCCCGCGAGTAGCAAAGTAGATTCCGGAGCTTTCCGCGTCGCAAGATCGTGACAATTACGTGTGTATCGCTTAGTTGTTGAGCAGAGCGAGCGAGCGAAGGCTCGTCGAAGGAGGATGTTGAGATTTCCAATGAAATTGAACCGGGCTGGGCATAAGCCGATCATGCCGAGGATGCTCGAAGCGGAATCTCAGGTGTGTGTGTGTGTGTGTGTGTGTGTGTGTATAGTATTACGACCCTGCGAAACGTTACATGAGCCGGTAATTCTACCCGCGATCTGTCGGACACACTAATGCGCCCGCGTCACATCGGCGGAATTGTGTCGGTGACAGCTTTTATTTGCGGATATCGGATATAGATTATCTTGGATAAACACGCGTACGCGTACTACTCGATAATATGTATAATGTGACATCAAACAGGGCGCGATCACGCGAGGGGGACTAAAGGGCAATTTGGGTTACAGTTATAAACTCATATTTCGGAAGAACACGCAATAATGGCGCATAAGTGGCGAGTTAATTAACGATCGGCAGAAATCGCACGCAAAATGAGATCCATTGGACGGAATATTTTACAACGACTGCCGCTGCGAGGGTTATGAGGTTTCGATTAAACAGGCATTTTATCTCGGCTCTATCGCTCGTACGTTTTTTTACGTGATCTACGATATATTCCGATATTTCTTCACACTTTTGCGCGCAGCCATGAATAGACCTCCTCAACGATGAATCACAGTGTCTAGGATCCTGACGATAATCGTCACAAGAAAATCCTCATCACGATCGCTCAAGTCCCACAATCGCGATCACTCTCCTTCTTCGCGCTCCGTCGAAGGAATTTACCAAGCCGACATGGTGCTGGCACGTCGTCCTTGTCAGGCTGAGGTATCGGAGATTGAAAATTGCGGATTAGAGATTAGAACTCGACGAACCGATTAATTCTGATTCTGGTATTCTCATTCGTTTCATCCCGACCGATCGAGTTTCAACCTTCACCCTACAGCTCTCAGTTTCCAATACCCTACAGTCCACTAAACGCTTCATAGACTTTGAAGCATTTTTTTATGCATGCAAACGCGTTCCGGAAGGAAGGAGACAGAATTTCCGATTCCCAGGATCGAATTTGGTGTGTAAAAACTAAAAGCTCTATTGATGTTTCCTTCAACCCCGAATGCATATAGTTCGTTCAGCACAACATGTCCCGAAATCATCATGGGACGTGCCTGGGACGTTCTAGGACACTGTCCAGGCGCTTTCCGAACGCGCTCTAGATGATACTGGGATGCCTTGTGGCCTTTACGTGGGAGATCATAACGTAATTGAGGCAAATATTATCCGTTTGAAACGTTTCAAAGCGTCTAAAGGTAGATCCAGACTTGTGTCGCATCACCGTATCGTATCATGATCGCATATCGTAATCGGCCAAGGATGGACGGGACATTGTATCGTTTTTGCGCATCGTAACCGCGTATCAAAGTGACACGCAGATACGATTCGACTACTTGAAGTCAGCATTTTGTTTTTTTGTTTTCCACCTAGCACGCGTTCGTATCTTTGGTTCCATGTTACCTCCCATAGAGATAATGTCTCTTTCTCAGCAGTTAGCCACTGCTAGCTACATTTTACTTCATTATTTATTGAAGAAGCAAGGAAGGAAGGCATGATGGTGATACGATCTGGAAGTCTGAGCCTGGACCTGGTTTACGGCATCCCGTTCACATTCGGCCGACCATGATACGCAATTACGATACGATGGTGCGACACAAGTCTGGACCCACCGTAACGGGTCCTACCTCTGGACGCGCAAGGAGCAAGAGAGTTTCCCAGCCAACGTGTGTCGCGGCACGTCCGTCAGCTTCCTGGCGACGGCTTCTTACCTGTGCGGCCATGACGCGCTGCCTCTCGGCGATGAGGGTGCACTTGGCACACACGCAGTCCCGCCATCGGCAGTAGCGCTTGTGGCCCTTGAGCGCGGACACGACCCCGTGGTTACGACATCGCGCGCACTTGGGGGTCCGCTGGTACCTCTCGGCACTGGCGCGCAGGAAGAACGCGGCCGGCAGCACATGATGTTGCTGTTGCTGTTGCTGATGCTGCATCAATTGGCCCACGTCGACGCCGAGGCCGACGCCGCGGGGTAGCGACATGCTCGTTCACTGCACGAACGCGCTCGGCGAGCGCTCTCTCGCTGGCGGGGTCGATATCGTTGACGAGGATCAGCAAGCCGAGGCCGTCGGGGCGCATCAGCGTCGTCGGTGGCGACCGCGCGCGTCGATCACCGCGCGTCGCGGCCGATCCGGCCCGGGCGCGGTACCGCGTACTCGGCGACGCTCACCCCCATGCCGGAGGCAGGCATGACGGCGACTCTCTTTCTCTCTCTCTCTCCCTCTCTCTCTCTCTCTCTCTCTCTCTCTCTCTCTCTCTCTCTAGGAAGCTCCGATGTATCAGCACCAACCACCTAGCCGCGGAATCGATAGCCTCTTCTTGGCCTGCTCGACACTGTCGCCGCGCTCGCGTCACGGTTCAGCCGTTCTACCCGACACCCGTGGCATCCTCGTCATCGACACGTCGTCGTTGTAGGTGAAATTCGAGCCTCGCGACCGCCGGCTTCGCGGCACCAACGAAACGCGGCAAGAGATACGCGGGATACGCGGGCCAGCCAAGTAGGTAGTTAGCTAGCTAGCTAATTAGGTAGCTGTACGGAGGTAGATAGGTACTACCCGGTAACCGTACGCGCGCACGCGCCCGCACTTCCGCGAATCCGCACTTCTGCGGCCGCTGCCTGTCACGACGTGGAGAGAACGACACCCGCTCGTTCGGCGGTCGTGGGCCGAAATGCGGAATCGCCCCGCGACATACACTCGCCACCCCTCTCTCTGTCTCTCTCTCTCTCTCTCTCTCTCTCTTTTCGCTCCGCTCCGTCTCTCTCACTCCCGCTCGCTCGCCGGCATTGTCAACAATTGCAGCATCCCGGGTGAGTCGATTCAGGTAGCGCGCGCGGATAGACAGAGAGGCGGTAGCGCGCGCGACGCGGCGGTATCGGCGGTGGCGGCGGCAGCAAAGTGGGAGCTCAAGGGGGCCGTAGTCGGCGGTGGCGGTGGCGGCCGCCGCCGCCGCCGCCGCCGCCGCCGCCGACGGCGGCAGGGCGGAGGACACGAAGAGGGAGAGAAGAAGAGGGAGCGAGTGTGTGACACGATCCGCGGAGGTTCGCGCGCGCAGAGAGGGTAGGGGGTGGTTCGTGGAGGGGAAGGGAAGGATAGGGCAGAAACTAACGGTCCCCTCCACACTCCACACGCGAAATAAAACACTGTGCCACAGTGTTCCACCCCGGGGCCTCGGCCAAACGCGAGGTCGCTCTGTGCTGCAACCACGCCTCCGTCCGCCACCGATTGGCAGGCCTGAGCTGTACCAAACGGAGATGTTAAGAGTTTATATCTGCCGGAGTTGAAAGGGGGACATACCTAGCCGCGTACCCACCTACCATACCTTTACCCACTCTCGCCACGGGGTCGGGGTGTAAGTATGCGTCGTCGGTTGTGTGTATCTTCCGTATAGCGCGCGGTGGCCGATGGTGGTGACGGTGATGGTGATGGTGACGGTGGTAGCAGCGGCAGCGGCGGCGGCGGCGGCGGCGACGCTGGCGGAGGTGGTGCTGGTGCTGGTGGTGGTGAGGAGGCTGATGGTAGTGGTGGGTAGTACCGCCGCGCGCGCTACCGGTGTGACGGTGGTGGTAGCACGGTGGTGGCAACGGACAAACACATTACTCTTTTATTTAAAACCCGTTCCGGCATAAAACACAATGCCGAGCGATGCTCAGACGTTTCTCCACGCTCCGCCTTTTGTTTCGGCCGACTGTTCTTAACCACGCACGCCTTCCTACTCGTCCTCCTGGTCCTCTCTCGAGAAAACGTGTCCTTTCTTCCTTTTCCTTCTTCATTTTTTCCTTCCCTCTATCGTCCGCGCCACGATCCATCTCTATCACCCTCTCTCTCTCTCTCTCTCTCTCTCTCTCTCTCTCTCTCTCTCTCTCTCTCTCTCTCTCTCTCTCTCTCTCTCTCTCTCTCTCTCTCTCTCTCTCTCTCTCTCTCTCTCCTTCTCTCTCTCTCCTCCTCGAGATCCCCGCCGCCCCCTTATGTCTCCCCCCGAAGAGTTTCACCCTCCCTCTCATGCCGCTTCGCTCTCTTTCGCTTGATACGGTCTATAAACCGCAACCAACACCGTCATCGCGACGAGCCTTCTTTGAATCATATTGTACAATGAGATTTGAATGGGCAGCGGGAGGGGGAAAGAGAGATGGAGAGAGAGAGAGAGAGAGAGAGAGAGAGAGAGAGAGAGAAAGAGAAAGAGAGAACAGCCCTATTGTCGTTTCGCCAATGGCGGCCGATTTTATAGTGATCTAATGTACAGATGTTATTTACCCCGCAATGAGAATAGAATAAAAGCATTGTGCGCATTATGATTTGGATCCCGTATCTCTCTACGTTTCTACCTACCTACCTACTCACCCCGCCAACCCACCTATATATAACTACCTACTTACCTACCTACCCTTTTGCCCAACCTAAACTACCACCACCGAGAAGCACGTGATATATTTAATGTAGACGCGCGTGGAGTCGCAAAAGGAGCCGCTCCCGTTTGTCCTTGTACGCGTTTCTAAGCTCGGAAAGTAACAATCGCGGTGTCGGTCGTCTCATATGCTCCGATATATTTCTTTACGAATGTATAAATCGCGACGCGAAGGGGATCGCGTCCTGAGAGGGGCGTACGATGTAAGAGTGGCTACTCGGGGAGGAGAGACTCACACAGGGAGAAGAAGAGAAAGAGAGAGAAAGAAAACAGGTTTACACGACACAGAGCTAATCCGCGAGGCTGAAACTGGTTTCACGCGGGCAAGGTGGTAAGGTGAAAAAGCGCCATTGTCGAGCTTAATACGTATATCTAGCGTTATCCATATACGTCTTTCTCGGCCGTTTCGATAAATCGCGCGCGGCGGAGGGTGGCGGAGAGTGGGGGAGTTCTCTCGCGCATTTGTGTCGCGAGTCGTGTCGCGCGTCACGCGCAATTTCCGCTCGGTCCAAATTATTCACATTGTAATTTGGCAATCGAATCAGAAATCGGAGTCGCGCGCCGGGCGTCATCGAGGAGAGCGCGCAATAAATATAATCGCGGGCGGCGCTTTTTTCGCGACACACGCGAAGGGATTTTTCAATTGGACGGCGAGCAAATTTGAGCAATTTTTAAAGTATCGCGCACGTGAAGGTGTGTACGCTCACGCCGCGGTACATGCATGATATATATATATATATATATATATGAGTATACATATGTGCCGCACGGGCACGGACCCTGGTTTTTTTTTTACTCTCGCGTATCGGCCACTCAAAGCAAATACGCGCGCCGATGGAGAAATCAATAAACCAATAGAGAGGCACGCCAATACATGCCCGCTTTATAAAGTATCACGCACTTTTCGTACAAGCCGAAACGCAAAATTCGAGGAGTCATGAGACGAGCGCGAATATCGGGAATCGCACGCTTTCGTCTCTGCGGAATGTCATTTGAAATTGCTATCGCGGAAAATTACAAACCGGTGAAAAGGGTCGCGTCCGTCGAACTTTTCTCTCAGGCGACAGGCCGATATAAATTACTTTCGGATAATGTGGATTTAAATCTCTGTTTTGTCATCTTCTTCATACAGTTTTGTAATTCTCGATATAAAATTGTCGGACAACAGGACGTTCATGTATCAGCGATTCGCTCGAAGTTTGTCGAAGAGGATATCGAGGGAGACTTTTATGTTCGTTGATTTCTTCATGCTTTTTTATATGTATAGTCGTTCGCAATTTATATCTCGCCCATGATTCTCTAGTTTTCGATTACTGAGAATTTTCAAACTATCGACGTTCTGTCACTGAAACACCCACGTTATTTTCAGTTTGTCGTCTAATATTTATCATTCGCAGGAAGTGAGACGTATTTCCCGATAAGTTCTTGTGTTCACCGCAAAACGATATCGTCTTTGCAAATGCGCTATAAATCATTCAGTTTTTTTTTTAACAGACAAAAGTTTGCGAAATATACATGCGTACGTTCACAAACTTAGATATCATTCATCATTCGCATGATTCGCGCATTTCTTTGACGCTTCGCAAGAAAGATCGATACAGCGAACTCTCCCACGGTCTTTAATTCCCGTGCTCGAAATGTTTCCGAAAAGTATCCGGTTTATCTGCGATGTCGAGTGGCTCGGAGCGGAGCATTGTTCGCCCACGCACTCGAGATTTCCCTCGGGCTGTACTCCCCCTAGGTAAACAGGGTGAGATCAAGATCAAGATCGCGGCAATATCGAATTACGATGTTTGCAAACGTCGAGTTGACCCCGCGACACTAGACGACCGCCCGAGATCGAGAGAATCGGCGACGCGCGATCGGATAAGCGAGATTAGATTATAGTCGCCACGTCAAAGCCGCACAAAGCAATTGCAGGGTAAGAGGTGCTTGCATGCGCCTCGATGTAACCTGCTCGACACGATGAATACAACGATCGTTTCGTCGGAAAGATTATACGGATCTCGTCGGATGGAGATTTCAATCTGATATAAAAAGAAAAAAACACGTGTAAAAATTTACTAATTCGAGATGTGCAATTTTTTTTTTTTTAATGGAACCCAGAATGCGATAAAAAAACATCATTGCAAGCATGTTTTTTTGCTCAGGAAACATGGTTTCGCAACTATATTCTCTTATATTCACTGCAAATTTCCAGACAAACGGCGGCGCTTTGAATTTAACAATTGAAAATTACAAAAATACATCTACGATATATCTCTCCTTCCTCTTCCTCTCCCCTTTTCACCCTTCAATTCTGCAAATCCTTCATTCCTGGCAGACATTTAATTTTTTTACAACGAATTTGTTTATCAAGATTAAGATGCGTTAAGCTTCTCGACGTGCCAACCGAGACGGGCTCGCGCCTCATCGACAGTTGCCAAGACGATAACGATTGATGTCTCAGCATCGCTACGGATGACACCGCCGGATGACACACAAACGTCGGTGCACACAAACGCACGTGGACGAACCGTGCACGCCGGTGTGTACGCTATTCACGCCGCTGTCGGGTCGCAATGAAGCCGCCGCGATCTCGTCGCGATCTACCGCGCCGGTGAAATACCGTATGACTTTTTGACGTGCTTTTAACAGATTGAATTGAAAATGGCTCCCTGGTTCTCTCCCGATATATCCACACGGGCATATCCATATCCGAGCCGAAACGACCGTGCGAACGGACGAACGAACGAACGGACAGACAGACGGACGAATGAGAGACACACGCACACCCACACATACACTCTCGCACGAGAGATATATAATTCTTCCTCTCCTCCCTCTCTCCCATCTCGATCTCTCGATCTCTCGTCCACCCCGAGGCTTCGTCCACCACTATCCGCCACCCTTCGCGCGACTCCTCTTCCTCCCTCTCTCTCCCTCTCTCTCTCTCTCTCTCTCTCTCTCTCTCTCTCTCTCTCTCTCTCTTTCGCTCTCTTCATTTTTGCACATTCGCTGATGCGGCACATTGCAAGCTGCGCCGGCGGAAACGACGTTGGGGACGGAGGAAGGGGTGAGAGAATACGAGAGAGGGAGAGAGAGAGAGAGAGGGACTGGATCGGTCAGTCGTGTAGGAGCCACGGAGGGGGTGCGCAGAAATAATGTCCCGGCTCATTTTTTAAAGCCGCCCCCGGCTATCGGGCCAGAGGGGCGGAGGGGAGGAGGAGAGCGGAGTGGTCAGGATTCTGCGGGCGAAGTGGAAAAAAAAGTGACGGACATGGAGATATAGGTGCGCACGGGCGACGCGGGGGCGCGATATTACGGGGCGCGATAGCCCCACGACCGACCGACCGACCGACCGACGACCGACCGACCGGTTGGTTGGTTGGTTGGTTGGTTGGTTGGTTGGCCGGTCCGGGCACTCGGTCCGCCACCGGATGAAACGGTCAAAGCTAAAAAGCACTCTCCGCCGAAACGGGCTATATATTATCTGCAACCCTTCAAACACAGAACCGTCCGCGGAGAGATCCATACATAACGTACGGATGTGCGTAAGCTCTCCTCATCCCTTCCTCCTCCTCTTCCTCCTCCTCCTCCTCCTCCTCCTCCTCCTCCTCCTCTTCCTCCTCCTCCTCTTCCTCCTCCTGCTCTTCCTCCTCCTGCGCCTCGCTCCCTGCGAAATCCGTCCGTCGCGAAAACGTATGCCCGCGATATATGCGCGATACCGCCGCCGCGTTTCATCCTTGCTCGAGTCAATTTGACACACCGACGATTTCTCTCTCTCTCTCTCTCTCTCTCTCTCTCTCTCTCTCTCTCTCTCTCTCTCTCTCTCTCTCTCTCTCTCTGTCTCTCTTTCTTCCTCCCCTCGTGCGTGAGGAAGGCCGAGAGAATTAGGTCTCTCGAAGGGTTTGCGTGGAGGAGAGAATTTCGTTGAATTAGCGCGACGACGACAGAACCGAGGGCGGTTTCGTAACGGAATTTCAGGCTCTTCTAGCCGAATCTGGTTCATCGGAAGCGGGCGTTCTTTCTTGTTCTTCTCCGAGCGAAACGCCTCTGGTGGCCGTTATGTAAATTCAAGTAATTTGCACAAGATGTTTGAAAGCAGATACCGATTGACCGTTTCGACAAATGGTCCGCGGAACATTCAGTCGCGCGAATATTTCTCTGGATTTTCCGGATGACCCGAACAACGCGATTTCCGCGAGGAATATTCGCTGACGCGGGTGTCTCGCGGCGCGAGTGAGGTAATAGATGCGTTCGATCGCGGTCGCGCCTCTTCAGCACTTTGTCGCCGCGATCTTGCACGCTCCGAGTGCGACAAAGCGATCTGCACCGCGATGCGAGGTCGCTTTCGAGAAAAATGTGCAATTTCGAGATGTAAATTATTGGACAACTGCGATGAAGCAAAGAAGCGTTGCATCGCGTTCGGATTCTCGATTCGACCAACGATGTAGCGAGCCATCTGCTCTTCAGACCATTTGGTCATTAAAAAAAAAAAAAATGGGCAAGGCCGATTTTGATACGCGTTGCGTGCATCACGTCATATACATATATATGTAACAGGCGCGTGTGCACGGAAGGGATGAAATGGGCGTGGTTACGAGGGGTTGCGACTTCTTGGTTGCGATCTCGTCGGCCAATGCCTGGCAGCTTTGCCATCTGGCAACTGTTGCAAACGCAAGCGCCGTCAAGCCTACCTTTGCGGGCTCGCTATAGGTCGCCCGTAATATCGGACTCAGCGCATCGAATTGGCGACGTACAGGCGCAGACTCGAACGCTGGGAAAGAAGAGTCCTCCTCGAGACCATGAGAGGTGGACTCTAAAGGTGGGTCTAGACTTGTTACGCATCACCGTACTCTATCATAATTGCATATCATGATCGGCCAGATGTGAACGGGATGCCGTAAATCAGGTGTAGACTTGCGTCGCATCACCATCGTGCTTCCTTCCTTCCTTTCTTCTTCAATAAATAATGAAGAAAAATGTAGCTAGTAGCAGCTCACTGGTGAGAAAGAGACATCATCTCTGCGGGAGGTTACGTGGAACCAAGGATACGAATGCGTGTTAGGTGGAAAACTAAAAACAAAATACTGACTTGAAATAGTCGAATCGTATCTGCGTGTCACCCTCGATACGCAAAACCGATACAGTGTTCCGTCTACATTTGGTCGATTACGATACGCGATCATTATACGATACGGTGATACGACACAAGTCTGGACCTATCTGGACGCGACTCAACTTAAATTGATTTTTTCGTCACGCTATTTTGCTCCTTGTGACAGTCTGTCGATAACGCGAATTACACAAATCGCGAATCGATTCGCCGATTTCGGCGGTCGAGTACTCTACGTACTCTTGAACAGCGCATGGAGACTGAGGATTGTGGATTTGCAGATTGAAACTTGGTCAATCGCGACAAAGCGAGAATCGAAATTAGCGGATCGTTGAATTCGATCTCTGGTCCACAATCTTCAGTCGTCCGTACTTGGTCTGACTTGAAGATATTTTGCTGCTTTTGGATTCTTTCGAAAAATAATTAATATTTATTATATTAATCCAATTATTTTTAATATAAATCTAATTATTATTAATATAATAATATTAATTAATTAATTCTTTCGAAAATTGATTTCTTTTTAATTGAATTGTATTTATATTTTTCATTTCTAGCTTGAAGACAGATTTATTCAATCTCAGTCATTAACATACGGTTGATAGAACGATTATAATTTAGAGTGCATTCAACTTATCGAAAAAGTATTATCATGCGCGTCGTTTTAATTTCAAAGTGTTATTTTATATAATTTGTTTTTTTCTTTTTTAAGATTATGACTCCTTTGGACAGCGTTCCAATGCTAAAAGCATGCTGTCTATTATCTGAGTCGTGTTACTGTAAAAGTATTTACACTTGTTGTCGGCTTTCGGATGACGATTATAAACGTCTTCCATAAACTCGCCGTCCGAGGTGAAGAACAAGATTCTAGGGACGTAGGTTCCGTCTGGTTGAAATCTCGCCTCGTCTTTCGCGGACATCTCACCTTTCCTCGCGTTCACCATAACGAAGCTACGTTGTCGCGTCGTGCATGCAATGAATTAGCTCGACATTAGATCGACAATCAACGTACGGACGGTTTTTCTCACTATAGAAATACGACTAAACGCCGCGCATTTGCATAGTTGGCATTTTTCTCAATTTCTACCTTGCTAATCAACTTGATTATCATAAAAGTCTACTCAAGTGAACTCACTTTAAACTGAACGGAGCGTATAACTGCTCCATTCTATTTTATATCTCTAAAGTTTTATATCTCTAAAGGTTCACCTTCGACCATTCCCTCATGATGTAAAAATCATAAATGCGACGATATTTTTTATGTTAATTATGTTAATTTTCGCATCAACACAAGTGCAATATAACATACGTTGTATGTAACATTTACATCGTTGAGAGAGAAATTATATAACACTTCGATGTCGAGTTAATGTTCATTGGGATAAGATAAAATTCGCGATCGAGTCGCGAGGTTACGTCGATGAAAATAGCAATTTCGAGAATCGGAACAGAGCGGTTGGTACATCGCAAGAGAGAGGTTATACTCACTGCTGGCTGAGATCGTGGATTCTGAGCGAGTTCCTGAATTTGGGTTTCAGCTTCTCGCAAGTGGGGCAGCCACTCTTGTAGATCAGGAGGAATATCGGCTTCCTGACGATTCTAGCCTCGTCGAAGGCTTCTTCCAAGTTCCTCCACTTGAACATGTGTCCGAAACCCTGCCTATCGTCGATCGCAATTACATTCCCGAACAGGTAACACGCCAGAGCGCCGAGTTTCCAGGAGCCGAGACACCTCGCGTAACGCATGACTGCAAATTTTCACCGTCTAAATCGTCCCATAGTTTGACACGCACGATAGTTTCCAGAACTTTCGGCCGCGACGTATAAATTAAATTCGCGCACGACTTCGCGCGGCTCTCAAGCGGCATACGCCCGCCATCTACCGGCGGCGAGCCGCGACGATACTTGACTCTCAAACGACCTACGTGCCGCCACCTGTCGGTGACGAATGAACATTACATCGAGCTACGATAATCTCTCATGTGAAGAAAATCGCGGTAAAGTTGCCAAAGTTAATTTGACAAATCTAAATTCCATTTATCTCTCCGCTTGCGGTAACCATTGAAATTCACACATTTTTGGGTACCACCAAATGCGGCAAACGATTACCCGATCGATTTTCTAAATACGCGCGCGTCACGCAAGCCGATATACCGACGCTTTCTTTATATATTCTTGTTTATACGCGTTTCGCGGTATAGGCATATATGACAAACTGCAGGAGATACAACGCTGTATATTACTACCTTTAAGTTCTGCTAACGGTAACGAGGAAGACAATCGCTTCAGCGGTAGACACGAAGAGGAAACAACCGGCCGTCCTCGCTCGGCTCGACGCGCAACGGAGTTGCAGTCTCGTCGGGATTATCATTCCCTCGAACTGGCGAATCTGTTATTTACCAACGCCGCAGTCGCGCGCTGGCCCCAGCTCTCGACGCCGGTGGCAGCACTGTGCGAGCGTTAATTTGCGTCGAACGACACGTATTTCGGCCGCCGTGAACTGCGTAAATTGCATTTCGCACGACGCGACGACTACGACGACGACGCCGCCGCCGACGATTATCACGACGACAGCGGAACACGGGAGAGCCGAATCAAGCAGAAGGTACGTGTCGCATGTGCGTGTCCCGTCCGTCCCCATCCCTCGCCGCCGTCCCGTCGTCTCCTCCGCGTAAGTGCCGTTCATCGTTCGTTGCCCGTCGTCGTCGTCGTCGTCGTCGTTGTCATCGTCGTCGTCGTCGTCGTCATCGTCGTCATGATGTGCGAGCGTGTACACAGACGGCCGATGATAGACGATAGAACGCGTCGCGTTCGTCCGTTCCCTCGCGCTCTCATCGGCTCGCCCGTTCTCGCTCCAGCATGCGTGAACGAACGATTTCACGCGGACCGGACGAGAGCGATCTCGTATATCCGATATGCGATAGCACATATGTATAGCAGCGATGCATACGCGCTTCTCGCGCAAAGATGGTCGACCGCCGCGAGCGCATCTGTCAAGCGATACAATGATCCTCGCGTGAAGCCGTGTTATGCACCGTTAAGGAACAGAGAACGTTGTCCGCGCGAATCGTCCGGTGACCGAGTGGCAAATTAAAGGTAAATACCAGGTCACGTCTCGTGTGCACCGAAAAACGACGGACGACGAATCGAGAGATCGCGCGCACGTTTCCATATGCGCGGCGAGAAACGCCGGGACACCGTCGTTGCCAACGTCTCTGCTCGCTCGCTCGCTTCATTGTTGACCCTCGTCTCGGCCGCGTCTGGCGAGCTGATCGGCTCAAGGTTGTGCATTTCGTCAGGCACCGCCTTGAAAGTAAACTTTTGCCCGTCTCTGTTCCCTCTTCCTCTCTCGTTCGCTTCTCTCTTTCTCTTTTTCTCCCTCTCCCCCCCCCTCTCTCTCTCTCTCTCTCTCTTTCTCAGAGACACGCATATAGACGGATTTCGCGTGGGCAAAATAAAGCCGGTGTGGACACGATTGATCGCCGACGGAGTTGCTCCATTGTGTGTTTACAAGCGGGTACGCGGGTTCGCGTCTCTTTGACGCTCGTGGAAGACGTTGAGGAAAGAGAAGGTCCCTGTGTTTATCACGATTTTCGTTCGCTTGAACATTACTGTGCACAGCATCGTCTGCGTTGCTGGTGTATGCGAAAATATACGTTGTTCTCTGGTGCAAACGTAAATAGCGAAAAACTTGCCCTTTTGTAACACGGTGAATTGAATATGATTTCTTAACATGGCCGCAAAGAGAGGCATTTTTCTCCTGATTATACGCTAAATATTGATAAAAGGGATTTTGCGGATAATTAACAGATTAACGCCGTTAAATATACTGGCTATGAAAATGAAGATTCCAAACAACGGGTCAGGCAATGGTTATTATGGGCACGACACAGGTATCATTTCCTATGTGGACAACAACATTGATACCGAGGCAGAAGTGCCAGCAACAGGCGATGGAGATTTCTCCGAGTACCTGTGGATGGAGAATGAGGAAGAGTTTGACAAACAGGTACTTGGCACGTAAACACAGAGTTTCTGAAAATTCCTCTTTTATTCCACGACATTTCACCGCAGGTACTCCAACAATTAGAAGAGGAGGAGCTGATGGAGGAGTGTTTGGAAGCAATGTTGGAGGAGGAGAGGCAACACGAAAGGAACATAAATTCGACCGCATGGTCCACAGCTACCGGGACCTCCGACAATAACACGACTGAACTCTGTCAGCAACTCAGTAATCTCAAAATGCAGGATGATCTTGCCAAGCAGGTACAGGACCAAAGTCCATCCTTTTCATTTCCCTTTAAAAAGAAAGAAACAGAATTCTTTGTATCAACCGTTTGCAATTATCTTCATCGTCGTCATTGTCACATGGTGGTGGTTGTAAACTTGCAGAGCACGCTAAATCCGGACGCAGCTGAGTTTGTTCCAGCGATCAAAACGACGACGGTAAGTACATCGTCAGGAGCCGTCGAGTCAACGTCGAAAATTTAACTTTACCCGCTTACGTTTAAGTCATGTAAAGTCGGGCTATACGTAATGGCTAGAGAGTCTACTATTTCCAATCGGACAATTGTATTAAGTGAACCGTGTTTAGAAGTTCAATGACTGTGACTGTACGTACAAAGATGTAAAGTACGCGAGTTGGAATGTCGCGCCATCGATGCGCGTCAGTCCAGAACTTAATATCAGTTACGCAACCGGGTGAAAAATAATGTGCTACCGAAATTTTTATAGACCAGAAATATCACGCGATATTGAGTGAAGAATTATTATATTTCTTGCCGGAGCAAAACGAACGATCATGTATACAAATCACTCGTTAAAGGAAATTTGCAATTTATATATCTCTTATTCAATCATGTTTTCGCAGAGATAAATGCTTATAGCATTTGTGTTTTTTTAACTTGCATATATAATTATAAATTACTATATTGTATATTGATCGAAATAACCTGCAGTTCAAGTTGAGTTGGACTGAAGGAATGTGTACTAGATCCTTTATAGACTTAAATAAGTTTGTAGAGTCAAGGCAATGATACACACCTACACACACCTACCTACACATACACATTATCTTGTAAATTATGTTTATATCTTATGTATGTATGTCTCGATCAGATCTTATCATGCTAAAGATTATGTAACTCTTTTATCTTTTATACTTTATCAAGCTGTAAAATTTTTCACAGTCATGAGTTTTACAGCTTGATATACATCGTGTCCAATGAAAACTTTCCTCAAGAGAGTTCCTTTTGTAATACTTATAATAGAAGATGATGTTTGCAGAATTGTTAGCAGGACATGTTACATTATGATCGCGAGATACTCTAATAATCATGTATATCGGAGATGTATTATTTTGTGATGAATATTTCATCAGATAGATAAAACTGGTACCATCAGTTGCGAGCGTGTATAGTCGGAGAAAAAGATTTATTATTTATGCGATTGTATTATTTTATTCAGGAATTTGGTAGAAACGCAAGTCCCGAAAAGTACTAATTTCATAATTTGGAAGAGTAAGACAGAAACCCCCCGAAAGGTCATAACTTTGAATTTAACATATGGAAAATATATGACAATATATGAACCTTACGTGAAAAGATTTTATTCATACATTTTCGACTTATTATTCCACACGAAATAATTTCCTTTTCAATAATACCGTTGCAACTTTTTAAGCCATATTTTTCAAATTTTGGATATTTCTCGGGACTTGACGCGTGTCTAACTAACAATTCGTTTAAAACGTATACGAGAAACATCGTCGAGTCCTGCTTCTCAGCATTCGTTCAACAAACTTAAAGATCTCAAGTGAAAGTCTTACTTAGGCTGTGAGGGACTCTTTTTACAACTCTTTTTAGTGAAACCGAGAATCAGCACATTGCTTACTTATTTTTTAAACCAATTTGCATGAGATAATATTTCAAAATTTAGGAGACTGTAGACCATATAGAGTGTAATCTCGATGAAACATAACGAAGATAGAGTAAATGGTGAATGTACTTCAAATTAATTAGCTTGAATAGCAAGAAGGTTGATTTAATTTTTGCTAGAACATAATATTAATATATATATATATATACTCATTATATTCATGGATATCACATATATTTGTATAATATTTGTTATTTTCCCTGCTATGTGATTGCTTTTTAAACGATTAACGAAGATGATTTTTTTCAAGTTGCATGGCTCTGTGACTTTTGGTCAACTTGAAATGAGAAAAACTAATCGAATCTTGTAAATTTGAAATCAAACTTTTTGCGATCCAAGGATTACGCGGTGGTGATTAAAACGTATTTGTGCCACTTACGTGATATTTGCCATTCTTTTTTAATAATTACGAGTGAATGTATAAATTTTAATAGGGTCTATATATTGAGATATATCTATATACTGTTATGTATTTGCATTGTATACTTTATTGTATACATTGTATATGGTAAGTGCGCGCTGTTTTAGTCACAACCTGGTTCAACATCAATGTGGAAACTGTGATTAACAGGACAGAACGTTACTAAGTTTATTAAATATACATTATACACATATGAGACATCACGTCAGTCCCTTGCAATATACTGTAATTTACTTTGAAAATTCTTTGCCTTGCTCACTACCGTTTATTCTATCGAGAAGACATACGAGGTATATGATATATATATATATATATATATTGTAATTTATATATTCATACCACAAACCTCGTATCCTTGGCGGTTATTGGATATTGCCTTTTACACATTATCATTTATAGTGAACACTGAAAATTACAGAAATAGAGCTACCGCGATCAGCAGTAATTGCCTTTATTACTCTTTATGTTACGTTTAATAAACCGAAGGTACAAGGAAATTACAAATTCGCGCAATACTCTGAAAAAATCAAATCAATGCGAGTCTAAACCAGAGACTGATTTCACGTCCATTTTTACGTCAGCTTTAATATCTGAAGTAGGTCGTATCCACCCTTTAATCCTTATTTTACAATTGCTAATGTAGATTCTGTATAATATAGAAAATCGTTTGCAATACTATCTTATTCTGCTTATAATGCAAAGTTGACACACATATACACACACACACATACGTACGTATGTGTGTATGTGTGTGTGTGCGCGCGCGCGCGTTCTGATCATTAATCTACATCTAAGGATTTACTCGTCTAATTTGCGTCACGTATGACTTAAACTTTTGTTCTCTGAGATCCGCAAAATTCATTCTTACGTAGAAAGAGAAAGTATGTGGATATATATAAATGCGATTCTCGTTTGCAAATCATATAGGTAAAGCAGTTGTTGCGTGCGGGAAATGTATATTATAACTGTACACATATGTGTATCTCATTATTGTTCAAATTGTACAAATTTAACTTTGTCTCAATATCGTCAGGTATCAAAACTTTAACGATACATTACGCATGACACTAGAAATTGCATCACAACAAACTTACGAACTGAAATTTGTAATACTTACAAATGTGTATAGCATAATTTGTTCGCATAATCTCTTAGGCTTGTTGCGCTTCTTACACCTGTCTCGGATTCTTGATAATTATTGTAAACTTTTCTTTCTCCTAATCCACTTGCATACATCGATATATATTTCCTGTTTCTATACGATATGTAATATTAAGAATGTTAGATTATTTTAGGTATAAAACATGTGCAGCTGTAATCTTCTTATATAGTACAATATGAAAAGCAGTACTACAATAAGCAGCAGTCATACAACATCGTAAATCGTTATAACCGGTTATACGTATCTACACAGTAATCAATACCAATATTGTATCTCGAATTTACCGTGAGAAAGTTCGATCCCTTGCGTGTGTTTATGGAAATTAACTATATCATTTTAGCGTTATGTTAATCAAAAAAAAAGTACAAAAGCAAAATGACATATAAAAATATAATTTCCACTTTAAGTAACGCGTTTCGTGGAGAAAAATGGGTTATAATTGTCATATTCTCCGTTACTATATTTTACTTTGTGCAATGCGACGTACGTTGGATTGTAAAATGATTAGTATATTAATTCAAAAGAGATATATAGGTGATATTACTTTTATATATATTATATATCTATATATATATACTATATTTTAACTTATACATATATAATGTATTTTGTCATTTCCAGTGAATTTTTGCATTTGTGGTTTTCTTCGTGCCTGCCCTTTATTTTTTTTGTAGCATTTAACATGTAGCATAAAACGAAATACAGATATATGTATTAAAATGTAGACGAGGATTAGTTTCTGTTATTAATTCCTATCCCAGATAATGTTGGAGAAACACTATGTGTATTTGCTTGTGTGGTGTATGTAAGTATGTGTGTGTGTGTGTGTGTGTGTGTGTGTGTGTGTGTGTGTGTGTGTGTGTGTGTGCGCGCGTGTGTGTGTGTGTGTGTGTGTGAATAATGTTAAGTGAGAAAATAAATTGACGCGCACACATGCTAAAGAACGAACAATTATTAATTATTATTATGAGAAAAGCATCACTTTATATTTGGCAGCATATCGATTACAATATCTTAGTCTTAAAAGTAACTGCAATATAATTAGAATATTTGTTTTGTTACAATAAAAAACGGATGATGCCAAAATTTGTTATATCGTACATTGGCATTCACTTTGTATAATAAAGTAGAATTTGATTTTATACAAAATCTGCAACCTATTGTGATATAATGGTCTATATTGAGGTATTGGAATAATGTATGGGCAATTAATTATTTCCAAAATGATGTAAGGTCCATAAATTTTACAGTACTGCGTTTCTTTCGTTCTGATTAATGTGAGAGTTACCGTTGCACGTTTTGCATGAAACGAAGGCTAAATTTGACGCAAAAGAGAATAACGGCATCGAAAAAGTATGATGTCTGATGTTGCAATGAGCACGTCGAATTCGTGTCTTTAATATATAAACTGCACTTTATTTTATGTTTTTTTTTCTTTTTTATATAGGTGATAGGAAACCGTTTTTTATGTGTACGATCACAATACTCTATATATAGGTCTTGATCTATATATATATTACAAAATACGAGAAACATTTCATATACGTATTTATAAATAGTAGTATATGTAGAATTATTCAATATAGAGCCACCGTATATATACGATATATATACCATACTGCATCCAGAGTTTCTTTTGGCCTTTCAGTAATACGAGTTTTGCCAATACTGCAGGTACATTACATGAAGTACAATATATGCCTCACATGTAACGTTAAAAAGATTCCTGATATATTGGATTATTGTTGTTATTATTATTATTATTACTATCATTATTATTATAGTTAAATTGTCAGTGAAAGATTATTATCGTTGATCGATATGGACTAAATAGGAATACCGTAGAATTCATTTCTTCGCATACGCTTTCTTATTCAGATGTTCATGATACAAAAATCGAAAATAATATTCGTCCATAACATTGTAATTATGTTTATTTATATACAAGTTAATATACTAAATACTTTAATCTGCAGTCTCTTTATTTCGATAGAATACTGTGTTAATTCATAGTTTGTATCATCGACATAGGAATATCTAAATCGAGCATTTCATGAGAAGAAAGTCTAATTAAGGTAAGGGGAAAGTTACGTTGTTGATACTTTGAACATTTCCCCGCCCCGTGGTTTCTTCGAATATATTTAACTTTGTGTCAGCTCGCGCTAGAAGAATTATGATGTTTGTAAAACAATGAAGTAGCATCTTCAAAAGAATGCATCAGTTTATTACCAGCTCGATACATTGTCACGTATGTACGGTTCCCCTGGCAATCCCGAGGCTTTATCCACAGGCCATCCAACCGAATAATAATCCGAAGAGCCGTAAATTGCTTAAATTAACAGTACATGCTCGGTTTAGATATTCTTGCGTCAACGATTTATATCGACCTTGTCTGAGCTTAATCTTTTTCTATCAGAAGATATAGTAGATTCCCTAAGAGAAAAGTTCTTACATTGATTTCCTTCTAATTCCGATATTATAACGAATATCGTGTTCAAGTAGAATATTGAATAAACATACGTAAAATTATCAATACCGATCTTATATCAAGTAATCCAAAATATCGGTCATGTAAGAAATATTTTATTGTCGAAAAATAAATTAATGTATAGAAAATATCGGGGCCTTTGTGATATATCGTATAAGTGAAATGTGTACGTATCAATCTTACAGCTAAAAGAATCTAGCATAAGGAACCGCATTTGGTTCCACGGAGTAAGAGTAAGAGGTCTCAAAAATACGGAAGATAATCATCGGCGTACAATTACTGCAAAACGAATACGATCTGCAATTCAAAGCCATTGCCGTCGATTGTGCCCTTGTATTGAGAATGCACGCGGAGTATATATCGGAGTTCTGATAAATTCGTATTATTGAAATCTCCCTCGATGAGAATTCGATCGGTTATATTCATTTTAGGGATCATGCATATTCACTTTTTGTTACGGGTATTGTGTTCTCGATCAAGAACAGATATAATTAATATACTTAAGTATATGTTTATATATGTATGTATATATGTATACACAGGATATTTAAAAGGAGGGCTTAGGACTTTAAGGGCAGATAGTATTCACAAAATGGAGGAAAAGGAGCCTAAAGTGGACCGAAAAATTAATATTGTCAGAGCAATGAACAATTATTTGAACCCTTTTTTGTAAATACCCTGTATACATCCGTATGTGTAACGTAGCGCGTAATGATCAACAGATATCCTGCGCATTCAAATTTCGTCGAAAATAAAATATCTTGGCCTTTTTACGACTGTCGAAAGATGATGCTGCCATATATGCTATACGTTATTTCCGTTTTCGTTTACTTACATCGAGAAGTTTACACGCTTTCGGTGGGGCTCTGAAACTCTGAGAGTGCGTGTATAGGGTTCTGTACTTTCTTTTGCGATCCTTTACGCACTTTCGCTCTCACTTCCTCGGGTCTCTCGGGGCGTACCAACGGTTTTTTCTCCGGGGCCTTCATCTTCCATATGACGATGGGAGACTGGAAATAAAAACAAACCATAAATGCATGTCGTCAAATTAAATTTACTCTCTGTCAATATTGTGCGCCATATATCGCATAAAACAATTCACAGTCTGATGTTAAATCCCCCTCTAAAATCTTTTTAATACACAGCGGGATCTTAACAAAAAAAGGTTTCACAATGTTCATGAATGAATGATTCGTTAACATGATATATACTTACATACTGGAAATCCGTTAATGAACAGCAAAAAAAAAATATGAGAGAATGGGATATGAGCGATTATTTATAGTAATCTTAGAAGTTTAAAATGATACTCAACATGTAAGTTTAAGATGATTCAGCGTTGTAAGTTTTTCTTTTTAATATTCTACTCTTAATTTTCGAAACGCGATTCAAAGCACTTGGTTGAGAATAAAAATTATCAGAACTTACCGTTACCGTAGATTGTCGGGGATACTTGGTAGAAGCGACGTAGGAAGCCTTTACAGTAAGCACAACAGCATTCATCAGATTCTTAGCGGCCTGTATGAGGGAGGTCGCGCTGTCTAGGCCGGAGACAATCAGTTCCCCACTGATGTTTTGCACATCTGCCTTTACTTTGCTCGTAATGTTCATTTGATGGCAATAAAGCGCTATACGTTGCAGATAAGCCAAGAGATCCTTCTTCGTGGAGCTTTCCGGACACTGATCGGCGATCTGCCTCGTCAACTTGTCCAATTTCGTGCCGGCTTCGGAGATCTTTTTCGCCGCGTTTATAACGTCCATAGTTGTCTTCAAGGGACCTCTGCCTCGTGTGAAGTCCGTCATCTCCATCATGATCATACACATGTGCTTGGCCAAGACTATAATGTCATTTCCGGCATCGTCCCACTTGGCTACCTCCTTGTCGAACTTCAGCTTCTCGCTCTTAAAGTACTCCACTTGCTGCAAGATTTTTTGCTTGTCCTCCTCCGGCATTTTCCTCATGGCTTCACGGGCGGTCGTGATGCCACTGATCTCCGGGTACTCATCCACGCCATGTTCTCCGGTCTGCGCGCTGGACTTGCTGCGTGTTTCCAACGTGTAGTGCTCATCCAGTTCCACGTCTTCGGGATCTAAGTCCTCGTCCGCCTAAAAAAAGAGAGCGAGTTAAAACTGACGAGGCAAAGATAGACCGTCGTGAGACCGTCGGGAATTTCTCTTACCCTGTTCATCAACACGGCACGTCTGATCTCGCGGACTCCGTCGTATACCAGTCTAGATGCGTCAATGAAATCATTCTCGTCCACATCCTTCGCTGGATTGCTACCTAAGGCGTCCACCGCCACTTCTACTCGTTGAGCAAACTTAGGCATCACTTGTTCCCTGAGGACCTTCACTGCCTCAAGGACTCGCTTGGTATAAATACACGGCTCATAGTTGTCCATCTCGGCCTGCACGACGTTGCACACTCTGGCAGAGCGGCCGCGAATCGCGCCTGCCGTTCTGTCCAGAGTATCAGCGTCACCCTCTTGCAAGGCCAAGACACACTTGTTGACATCTTCCAAAATATGATTCTCAGAGACTGCTAAGAAATCGTCGATCGTCGTAATGTCGTCCACAGCCTCCGTCAGAACTCGCACTTGATTCTCCCATGCTTGACGGAATACCTCCATGTTATCCAGCGCTGCTTTCGAGCGGTTTCGCGCGGCCAACACGCGCGCCGCGTTGATCACCTGCGGGCATAAGTTCTCAATCTGCGCGGCGGCGTAGCGCACCATCTTTACACCGTCCTCGTTGCCGGACATGCTGCACACCAAATTGGCGACCTGTTCACACATGTGAATGTTTTCAACGAATGCAAAACGTGTCGTTGTACGGGATATCTTAAGATAAGAGACTTTGCACTTGACTTGAGGTGTTCGAAAGAATCTTTAAATCTGAGAACGACTCTCTGCTCGTCTTGAATAAGCTGGTGCGCTTACCTCCACGAGTTTATTCGCGTGTTCCGTGAAAACAAGCGCGTATTCCTCCACCTCCTGGTCCCGGCCGTTGCGTGCCGCTTCGATTAAGACCAACAACGGCACACTTGTCTCCAGGAAACTGTCCGACACATGATCCACCACGGCTTTGCGCAACTGTCTACGAAGATCACGAGTTTTCCTACACATGTGATCTATCGCTCTCTCTAAGCCTTCAGATTGCTCCTTCACACCCATCTGTCAACATATTCGCATTGTTCTTCATCTCGGACGGATTAGCAGCGGTGTTCTCGCGCTTGATTTAAATTTACAACTGTGAACGGTTGCTCGACGCTCGATACCGTCTCATTGTTAGTTTAAATCCAAAATTCCAATGATACAGAAACAAAGATGTTAATTCGCAAAAGAACATGTGGTGAGACTCGCCGATTACTGAGATAATGTATGTACGTTGTTAAAATACAGATAAAAGTACGAAATATATTGCAGAGTATTATTTACACATAATTACGATTATCGCGACTCTTCGTAGCAGCGTATTTGCAGCAAGCGTTATTTACAAATATATCAACGATGTGACTCAGCTCTCCGCCGAGGCTACCTTTGTACACTCTGTTATTTTACACAACTCTACCAAGTGAGATATTAGTCATTTGATACTTGTAACAGTGCAGAGAGAAAGAAAGACAGAGGAAGAGAAAGAAAAAAACTAATTGTGGGCGTATAGCTAGTCGTGATCTATGATAATTAGTGCTGGTTATAGAATGGAATATGCGTCAGTAGTGTGTGAGAGATCTAAAGAGTAACGTGGTACTGACGCATTGAGAACATACGAGAGGTACTTAATTGCAGTAAATATGCAATGAGAATAAAATACAAAGAGAGCGTGTATGATTATACTTTCGCATATTTACCCGTTTCCCACCCTGAGCACGTTGTAACTGCCATCACCGACAAAAACAAACCAACAGAATGAATGTTTCAGTGAATATGTAGAAAAAATAATAAATCATCGTAGACAGACACACGCACACACACACACACACACGCTTCATATAATCGCATTCATACGTGCATACAAATTATAATTAATAACGACATATGTATCGTGTATCTACCTAATTGAGAGACTCTATGTTCTCTGATGTCGTTTCAGATTTTTTGAACGTTTCATACGCGCATTGCTTTTGTCGAATTGCATTCATTATCAGGCTCTACTTACGTTGTTCATGTATTCGCTTAGAAGATCCTGAAGTGCCTGCCTGACCGCGTTGCACTCGGCGACGATGCGTTCTCTACGTTCGTCTCGAGTGCACGACGAGTCTGCCATTAAGGCCGCGCCGCTGATGATGCTCTCCAATCTTTCCTCGAGACTCGGTCGCGTGCGCACCTCGTTGTACGCGAGCGGTGACATCACCATTCTTTCGTCAAAGTCGTCCAACGCGGCGGCCAATTCGCCTGGGCCGTCGTACGGGTGCTGGCCGTCGGGCGGCGTTTTCCCTTGAGCTACGTCATTTATGGTGTTCACTGCCTCGCACACCTGCTTCAGCACGTAATCGCGATTCGCTTTGGCAGCCGCTAAGTCAGGATGTCGCACGAACACTTTGGACGCGGTCAACAACATAGTGGAATGTTTCTTCAGGACCGCCCTCGCAGCCGCCAAGTCATCTCTTAGCTGTGGATCCTTTAATTCATGCTGACGTTTGGCTGCCTGCTGAATCAACTCAGTGGCATTCCTGCCAAACTCTTTAATGTTCTGCATCAATTCACCCTGCGAGGAGGCGTTTTTCAACTTCTTCAGATCGTCCTCCACGACATACAACGACTTCAGGAGCAAGTGGACGTCCACCATGTCCGCGAGAATAAGCAATCTCGTCACCGCTGACAATAAATTCCTCGCGGCGCGCACCATGTTGCCGCGTTTCAACGACGAACACGGATCTTCGGAGAATTCTCTATACATACAATCGTCAGATTTTAAACGAATGTGATGCGCACGCACAGGGAGATAATGTACCCTTTACTACTCAAATATAGATAATACTTAAATATAGATAAGGAGGATTACTGTACCTAGCAGCAATGCTCATAGCTGCACCAGTCTTTCTCACTTCCTCCACTGCACTCAACATTTCTGCTGTGATATCTGGATTCTCATAAGCAATCTTTTCACCCTTCTCAATGAAATTAGCAGTCGCCTTCTCCACAGTCCCGACGAGTGCGCTAGCCCTCTTTGATTTGCCTTTCTTTTTCTTGCTGGGCCCCTTTGTGTTTACCAATGTGGTAACTTGGAGCACCAATGGCTCTAATGTCTTCTCCACAGACATAGTTCGTATCTCCAAGTTTTTGGGATCCCATTTCAAGGTGATCGGCCCAAAATGATCAGACATATTTGCGATATATTAATGTTTATTCTAAAAAACACAGAATATTATATCATGTTTCTGTTTTATAATATTCTGATTTGGATATATCTCATAGAACTCCCAATATATATCACAATATCCAAAATCATGCAAAATTTTTGAACATACAGGATCTACCAATGAGAACATTCCAACCTGATTATTCTATAACCAACAAATTTTTGTTAAAAATTCTGATACATGTCAATATTGTTTTTAAGGGGATTGTATGATTGTGATAAATTTAATTATATTATTTCATCTCTGTAATTGGAGTAGCTTCCAAAAAATTTTAAATAGCAATGGGAGTCAAATGATATATGTATTATTTTAAAAATATTTTATTTCTCTTCATAGCAGAGTTTATTCTTTCCAATTTGAGCGAATATTTTTTGAAGTCAAATTTTGAATTAAGATTTTTTGGGTAGTAATTGCCCCAATTAAAGAGATAAAGTAATATAATTAAATTTATCACAATTATATGGTTCCCTTGAAAATAATATTGATGTGTATCTGCATTTTTTGTAAAAATCAATTAGTTATAGAATAATTGGAACAGAAAATATTTGTTGGCAGATCTTATAGCCTAAGTAAAGGAACAAAGTTTCTCAAACTTAATTTATATTAATCAACAACAAAATTAGCATTTTAAATTAATTAAATATATGTATAAGCTTTTAAGGATAAAACTGCCATCAAATTAAAAGAAAGAAGCGCTAGATATCTTTCAAACACGAGTTTCTATTCTCTACAGTTGCACTTTCCCATATTTTTTCTCATTTTCTTTTGTCTTACTTTTGCAAATATACGTGTTCAGAAATATGTCGCTAGAAAAAGTGGGTAAATTTTGCGAGTGAATAAAAATTATCGAGATTCAAATCGCCCGATTGTGGTATCTACGAAACAAAAGCTGTCACATTGAGTTTAAATATCATTCATTATTTCTGCTATTCTTATTCTCGACAAACGCGTGTGACAATAAGCTCGTAGTACTCCGCGACAACGATTTACGCGTACGTTTCATTCCCGGGATTGGATCGTTAATTTCACACGTTTGTTACACGCTTCTATCTATCTTTCTTGATAATTTTTCGTCAGGAAAACCAAGAGCGTCAGGTCCTTCGCATAAGCTGGCACAGAAAGACTGCAAGGACGAATCCAATACCTGCATAAAAATGGGGAAAGTACGCCACCGACGATTCTTTCTGTCGTTTTATAGCTGATTTGAGACAAAAGCAACGATATTACTCGTAAAATTGGCCGCATTAAACGAGAACGCCGAGGCACACCGATACTGAATCACTTCGTCGATGATGTATCACTTCGTTGGCATCCACTGCTTGCTGCTGCTCGTTTCTGACGTCATTATATCCGCTGAGCTCTCGCTATCAGGGATATGGAACATGCTCGGTCTACGCCCGAAGCTTAGGCCGCGTTTTGATGCGCAACTTGGATCTTGGACGGGGAAGCCGTAGTGTGTAAATATTACAAATAAAATGATAAGTACAAATTCCACAACTTTGAGAGAGAGAGAGAGAGAGAGAGAGAGAGAGAGAGAGAGAAAATGATAAAGATGGAATTTAATGGAATTAATGGAATTTCTAGTATAATTATATAATATAATTTAATTTTGATTTAACTCATTTAGGAATAAAAAACGTGAAAGTTGAAAATGAAAATCCTCGAGAATGAAACGTGTCGTTGAGTCATACTATTTGAGAATAAAATGGATTCTTTTTATATGATCGAGTAGTAGTACGACTCAATGGCGGGACAGCCGGACTTCTTAAATAACTTGAAGCTAACAATGGGTTTACACTTTTATGTTCAAATAATACTATTATTTCATTCCTAATAATGTGTATGTAAACATTAAATGTTGTCAAATGCAAACGAAGCAAAACGTGACATTACGGCCTAGTTCCACAACTTGCTTTAAACGGAGTTTAAAGCAAGTTGTGGAACTGAGCCTAAGGGCCGGTTGTTCCAACTTCTCGGACCCAGTTCCACAATTTGCTTTAAACGGAGTTTAAAGCAAGTTATGGAACTGGACCTCGGTAAGTTAACCGATAGTTAAATCATACGTTTGTCTGTGTTTTTCCTTCAACTTGGACAAAAACAGACATATGATTTAGACCTAGTTTCACAACTTGCTTTAAACGGAGTTTAAAGCTAAACCGATGGTTAAAAGCAATAGTATATGCGCATATACTATTGCTTTTAACCATTGGTTTAAACTCCGTTTAAAGCAAGTTGTGGAACTAGGCCTTAACTATCAGTTAACTTACCACGAAGTTGAAACAATTGGCCCTTAATGTTATTAATGATTATTCATCAAATATGAGTCATGAAAAAATTAGAGATGATTTTAAGAGATTCGAAATGCGTCGTAAAATTATCAGCCAATCGTATGCATCTCGCGATTTACCAGATATGTTACATATGTGGTCTGTTCTTTTTAGCTGGACTGCGGAACTAGTGCAATAAGTTAGAATGAGACAACTATATTTTTTCTCACTTTAACTTATTGCACCAGTTCAGTAGTGTAGCTAAAAAGAACAGACCAATAAGCTGCGTTCCGATATCCACTGCTAGTACTGAAAATCTATATAGCTCGCGTCACGTATATTATAGAGTCTCAGTACTGACAGTGAATATCGGAACGCAGCCATAGAAATGGACGGTTGCGCAACTCGATTTCGGGTGATTTCGGTTAATTTCGGTTAATATCGAAAGACCTTCGTGATCACGCCGATCACGCTACCCGCTCGTTCACCGGTATCACCATCTTGTTTGTTTCGTCAGCGGCAGGACGCACAAAAGATTCCACGGCATTGTGAATATTATTACCTGCGAAATTATAGGAACTATATTTTGGATTTGTACTTTTGCTCACGCAGTTGTTACCACGCAATAACGCAGCGGATAAACTGGATATGTCTCACGGCGGTAGAAACGAATGTAGGATTTACGTGGGTAATTTGCCACCGGATATACGAACGAAAGATATCCAAGATCTTTTCTACAAATTTGGTAAAGTAACATTTGTTGACTTGAAAAATCGCAGAGGACCACCGTTCGCGTTCGTCGAATTTGATGATCCGAGGTAAGCTTCTAAGAGATTCAAGTTGTACATTACATGCACGTATACTGTTCCTTTTATATTCTATAATATATATTGTTGTCCAGCTTGAATAAACAGATCGATGCAAAACATGACATTGAACTTAAGATGTACGTGTGTGTGTGTGTGTGTGTATATATGTAACACTATTGTGTTATTCCATTCGGCCTGTTCCTTTATGTCATTTCTACTTAGTCTTATTGAATAAAGATAACTAAATATATGATAAACATTTATATTCCAAGTATAAATATGTATACAATTTTCATTATATTTTAGAATAATGTAACAAATATAGGGTAGAAACAGGTTGCTTGCCTGTTTGGTATATGAGCAAGTCATTGTTACTCCTAGGAACTATTCTTATTATGCAGTGTATTTATGTGTGCATACATATGTATATGGATGCTATAGTCTCAACAGATACCTCGTATATTTATCAGATAATTTCTTATCATTTACTAAAAGAAAATCTAAATACAGCTAGATACTATAATACTAAAACTTTAAATATTATAAGTTTTTGAATATAAGAATATGTTCTTGCTCTTTCCTGCAAAATATGTGAATATAATAGAATATAAAATTTAATATTATATTTTCGGTGATGTATGAATCTGATCCGTTGTAATATTTGTAAGAATTAATATATATTCCATATCGCAGAGGTTCCATATTGTTAAGATGTCAGCGAACATATTTTATTGTTTTACTTAAATGTTAAGTAAATTCATAGCAGAAAGTTTATATAAGAAACGTTAGAATTAAATTATAGTTAAACTGTGCCTTTTTCAGAGATGCTGAAGATGCAGTGCATGCAAGAGATGGTTATGACTACGATGGTTATAGATTAAGAGTTGAATTTCCAAGAGGAGGTGGTCCCAGTAATAATTTCCGTGGTGGACGTGGAGCAGGAGATAGTGGTAGAGGTGGTCGTGGTGAAATGAGTAATTCTCGTGGCCGGGGACCTCCAGCACGACGATCACAATACAGAGTATTAGTTACTGGATTACCACCATCTGGAAGCTGGCAGGATCTCAAGGATCATATGCGTGAGGCTGGTGATGTCTGCTTTGCAGATGTTTACAAAGATGGCACTGGTGTCGTTGAGTTTTTGAGACATGATGACATGAAATATGCTGTGAAGAAATTAGATGACTCACGATTTAGATCTCACGAGGTATCTATAATTTGTGGCTGTGTGTAATTTTATGTATATTGTTGCTACGAATATGAGACGCTTTTCGTTTGTATTACTCGTGTTGATGTACAAAACTTAATGTTCTCTATTGAATTATAGTATTGTTCATATATGTCTTTGTTGTCTCCTTAAGCAGCTCTGACTTATGTTCTTTAAGATATAATTTTCTACTTAGGGTGAGGTAGCCTACATTCGTGTTAAAGAAGACCACAGCAGTGGCGATAGAGGACGCAGCGAAGATAGAGAGAGGGGCCGTACTCGTTCACGAAGCTATAGCCCACGACGTCGTGGTTCTCCCACTTATTCGCCATTGCGGCGTAATTACTCGCGATCAAGATCTCGCTCCAGATCTCGTTCATACGACTAGTGTGTACGTATGTGTTTCTCACATGGTAATATAAGTGAAATCTATATTGACAATTGCTTTTACCATGTTTCATTATTATTGCTGATTTGAATTTGACTCAAGGACATCCTCCGATCCAAACAGGTCCTGCAAAAAGTTCAAATTGTTTGAATAACTGTACCGTACTGTATATTTGATGTATAGAGCTAGAGCACGGTTCATTTCTTACATATGTATTACAATTATTTTTTAAGTTTCTTGTTTCCAAAGTATATTACTCACTATATTATTCGTAATCAAAGAAACCGGCTGACTTAACGAATTCAATATTTTCAGTCATTTTAATAAAAGTTTCTTAACGTTAATCTATTAAAGTTAATTACCTGGTACAGAAACTATTGAGCCTTATCCTCACAAAAAAAAAAGGAAAAATGAAATCGTGCTCGCGACCATATTTATCATGTTTATTATCCAAAAATCGTTAGTTACTTTCATATTTAAAGATACATTCCTCTATATATTTGGCAACTTGTTTTGTCATCACTACAATTTGTGAAATGTGTAACAATTTTGAAGTATTGTTGACAAGACTTGTCACTGACAATTGTATTGTATTGTGACTGTTTTTAATTGACAATAATTCATACAATCCTAACAACGGCGACTACTTTGTCACATTGAAGACAGTGTATATTCCATCGAGCACATTGACAGTTGAAATCCTAATGTTTGCATTTGAATATACTTTGCATAGTAAAATGTTACATTTTGAATATTGCCTAACGAACGTCTTCTTTATTAATGTAGTATTTTGTGATACACTATTATATTGTGCGCGTTTATATTGCTACAATGCTCTTTTACAATCCAAATTACCTTTGTACGGACTTGCTGGAAAAACTTTGTCTCACAATTAAGTACTAACATATACACACGTAATAGAGCTTAAATTAATATTTTTCTTAGCTAAGGATGCTTCATAAGTTACCGAGTCACATCAATATCATCCTAATAATCAAGTTTACACTAAAAGAAAATATCTGTTTTTATATATTACTAAAATGAAACGTATACATATGTATATGTACATATATATATATATATATATCACAGATACATTATCCAATCGTCTGAATATCGTAGTGCTAGATTAATAACGTTCAGTCACAGTTGCTAACACGTACGGTGTATCAAAAATCGCGCACTTTAAATATTAATACTTTGACAGCCACGTCATATATAATATTTGGATGACGTTTGAGTTTTCGTCAAAATTCCGTTATCGGTTTATGAACGAAGATTTTATTTTTTCTCAAGCGGGAAAATTTTGATGGTCAAAGAACTATATAATATACGACAGAATTTAGGACAAAATTCAATTTACATTTGTAGATATACTTTTGTATAATTCTTCAAATGTTTTCAGACGTTATCTAAGCAGGCGATAGCAAATTTTTCATAGTAGTTCAAATAAGATATTGCTATATTTCTTTCACCTCTAAATTCTACAACGAATGTATAATGTTGAGAAAAAAATACGCAACTTATGATGCATTCCATGTACGGATACCTTCAGCAATAACAAGTACATAAATTAAAGAACTGGAATGCTATGTATGTATATTTGCAGATACACAAGTAGACAGAAATCTCTCACAAAATATTTTTCTCCTACACGTAGAATGTGTGATTATTAACTCTAACGGATAACTTGTGTGTACAAAGGAATACCTCAAGATTGTTTACACGACACATCGCGTGGTTTAATTTGTTGTTTAAATCCAAATTCTGAATTCCGGTAACGCGTAGTGATGACAATATATCGTGCATATACGCTGTACGAGACATTCGAGTGTAATGATGATGACTAATCGTTATACATTTACGTAACAAACGTATATAATTATTGGCGCAGGAAAACTTTTTATAAGATCACTCTCACGCAACCTAATTCGCTTGATGATAACACTCTCGACTGTATATGACAATAGACTCGAGTGATCTTCAATGATGATGGCGATCTTTTTTACGAGCCATCTTTTTATATTGCCAAATTGCGTTTGGTATACTGTCTCAGGCAAATATCTAACTCATTAAAATCTTTAACACTTCCGAGTGTGAAAACATACAACATAATATATCCATTACATAATCTGAACATTTCCAACATGTGCAGGTTGAAATGTCTTAAATAATACACGACAAGTCCGGTGAAATGCGCTTAACTGTTATTTGATGTGACTATTAATGTCGCTCGCATTTCCCTGTTTGTGTTTTCCTTTCTCACACATTTGCGACGTCTACGTAACCACGCGAATATGTTGCTAAAATGCTCTTTCTAAAATAGAGATAATTTTTGAAAGGGAAACATTTTCGATATCGTGTATTTGAAAAAAGATATTATTATTGCAAGTTGATCCCATGATTTTGCATCGGTCTGTACACTGATCTATGACTTTTTTTTTTTTTCAATTGTGAAGGTTCATTTTCTGGAAGGAGGGAAACAAAAGAAAAGATATGCTATTCATATATTCCTTCCGCCGTAAATTTATCACCGTTATACATACGAGTTACCTTTACATCATAGGGATCATATTTGCATTGATATATTCTATATCTAACATTAATCTACATCGTATAAGAAACTAATGTATTTTTTCTTCTTTTGTATATTGGATTGGATTGTAACACAATGAATGAAAAACTGAAATCAACACGATCTTACTTCTTGGATGGATGTAATACACATTCGCTTGACGTTGGGATGGATTGCGTTTTGGACGGATTTTGTACGGAGCATAAATTGTAAGAGGATTAAGACATAGATGAAAATGAGAATAGTGAAAACGGGAAACTTTCAAGAGGAAATTCAGGATCAGGAGAGGATTTGGATGAAAGAGAGATGATTCGTTCCATTCAAGGATTCTCAATTAGCTGGATTATACCGGATTAGCTGGATTAGCTGGATCAGGAAACGTTGGCAAGTCCATTACGAGGAGGCAAACCAATCTCATTAACATTTTTCTTTTTGAGAAAAAAAAAACAAAAGTAGTAGAATCTCCCAGTTTGAGACTAAAGCTTTTTGTGCGTCTGTTTTAAGAGAGAGAGTGGAACTTACTCATTATGTTATGTGCCTATCTGGATTGCTTGTTAAAGCATAGTGCTTCGAAGATATTAATATTTTCGATATTTTCGAACGATTTCGATTTTCGCGCACTGTTGATTTAAAAAAAAGAAAAATGAGAAAAACAGACCATTCCGCGTTAATTAAATCACTAATAATCCGAACAGTCAAACCAGTAATGGATTGTCAACTGCACAGATTCTGTTGGAAGCGTTTTGTTTGTAATATTTTTTAGTTCCTTTTCTTTTTTTTTCAATTTTTGTGGAAATTAATTTTTCCTCATTGAGAACGGATTCTCGGCGCGATATTAATTCTCTTCTCGATGCAACGACCACGTCGTCAATGCTAGACTTGACTTTTGTTAACATTCGTTATATAAGAGACGATTCGCATTTAGTGTTAATCTCAAAGGTGGAAGTGATCTTTTTTTTTCCTGGGAAGAGACCATCGCGCGCTCGGTATCCCATACTTGCTAACACCGGGGTGATTTAAAATCCAATTGTCGAAAACAAAAAAAAAAGAAAGATACATGTCTACCGATAAAGTTGTTTTCTCGGTGTGATCAAGTGCGTCTCTGTCGCGCACACTGCGAACTGCGGTGTGAGTCTTCAGGATTTAACCGAACATAGAACAAGAGGATGATACAGAGTTTCAGTAAAGCAAACTATCTGTCACATCTTGACGAGGACTGGCTCCCCCCATAGTTTTAGAGGAATACTCAATACGAGTGGCGGACGGACAGGATATATTTGGATTAGGACGCTGAGACAGGATTCGAACGGGATTAATTAGTATGCATGTGGACGATTTTTGGATACGGATAGAGAAAAAAAGTATTGCCGACGAGTATTCAGTGGAGTCGCGTCACAGTGGATCTCCCTTCGGATTCATTAAGTGGATGATCTATGAAATACGAAGGATGGATTTGGATTGTCAAGTATTGTCTCAATCGAGCGCCATGCAGCCGAGCATGATGCCGTTCGCGCTTCATAGGGTTCACGGATTTCTCTCCTAGGTCGGATATGGAATCTGGAACTTGCGTTTAGCAGGATCAGACTCGACAAGATAGTCGAATATCTCATTTTTCACGGAGATACGAACAAAACATACCGGATCAGACGGCTTGCCGTAAGGTATTTGTGAACAGTTTCTACCTGAAGTACTATCGATATTTATTTCTGCATGCTCTCTCTCTTTCTCTCTCTCACTCTCACTCTCTCTCTTTCTCTCCTCAAAGATATATCTTACATTCATACTTTTCGTTTTGTCACCGACAAGGTAAACGTTAACTTAGTAACACGCAATACCTCGCCTGCCTCGGTACAGTTTTAAAAGTGTATTCTGCATTAATAATCAATCCCACCCTGTGTTCAGTTTCACTTACATTGTTATGAAATGTGTTATGTACACTGCAAGACAGATTTCTCACAATAATAACTCCCCCTTTTTGTTCTTTTTTCTTTTTCTTCCATTCATATCGAGTGTGTATAGTTTCAGTATCCTTTGTCGTTACTGTCGCTTTCTCTCACGTTCGATACATAGTTAATTGTTAAATGAACGATGTAGAGATGAAAGAAACGTGAGTAGCGTCAGATCCAACGTTCTTGCACAGTGTGTATTTATCCACAAACATATCTCGAATATATTGTCGGGATGCTGAATAAATGCGACAATTCTCTGTCGTGTTTATTATCGCGTTATCTGTCACTACAAATTTACCATACGCTAATTTTCTTTATTATTCCGTGCATTGTACATACATTATATACACACACACACATACACACACACACACACACACACATGTAAGCGCTACATTATGCGGGAGATGTACATCTTCGTAACTCTAGGCACTAAATAACAACCGACCGCTTCGCACTTTTATTAAATAGGATTATCTTGTTACATCGCTTTCTTGCAATCCCTTTCTCAGTACAGTGCCAGGTGTTGTGAATTATTAAATTAGTTAGTGGAACGAAAATAAATGCGTCAATATGAACACACGACGTGTTGTTTTATGCGATCCTCCTTCAGTCTGCAAAATCGACTCACTTCTTCACGGTCCCCGACCCAATTTTTGCGCCCGTGAGAACTCTATCGATTTATTACCGTTAGTTCATTTATTTAATGTGTTGGTTCAGTGCGAATCGCGGCGCTTAGGATACGATGTGAATTTTTACGAAGATGAAGAATTGTCGCCCTGTTATCGCGGACTTTTGCGTGCGCAACGACATTCCTCTAGCGAGCGAGTAGCGATCTCAGTTTCAATCTGAGTCCTTCCTGTCGGCTGTTTCATCGTCGTCTTGTTACCGTCGAATGGACGACGACACAATAAGTGACGGGGATAAGTTGGTTCTCGAGTAATGTTATTCGTTAGAACCTCATTAACGGTAAGACCCGAAACAGAATGAGCGCAGTGAGCCTTCAGCCGTTTGTTCCAAGCCCGAAACTGTTGCGTAATTTTAGAGGCGTTTCCCACTTCTTCCAGAAGTCGTGATAACGCCTTAACTGTGACAGTCAGTCTAGTCGTCGATAACTTTAGGTTGCGACATAGAGAGTATAATAACAAAGACTACTGCACCCATTGCGTTTCGGACCGGAAAATCATTCAGTTCACTGATCGGGAGGAAGTTGAAACGAGCTCGACGCATTCAAGAGAAAATGCAAGCGCTTTATTCGATCAGTCACATGTCTGTTCTAAGTTACAACAATGTCCTTCCCTAGAGAAACGGGTTGCCATTCGCCCTGCTTAAATAATCTCTCGGATGGGCGTGATGACGAGGTCCTTGATGAGCACGGTCTCCGGAGTCATCAGTGTGAAGATGACCGCATCAGCCACGTCCTTCGGCTTCAGACTCAATCGCGGGTTCTCCTTCAGCCACTGCCGGGTCATCTCGGTCTCCACCAGGCCCGGGCAAACGCACTATCGCGAGAACAGAGAAGAAGAGAAGAGGACAGAAGATTCGCGTCTCGAGTTTCGCGTTTCTCTCGCAAAGTACTCACGATCACTTTGACGTTGGATTCGTTCTGCGCCAATTCTAAGCGGAGACACTCGGTCAGCGCCGTCAACGCGAATTTGCTGCAGGTATACGCTGGCGAAATGGGACGATCGGAGGCCAGCAGACACTTCCAGCCGCACACATCGTTGATATTAACGATGCAGCCATTGTCGATCCCTGAGATGATACGATACCGTTTATATTTTCGAGGATAGTTGTCTCTCTGCCGTTACAGAGCACTTTCGTCGCGTATGCCTCGATCACGATGCTCGATACTCACCCTTGACCTTCATCAATTTCAGAATCTCCTTGGTAATGCACGTCAAACCGAGCACGTTGACGTCGAGAGTCTTCTTGAGTTCCTCTATCCCGCCGTTGACGCAGGAAGAATCGATATTGATAGCGGCGTTGTTTATCAGAATATCGATGCCACCCAAGGTCTTCTCGATCCACACTACTGCGCGCTCAATCTCGCTTTGAACGGACATGTCACATTGAAGAGGATAGAGCTTGCCGGGTTTGCCTTTCAGTTCATCCACGAGCATCTACGAAGGTTCCCAGATTTTCTTTTTATTTTACTTAACGACGTTTATACCATTCTTCTTCGTTTCACCAACAAGAAGAGCGACAAGAAGGCGACTGTCAAAGTCTTTGAACTTTACGGGAATAGGGTCTATTTGATGCTAATAATTTAGCTATCTTCTGTTTCGACTGAAAGATGGTTCTAAGGATGGAGACATCTCTTCAAGAAGATATGACTTTTCAGATTTTTGCTAATATGTCTGAAACCACCTGAAAGATGGCGCAATTGAAACGGTGCTTCCACCCCTGAAACTTTGTCAGTTGAAACAAGAAGTACCCGTGTTCTTATACCTTCATTCTAAAATTTCCGAACCTGCGAGTTCCAGAGCCTTCTCATGTTGAAAGTCGCGACTCTTTAGAAACTAACAATTAACATCGACTATCGTTGACAGTGTGAGACATACGTTCAGCTTGTCCAATTCGCGGCCGATGCCGACGACCTTGAGTCCCTTCGTGACCAGCTCCTCCACAATCGCTTTGCCGATGCCGGCGCTAGCGCCGGTGACGAGGACGACCTTGTTCAGTAGACGGTCCATGTTGTGTCTACGTTGGCTTGGTAGCGTGACGACGAGAAAGAGCGAACCGTGAGCTTGTTATGCCTGTCGCTGCAAGGAGCTTCTGCATGGCCGAGGGATCCTCGACACCTCTTTATACCACGTTGGAAATGTGGCCCCTCGATTAGGGGGTCGCGCTTAATCTCCGGGCGTCTAGATAATCCATTGTTTTCTGGATGATGCATTCCCGCACGCGTATTGCATATTATTTGTATCGGCGCGATATTACCGGCTGTTTTCGGTGCGCGATCCAATCCAATCGCTGGAGGAGACGGCGATATTCCATTCAAGTCTGCCGTGCTCGTCGCGCTCGCAGATAATGCCGTATCGTCTGACGCGCGACGGTCTCTTGCGGCCTCCATTATCGTGGATATGTTATTAATTAAATGTAAGAGAGAGATAACCGGTCGCCAAAGTACAATTTATGCAACAATTCATGGATGTATAATCGGCCAAAGTTTCACCCGCGATACGTTTCGTGTCTTCTTCTCGTTGCTCTTTCTTCCAATTGGCACGGCACAATGGAGGTTTTCAGGTGGTAACTTCTACGTGTAACACTTGGACGTGAAGCATCACTGACGTTCCTTCCGTGCTTGTCAGATTTAAACTATTTATATCTGGCTAGTCATAACATTTGGTTTTGATCTTCAATAAATATTCTCACATCGCGTGTCTTCTCGAAGCAATGCTAAGCAAAATTCTAGTGATGCTCCGCTGCCAAAAAAGGGGAAGCAATATCGTAGACGACGATATTGGTCATTTAACTGACGAGTAAATCGTTTCCGTGGAACGCAACGGAATCAAAGTTGACCGCAGAATCAAGCCAGATTTTTTGACCGATTTAATATTAATTAGCTTAATTCTCGTGCTAATCGACATGAGAATTAGTAGTAATATTTAATTAAATAGTATTATAATGTGCACACACATATTGTGTCTTTTGACGTTTGACGTGACACGCGTGTCAAACACCTGTCGTACGAAAACAACGTAGGGAGATAGGAGCGGGATGTCTAGCTGACGAAAATCCAAGCGGAGCTTTCTGCAGAGCGAGCAGGCACGATAACGCGTTTGGCGATAGCTTCATTAAGGGGCGACGGAGTGAAGCTTCCCCTCCGTCAGAATTCGCAGAATATACCGCGGCAGATCCCTCGTAAGTGCGAGTCGGTCGACGACCTCTTCGACATGTCTGCGAACAAAGCTCGGCTCAAGTCGTGCGAGCGTCGACGAAGCCTGAAGATTCGCAGATAACCGCGATCCGATCCTCGTCGAGAATGCTTGCAGTTCTCGCGACGATGCTGAGGATGCTCGAAACGCTCCAAGACCCCGGCGACCTCGATAGACAATTGAATCGTCTTCTACGGTACGACAATTGAGGATGAAGTTCGGCTGCCATTAAACATTCACCGCGAACGCCGAGGATAGAAGCTCACGTATGTATGAAGGACACGACCTCATATTCTAGAGGACATGCATTGTCCACCAATCTTAATATTGGATCTTTAAGTTCCTACCACAGCCAAAACAATAGACAGCTAAGTTCTGAAGAGACTGAAGAGTATGCAATGTATCGCAACGTTGCCTAAATGTTGGATAATTTAATTCAGTAATTTTTTTTATGTATTTTTTGTTGCGCAAGAGGTAAGGAAAAAAAGAGGAGGATCGGTGAGAGTTTACTTTTATTGACGTTTCCCTCGTGAGAAGCACAATTTACCGGTTACATTCAGCATTTGTCATGCAGTTGACTTGAAAATTGCTTCGCTCGAATTTCGATTACCAGGATTCACCCAAGGGTCTCAGCACGATGTCCTGTATCTGCGAAAGGAAGATCGTCCTGAATTCTGTGCGACGAGACACAACGCTCAAGGTGCACACGATGTAAACGTACCAGAACGTGAGAAGGATTGGACAGCACATAAATCGCTGCTGCTGCGACATCATCCGGATTCAACGTCGGCATCGCCATCATCGCTTCCTCGGAGAACATGCTGTAGGAGGCCATGAACTCCGTCGCGACCAAGCCGGGACTGATGCTCTAGGTAAGGGCAAAAATGCAAGCAGGGAGAATTAGTAAGGTGCGTAATTGGGATCAGTAATTACAAGTTGATGTGAATTACTTAAATCCTGTAAACAGTAACGAGCAATGTATGTAATTAAGAAGAATTAGCAAATCGGGCAAAACGTGAGGGCTCGTAATCGCTTACTTTCTTCACCTTGAAATCTACGTACGCTTATCGATTAGGATTTACTCGTAATTTACGTGGTGTCGTTACGTTTGTTTGTGCATTGATGTACTTCAAGATATTCAATTCATGCAATTCGTCCCTTTCCAGACGTCTCACCGTGACGCGAATGCGCGTGCCTGCCAGCTCGTGCCGCAAGGACTGCGCGAGGCCGGTGACGGCGCGCTTCGACGCAGGATATGCGCTGAATCCCGGCACGAAGGGTATTCTCTCGCCGGCCAGACTGTTCACGTGAATCACGAGCGAGTCCTCGCCCGTCTCTCGCATCGCACGCACCGCCTCGCGCGTGCACAGACAGAGTCCCAGAACGTTCACGTCGAACACAGACCGCCATTCCTCCAGGGAGCCGTCTGTGAGAAGAATGAGTTAATTAACGGAATCATTTGATTAACGAGGTCTATTACTCTCGTATACAACTAATAAAATTATTCTGAAATGAAATTATTCTGTCGGAGCTTGAACGAATTCATATAATTTCGTCAACGGAATCTAATAGGATTCTCACGTACATGCATCCACGATCTATGGAATGGATTCTCACCAGCGAGTGAAGACTCTTTGGTGATGCCGGCGCTGTTCACGAGGACGTTCACCGGCCCGAGATTATCCTTCACCCATGCGAAAGCTGCGATCACACTCTCCTCCTTAGTAACGTCGCATTCGACGGGGTAAAGCTTCCCCGAGGAGTCCTCTAAGCTGTCGGCAATCTCCTTCATGTTCTCCACTCTCCTGGCGAAGCCCGCCACAGTCATACCTGGCGAAATTTACAGCGAGGTGACGCGAGCGTGAGAACGCCAACTCGGCATGGCTTAATTCTATTCTAATAATAAGACTCGATAACGAAGACGTGTCCAACTTCTGAGCATGATCTCGCAACCGTCGCGGATAATGTCACAGTTCTGTTTTCAAAAACAGCAAACTGATTATTTCGCGTGTCAATTAGCAGCCGACACGAGAAAGGTCGGTTATCTCACGCTCATGCGGTCTTGTTTGAGTCGAGATAAACGCTCGCTCACGGGCTCTTCACCCCGTCGAGTTTGCGAGGATTTTGACGCAACGTTCGATCTGAATTTCAGCGTTCGCTCACCTTGTCGGGCGAGACTTCGCGCAATCGCTGCGCCGATTCCGGCGCTGGCTCCCGTGACCACGGCGATCTTCCCGACCCAACGCTCCATCCTCGTGCGACGTTCGCTGCGCGACTGGCAGACCGCAGCCTTCGTTGTAATGGGATCACGCTCGCCGTCCCGGACATCGATACATGAAAAATGACAGTCGTCCGAGCAGGTACGAAATCCGATAGCCGTCGCGACCGACCACCGTCTGGCCTCGTTCAAACATAGTTATACTCGTTTATTAGATCCGGTCGCAGTCTCGCAGATCGAATAAAATATCACTACTCTGTAGGGAGAAAACTGAAGGAGAATTCGATAAGATCCATCCCCAGCGAGCACCGCTCTTTCAATTCGTTGATTTTGCCCATTGCGAGTTTCGCAGGAAAAATTTCCCTTTACCAGCTGGAACACCTTCAATTATAGATAGACAGGATTGATAAGAATGGAGTGTTAAAAAAATTGCCTCTCAAGTCCAATTGCGAAGAGATGATTACTGCAATATGAGATGCAAATGTCTGCTCCTTTTAAGCGCATCGCAAGGCTGAAGCGCATTTATCAATCGGGCTTAACGATGTCGACCAATGTCGACATAATTACAGAACCATATGTGTGCGCACACTTGCATCGTCAATTATTATTTATTGAGCGACAGCGTCTCGCATGGCGAAATCGCAGAGTCTAATTTCCAAATGCATATTACTGTCCATTGCGTGGACAGGGCAATCGTGTCGCAAAAATTCGAATCACATAATTGAATGTCGCATAATTAGGTGGAGAGGTAGGAATAAATGTCGCTCACCGTCAACTTGGCTACAAGTATATATTGGGCATAAGGCGTCTACATGGATGAGTACTATACAATGCGAGGTATTAATTTCTCTTCTAAGAGGTCTATAAGATTTCTCTGTTGTCGCGCATAACTGTGATAACACGACTCGAGAAATGACTGACAATGATCGATCGACACATTATCTAAACGTGGCATCGACAGGAGCTACACATCGGGATTTAGGCAGACAGATTTGGTACGTCGGGATCTCGTGCTTCCTGCTCTTCCAAGTCTTTCGAAGAGAACATACCCCCTCCTGACGCTCTTGGAAATGCATTCCTTTCCAGTTCAGCCGGCGAACGGCGCTACGAATATGTATGTGTTTCATATGAAAAGATGAGAAACCAAAGGAGGGCAGAGGGGAGCGTACATCTGCACGCCCGTACTGCTGATTACATTGCCGATTCCTATTTACAAGTCGTACATTCCTTTTTACAAATATCTATACGCTTCTTATGTTGCAAGAAAATATATCATTTCCTCTGACATCTGTGTGTGGCTGTGTGGCTGTGTGTGTGTGTGTGTGTGTGTGTGTGTGAGAATGTGTACGTGTGTGACGTACGCTACATTTACTTCACACGGAGTTCGCTACTAATGTACATACATTGTTTTTAGGCTGGTCGTTTGTCTACAATTCTTTTTACTTTATATCAACGCGTATCAACGTAAGAAGGTATCGAGAAGTAGACGGTAAAGAAAACGCAATGATCATTTCTTCATGTTCTGAAGAACGTTCTGTTTTCCCTTTTCTCTTCTTTTCTTCTCTCGCACTTAGTGCCGACGTCCGAATGTCGCGATCGCGGTTTGAAACCGTGGCTTAGCGCTGTTACAATTCCCGTTATTATCGCGCTTAACTAAGTATGTACGAGTCGTAGGAAAAACGCAGGATGTAAATTTACAGCACTCTCAGAGACGTCGCCTTTTCTACTTTCTCTTTTTTTCTTTTTTGTTTAGTTTCGGGGCTATTGTACAGTTATTACATTATATCGTATATAATGCCTATCACTTTTGGGACATTACATGTACCCTAGAAGTGTCTTCTACGCTATCTGAGAAAAACAGGGTATTTGTCTTTCTGCCTACATTCGAGCCCGTACAAAATAATGACCATCACATGTTTACTCGAGACATACGACAAACGACAGTACGTGTTTCTATACATCCTACACACGACAGTTTCGCTAACACTTCATATAGGCGACCGTGATGAAATCAATCAGAAGAGTCACCGGTTAAATTTCATTGCAGATGCGAGGGAGAGAAAAACAGCGAACGAATATCGAGCCGCCTGTCATCACCCTTCGTCACGCGAGTATCAAGTGCTTGAAAATGTGACTCCGACAGAGCGACCACCAAAAGAGAACCAGAGAAAAATTCGCATATTTTCGGCGTTCATCCACGACATCGACACGCTACTTACTTCGACTACACGCGAGGTAAAATAAATCTTTACACTTCCAAATCGCGAACGATCACAGTTACAATTTCTGTCGCGGCGCGTATCATATAAAATTGTACTTCCAATTATACGAATATTTATTGTATTTAATTGCTTTGGGTGACACGTACGCGTACGTATACCTACGTGTAAGTACGAATAGAAGAATACGATTATCTATCATCACATTAACGCGAGACTACGTCAGTCCGATGCTAAGTGTAACAATCGTCGGGCAGACGAGTTGCTGCTCCCTCAGTTGTTATACGACTTCTCACGAGCGTTTGGATTCCATTAAAAAGGTAATGTTGATGCGGCGCGTTTACTTGGTGAAACAAATGCTTCTGTGAAAATGAAGGATGCTTGCCTCGCCGTTACTTCGCCCATGCATATGCATCCCTGACGTGGGATAAATTCTCAAATAAATATTCTGAGAGAAACAAGAGAGATAAGGAGAGAGAGAGATGAAGAAAGAGAGAGAGAGAGAGAGAGAGAGAGAGAGAGAGAGAGAGAGAGAGAGAGAGAGAGAGAGAGAAAGAGAAAGAGAAATCGCACACTTATACCCAAGGTAGACAGGCGTAAGGGGCACAGCTATTCTTATTGTGGATGCCCACGAACGGGAGCGAGTGTCTTTGCCTGTGTCAGTGTTGACGAGGATAAGGGTCCAGCTGCGTGTTTCTATGCGCCTGCATCTGCGGCGTTACGTTGCTTGATTGCGCCTGTTCCTGTTGTCTGTGTTGTTGTTGTTGTTGATAGTGGTATCGTGGCTGGTGGTGTTGCTGTTGCTGGTACTGTTGGTGCTGCTGTTGCGGTTGCTGGTGGTGGTGCTGTTGCTGCGGTTGGTGCTGGTGTTGCTGCTGCTGATGCTGTGGTTGGTGTTGTTGATACTGCTGTTGGTGGTGCTGCTGTTGCTGATACTGTTGTTGGTGCTGCTGCTGCTGACGTTGTTGATGCGGTTGTGTACTGTGTTGCAATGTGCCGTGTTGTGGTTGTTGATGCTGCTGTTGCTGCTGCGGTGGTTGCTGGCCCTGTTTTCGTTGCTCCAATCCAGCAGCCACGTAGGAAAATACGCAGAGAACAGCGTAGCAGATCTCAGACGCCTGTGAATAAAGAAACGTTTTATGATTGTTACATTGCGTAAATACTGATTAATATCTGTGTGATTGATTTATTGGCAATGTGCGGATAAACTTGTCAAAGATCGTCTGCGAGATGTGACTCGTGGAAAATGTTCGTGGAGAAATTAAATAAAAATTCATGCAACGAAATTGAAACAGAACTTACGTGAGATGTAAAAAACGAAAGAAACTCAGGGAGATAAACTTCATGCGACGTTAGTCGCGCGTTTATACTTATGATGACCCTCCGACGGAAATTTATGAAGAGTAAATGCGACCGAAAATATTCTATGCATGCAGCGAACCGCCTCTTCAGCCTGTTACACAATACACATCTACATACGTGAACGTTGAATGAGGAGAAACAAAAAATAAATTCAACATATCTTGTATAATGCATATTTTTCTCTCGGCTTTCTGTTGCTCAAACGAAAACGAGAGTTACACTGTTTGTTTTATCTTAAATAAAATAGATAATACTTTTTTTTTATATATAATTTCTTTCTTTTAGGATTAAGCACCTTTTATCATGACAGTAAGTATTTTACAATATTTTGCCGGGAAAATCGAATGCACTAGTGACTGACAAAACAGAACGGTACTCACCATTTGTGACTTATATTTACGTTGAATTACTTGTCTAGTTTTAGGATCTGAAACAGAAGAAGGCACATGGTAAAGTCCCGTTGACCGAGTACCCGGGAGTGGCGTGAATTGCAGCGTAAGCGTGTCAGTAACGTGGATCTCTACTCTCCACGAGATGTGTCTACGGGCGTGAAAGCGTAATATTAATATCGATGCGGTATTCGATACGTGTGTCTCACTTACTGAATTCTTCCAAAACAAAGATTCCATCCTTTTGAGTAAAGCACTTGCGGATATGATCGAGTCTTACAAAAAACTGCAAATAACACAATTGTATTGCGTTAGTGGTCTGCGCACCGCGCGTCTACATCTGGATCTACTCGATCATGCACACTCGTGTGACGATTCTATGGCTTGTCTTATGCGTCAACAACAATATCGACCGTGTGTGTGTGTGTGTGTATGTGTGTGTAAATATATATGTGTGTATAAAACAGCTTATTTCAAGGCTTGAGAGATGGATTCGTGATGGCTCATTCGGCGAGAGTGAGCATCTGCTTTCACCCTTCGAGCGCTGATTATTCGCATATTGAACAGTCATTCAACATTCGTTGTATCATTTTTCCTTGTTCCAAGGATTCATACAACTCTTACGCGTATTCGTGAGAATTCTCGCAATTACGGGAGAATTATATGTACATGCTACGAATGTTATTTTAGTTGGAGATTCCTTGAGAGTGATTCAACCTCGACCCTCTGCGAAAGATTCAGACGCGCTCGACGGGCTTTGTGTGACAGATTCGCACATATCACGTACTATCGCACTGTATGCTCTAATTGATCGCGCGTCGCCACACCGAATTCACGGACACGAGAGTAAGCGTTGAAATTATGCAAGTTGCTTGTAAGTAATGTGAGTTGAAAAATTGCGAGTGCATTACTCTCTATCGGCCGCCTCGCTTGTCAGATACGGTGGCACGTGTTAATATACGTCGCTAAGAAAATTATTAAATTGGTTTGTGACGTCTACAATCGTATGATGATCGTTATCGCTAAAACAATACGTCGCTCACTAGACACGATAGTCAAGTATAATTTGCTAGTCAAGTGCGAGAAGCGATGCTCGCATACACAGAGACATTATTGCGGAAGGAGATTGCGTTTCTTCCGTTTCTCTGACGAAGCCGACACAGCCTGATTTTATCCGTCCAAGTTGCTTATCTTTCGTGTGATTTCATACTCGCGAATAATATCTGTCCGCGCCTGACGAAGCGAGCGACTAAAATGAAAAGTGCGCTAAATAAATGATTTCTCGCATCTGCAGAGAAATGTTTGTCGAACGTTAACATATTTTACATCCTTATATCTGATCGTTCCCTTAATGTCATGCGCACGCGATTTTATTCTCGTTACGTAATAATCTCTCGCAAAGGACGAGCGACAAACACCGAGTCGCGCTGTACATATAGAAGAGATTGTAGGCATTATATCTCCCAACAGCCGTTGTGATATACCAAAATTGAAATATCCATCACACGTGCAGAGAGAAAGAGAAAAAGAAAGAGAGAAGGAGACAAGGTGTACGAGCGTTCGCAAACGAAGGAAACGAAATCGAGAGACTCGAATCCAAGTATCTCTGCATGCAAACACACAAGGACTCTCCCCCTGTTCAATCGTTTTCACGATCATGTTCCCTGTAACACAGCATGCACAACCCTACGAGAATATAATAATCGCAACAATCCAATTGCTACGATCCAATCGCAAATATCCAAGAGTGAGCAACGGAGAATCGTTTTCGCAAAACTCAACCTCCGACGATCCTCAGATGAGAATCAATCTCTTTCTTCTCGGAACGCTTTACTGAACGCGTCAGCAAAACTGTTTGACTCGATTCTACAAGTTTCGTGACGTGCTGAGTTTTGCGAGGAGAAACGACGCCCCTGAACAGCAGCAGGGCCAAAGCGACATGAAAGCAAGCTATCCAGGATCTATCGTAAACTACCAAGGACTGCCAACAAGGTCTCTCAAAGTTTACCGAAGACACCATGCATCATTTAGCTGCTAATCTCGGCATATTTGAGCTTCTAAAGCGAAATCTATATAGCTGCGACGGCGGCGAACGGAGCGGCAGCAACAGCGTCAGCGATACAGCGGCAGGCATAATAGCAGCAGGCAACTCTGGAGATGGCCTAAACTTAATCGTAAATGTCACTGATTGCTTAGCGTCGATAAGTTGCTAAATGTGCAATTGTATCATCTAATACAGACCGGTGGACGTGGACTGTCACCGACAATGATGCACGGTCGTGATATATATATCGATCGTGGGTGGTATATATAATTAGGGAGAAAGAGGAACGAGAGAGCGAGAGAGAGAGAGAGAGAGAGAGAGAGAGAGAGAGAGAGAGAGAGAGAGAGAGAGAGAGAGAGAGAGAGAGAGAGAGAGAGAGAGAGAGAGAGAGAGAGAGAGAGAGAGGAGAGAGAGAGAGAGAGAGAGAGAGAGAGAGACGTATTACAGTGGTATAACAAATGTCACTGTCAGGTGGGCGAGAGAAGGAGAGATATATATCGGTACAATGTCGTCTAAACAAGAAACATTATGTAGCAGTGCCATGCTATAGAAGTGTATAATATTGTGGCGAGGTAGGTAACACCTGAGGCTCTCGCGCGAGTCATACTTTCCACGACGATCTCGGAAAGTCTCATTCGTAAATATATATATGTATATATATATTTATATATATGTTTGGACATCACTATACAGTACGAGAAACCGTTGCTCTACTAGCATAACTAGCAGTGTGTGTCTGGCAAATTCGAGGGGAGCGATGTGTATCATGACCATATAAATCGGGTAGCTTTATCCTATTCCGTCGTTTTGTATGCTCTTTGGAAATTCAATTCAAATCGCGAGTCGTAGAGAGAAAAAGAAAGAGAGAGAAAGAGAGACAGGAGGACAGAGAGATATAAATTTTGTATTATAGATATGTTAATTCTCTCGCATAAGCGGAGATGCGCCTCATTTAAATCCCCGAAAGAAGAACAGCGGATTCATCGGTGATCAACTGATTGTCGTATTGATTCTCGAAATTGTCGACAAAATTTTATGTAAAATTTTTATCGCGATTTGATTGACTCAATTGCTTACGTTAACAGTCATGTTTTATATTACGTTTATTGGTTTCATCGATATCCGGCGTTATACGATAGCTCCCGATTATGCTGGTCGATTATAATATAAAGAAATGGAGGACAGTTAAGGCACTACGAGTATAATATCGTTAATGTATAAATTTACGGCCGCGCTCCGAAATTATACGCAAAGTGGCTTCACCCAACAAGCCATGAACGAAAGTCATTTTCTACAGCTTGCCTTCGCGAGCACAGATCATCGACTCTTGCGCATTACGATGCTTGCTACGTTTTCCAATTGTTCTCATACAAATAAAAACCAAATGTGAAGCGAAAGAGGCTCGTCGTCAACGTAAAGAAAACATCGTTTTTGGAAATTCTACAGAAAGAAAGAGAGGATATTCTGACATTTCTGACGGATCTTCGATGAAATCCATATAGCTATGTCAACCGCTAAGATTCGATCGGGCCGAGCAAAGACGACAGTAATATTATACAAGACTCTACAGACTTGTCAATCTTCCGATTATACCACATGCTATTATCGTGATCGAAAGATCCGGTGTGTAACGTGGAAGTTGTAATGATCGTGACGTAATGACTGTGTACGTACTTTCATGTATACGAGTGATAGGCTATATAGATATATATATATAGTTGCATTGTGTGCATCGAACATCGCTCTACAAGTTGCACTAAACACTACTTACAAATATTTCATCTAAACGATATATATATAGATACGTTGCCGGACTTTCGATATGCGACAAACACTGTTTTGCATATATTGTTCATTACTGGAGATACTTGAGAGTTTCAGCTTTACGATATATCGGAGACATATAATATATATATATATATACATATTACAATTAATAGACGGGTCGATCGTAGAAAAAACAGTAAAAAGTAGACAGAGTAGATCATTGAATTCGAATGCAATTTAAGAATGTATAAGTAGATATGTAGTAATATATATATATATGTATATATATATTTATTTATATATATATATAATATAATAACGGCCAAAAGTAATGGTAAAAATAAATAAGCATCTCCGGAACACGGCCAACATTGAGTATATAGTCAATACTGAATTTATAACAAACAGTGATTTATTGATTGATACCTCGAAATCCTGTTTGCCCAGCCGGGGCAATGTCGATGGACAGGACAAGAACAGAAAACAGAAAAACAAAATTAAAACCTTTGGTAATAGTAATAATCCACTCAGTTAGATATATATATAGAGATAGATAAATAGATAGATAGAGCTGTACACGATGGTATTACAGCCATATTATGTAATACACCTATCGTCATGGCTAATCGTTAAAAACAGCAAAGTTTCATTGTTCAAGGACCATCTCAAAAGTTCCCCAAGCTGAGAAAAGTCTATCATCCGATATCCGAGATCCCGTGCGAGTAATATCCCGCGAGCATTTCGTCATTCGCGCGAGATTCCATCAATAATAATAAGAAAGAGAGAGAGAGAGAGAGAGAGAGAGAGAGAGAGAGAGAGAGAGAGAGAGAGAGAGGAGAGAGAGATCCGCGAATATTTACCGTCGCAGTGAAGTTAGCGTGATGATAAAAAACAGCGATTTATGTTTGATGGTTGCGCAGATTTTTTACTGCGTTATTTTCTCGTCTCTTTTCACTTTTTTACTGTTTTCTTTTTCTTTTCTTTTATTTTTTTATCTCGAGCCATAACGAATAGACTTTCCTCGCGTATATAATCACGACAGATAAAAAAGTTGTTAGACTTATGGAAAAAATATAATGGCATCCAACATTCAAATACAAATGATAAGATATAGGAGTAGTGTTCAAAAGACAGTCTGTATATATATATATCGCCCTATACCTTACTTCCTATATATATATATATGTAGATATATAAAATATATAATGATAAATATAATATATAATCATATAATACAGATAAAAAAAGAGTCTGCAACTGCACATCGAGCTTCCATGCAAGAAAACATTGATTATATAACGCTTGAACACAATATTGTCCAATAAAATAATCGAAAGGATATATATATATATAATCGGAGTCGTATGTATATAAAAATGTCCTAGCGAGTACGTTACGGGAACAATTGCGATTAGAGATCGATTAGAGGTCTCGATACAAGAAATGCTTAGTTACGAGTGGAACAACTATTTCTTCTCGCTGGAAGTGTCGTGAACTTCCTGCTGGAAATGTGGGACATGTTGTGTACCAATAACATTTGCTTCTCGATTCTTTAACTGTTCACAGCTCCCTTCGTTTAGTGTAGATTTGTGTCGTTAAGAGTATACGCGTACAAATCCTCGCAAATTCTTTTCTTGGGCACTTTACAGTAATCCCTTTATCGTGAACTTCCCTCTGATGATTTAGAATATTGATTGGTTATTCGCCGATTAAATCACCTGGACGAGGAGCTCGGCTCGCTCCTATTGTGGACGCATAATATAACACGGTGGATCACGTACAGATACAAATCAATTAAGCAGATCATAGTGGCTAGCAGTGGGAGATAATATTGAGTGGTCCTTGCATCAATGCAATAATGAAAAAGACACCGAGAATATTTAATGATCGAGAGAGAGTGAGAGAGGGGAAGAAAAAAGAATATGAATGATAAAAGGATATATATAATGATTGATAACGTGTATAATGATTGTGAGCGACAAATGAATTCTCCATCTTGTACGGTTCAATTGAACGCTACCATTTTTGCACTATTGCCCCGTTTCCTGCCCTTTCGTTTTGACATAAACGTCCCATTCGACTATCTATTCGACATCGAGCATCTTTACAACATGACGAGTGTCGAGATTACCGCAAATGCTATCTCGAACCGCCGTCGCGATCGATGAGTCGAGACGAAGGGTATCTTTCTACAAATGGACCTGTAGCTTGTGGTAAAATAACATATTCTCTGACATATGTTTAATCACTGAAATAAACGCATAATTATAACGTCGCATCGACGCCCACCGAGTGAACGCTTTAACATTGTACAGAAGAACATGACATTATATAGTCGAAACGTAGGATCAGAGATAACGAAAGATGATAATCGTCAAATTAAAGTTCGCAATATATATATATATATGTGATGTCAAATGCGATCCAACATGACACAAACAATTGAAACGTAGAATGTAAAAAAGTATATATATATGTATATAGAGAGAGATAGAAAAAAAGAGATAGAGATAAATTTGCGCAATCCTGTGAGAGTCAAGCTCTCATTCCTCCTGCATCGTTACAGCGTAAAGTGTGCTCTCGAGAATATGAGTCATACCTTGCTATTCGCGAAAAGTAGACCGACGCCCTCCATGCAAACTTGCAGAAGCCCGCCTTCGCCCGTTCGCATGTCCTGCACCGGAAATTCACCGCCGAGTTCGATGCCCACGTTCGCGCCTCGCCCGCGAGCCACGGCCTTTTCCATTGCGTCCTTTATGCAATAATATAGATCTTTGCACTGCAAGCAAAGCACGTTACGTTAAAATCGCATTTTGCAATTTGCAGAAAATGCCTACTGTCAACAAAATATTCTAGAGGTCTCGCTATTTTCATAATTTGACATATTTTTTCAACGTATTTTTCTATATATATATAATATATATATATATATATATATGGAATTACTAAAAAGGTTTAATTCTATAATTTCCAATTTGTCTTCATTAAATGCCACAATGAAGTCAAATTTGAAGTTGAAAAGTCAAACCCAATTTTTTTTAAATATGCATTCTGTCTTTAAATAATTTTTATGATCACCAATGAGTGTGACATGATAGAAGAATTAATGCCTATTATATCGGCGAATCTTTCTCTCGTTCATTCTTCTCCTTTTTCTGCCTCTAGAGAGGTACATACCTTCTTCGTATAATATTTATGCAACTCTGTATCACCGCCGCTTCTCCTCCACAAGCACAGGACCTTATTCTTCGGGCTATACGTCATATTGACTACGCGCTCGTACCACCAGCGTTCCACTATCACGCCGTTCACCGACCTCAGCACGAGCCCGTCGTGGCGGACCTCGAGGAACCGTAGATCACCCTCGGCGTCGACCCCGGAATGCACGGTAAACGACTGCCGGTGCATTTGTCGTGACGTTAGGGGTTTCAGATCGATGTCGTTTCCGTGCTGAAATGTCGAAGAAGATTTGTTGATCGTGTCGTGCCTGGCACTTCGCGCGGCTACAGCATCCACTTACGAGATTATTGATTTGATCGAGCAGTTGATTCAATTCGTGACTGTAGATGAGGCCGATGTGACTCTTGCCCAGTAACCTTCGTACTTTCCGTTTCAGTTCGTTCTTGTCGACATTCAGCATCACCAAGATGGCGGTGAGATTGTGTAACAGAGTGCACAACAGTCTGTCTTCGTCGTGCTCCAGCCGTCGCCTTTCGCTTTCGCTCAAACTCTTGTATCTGTCATATATATATATATATATATATATATATTATTTTAATAACATTAACTTGAAACATTAAGAAAATATTAAGACATGAGAACAGAGAGAGAGAGAAAAAGAGAGAAAGAAAAAAAGAGAGAACTATCGCGGCGTCTTTCACCTCTCCATCATTTCACCAGGCCCTTGATCCATGCCCATCATGTCGCGCTCCTGCGAGACAGCGTCCAAGAAGGCGTCCTCCCAGAATTGCATTTGGTCCCACAGAGGGGATCTCTCCTTCCCCAGCAGACCTGAATTCAGAAAGCGCGGCAGCGGTCAATGCGCTAGTCGATGAGGATCAAACTGATCAGTTTATGAAACTGTGATAACATCGTCAGTGAGATCGCCGGTTAAACAGAGTGCGATACCTTCGAAGAGATACGTTCTCGCGGCCTCCGGACTCGGCTGTGTCGTGGTGGGTATCAAACTACCACCGTGATACCGGAAGCCAGTGCTCAGAGACGACTTGCTGGACCAAACGCTGCCGGAACGCTGCTTGCCTTGCCGGGGGAACTAGAATCACAAGAGCGCGTAAGAGTGGAGTTAATAGCGTTCTCTCGAGAGATAAGGAGAATATCAATAAGTTGCTATGAAGATCTCTCAATGAATCAAAAGTATAATGACGTTTGTAAGAGTACATCTTCTCTATCGGCATCCGTCGATTGTAGCGGTACAAGGCGATACAACAAACTAAAAAACTCATTCGCATAGCTGATTGCGCACGATGTAATTAACTTTCTCGCTAAGGTCAAAGGGTAACTTCAGATTGTTCGCACGACGGAGGGAAACACAAAGAAGCTATCTGTACCACAGACGACACGCAATTTTTGTTCTTTTCTCATTGGTATCATTCGCATCAATGATGCCGTTGGTGTCACCGTTACCCTTCGATAACGATTCTCTAGGTGATTTTATCAACGTCCATCCGGCGTGTGTTCCTGTCTGATAGATGAGCAAGCGTCGGTGCCGTTTGGAATTATGGAGAAAGCGCCTCTCATACTAAATATCAATACTATATATCAGAGCTGCTGGCGTGTCAAAGGAGATGAAGGGCTCTCTACTATTCCAAAGGTGCACATATTCAGGCATTTGAGTGCTCGAACTTGATGACGGCCATCGAGAGCTTACTAACACACGCACACGCGCGCGTTTCACTTCAAGTTTCACGTAATAATTGTCCGAATAACAATTTCGCAACTAAAGTTGTCTCGGTAACTAAGCTTTGCCGTCAGTTAACTCGACAGGAATGGACGACGCTACTGGAATATGTTGCTCTACGAGAGGTAATAACTATATAAATATAATAAACTAATTCAGTAGGTAATTTACATTGCCTTGCTCGACCTCGCTATCAGACACAGTGCTTCGGAAAGAAGCTTGGTGCGCTTGCCGAAAAGCAGGATTAGTGATAATGCTACCTCCGTCTGTGGATAAAGCTTCGCTGCTTCCCGTTCCACCACCCCGCCCACTCTAAAAAACACATGACACGTGTGCGTTGCACGTTATAATGGAACGTGAACATTCAAGTCGTAGTGTTGCTTTCATTGCTAGCTTTACAAGGAACCGTTAAAGAAGACGAAGAGAGAAAACGCACAGGAAGATGAAGGAGCTATTGAGCCGATATAAGTGTACACCGAGAGAGAATTAAACTTCTCGTCTGTCTCGGGACGGGGGGAGGCTTGTATATTTTTACCGTGTTCTTTAACAATAGCGCCTGCGGCATTGTATCGCGATACCCAAGTACTGTGGACTACTGGCCAACTTGAAACTTCATCTCATATTTGAAATATTTCCGAGTAAGCTTTTTGTACGAACGGCGAGTTCCACCACTAGTGTATAAGTATTCGGATATTCGATTTTTCTACCTCGGAATCGAACGACGTGAGCTTGCTTAGAAATTTTCCCTTCTTCGTGAACATATCCAGAAACATGTCCGTCGTCGATTGGCTCGTGTCTCCCGTCGTTGCTGCTTGCACGTGCGGCATGTCCAAGTGTACCTGCGGCAGTTCTAATGCACACGAGAACATTAATCTTCGACGTTGTTAATATCTGTTTAAGCTTTAATGTATGCAGCTATGTACATCTATTTCTCTTGAACTGAGTTAAAAGGAATTTAACTCAACTGCATCGACGTCCAAAATATAATAGCTCTTTAAAACATACCCGATTTTTGCATAGTGTCTGCGAAATCGGGCTGATTCGGCGATTGAGGAGATTTTAGGTTCTCCCTACTGCCGAACGGGCTGGATGCCTACGAAGGAAACTCTTTCTTTAATTATAATAGTTTTTATTAATTATAGTCATATTATAAAATATTGAATAAATATACAGAAGACAAAAGAACTTTAAATTATGTCACGACGATGCGCGAATAATATGGATAAAAAGATATTGAAATTGCTCAATACCTGCGACATCAATGAGCTATCGAAACCACCTTCGGATAAATCTTTGCTCCAGTAATGCGTGTGAGCGATCTCCATCAGTTGAAAGACAGAAGCCATTCCGCCTAGTCCAAAATTATTATACGTATGCGCAAGACCATACGTCACTGCTTGAAGGCACTTTAACATTCCCTTGTACACGGGTCTCGGTATAGCCTATGAAAAAGTGAAGCAAGTACATACAAGTGAAGCATAACTACACTAATTAACCAGCATTATCGAATAAATGTAAGCAAGTGAAAACAAGCAGTAAATGTGAAACGCTACAAATTCATCGTATCATTTTTGCCAAATTAAGATACACATTCAAAACTCACCACATCGTCAATGTGATCGTCCGGACTAATTTTTCTATTGAGACCTTTGTTCAGCTTCGTCACGACTAGATCTCGATAATTCTCGTCCTCCATCAGCTTCTTCAATCTGTTCAGTTTGAGCCAGCCGACACCTTCCCCTGCCAATACCTGCGTCACCACCTGAAATATTTATTAAAAGATTTATTAAAAGAACGCAAAATTAAGATCGTTTCTTTTTTTTATAAAACTTATAAAACTTTGAAAGCACAGTTTCAACGAGCACTTACGTCGTTCAAGAAAGCTTGATTGTCGCTATTTGTGCTGGAACGTTCCGCGTTCTGCATTCTCTGCGCATCTTCTTGATTAACTTTGTGCGAGGAATGCTTTATCAACGAAGAACGCTCCACCAACCCAGTTTTTCCTACAACATACAGTGCAATGACACGTTAGACCTTTAGTTTCAACAAATCAAATTAATTAAAACATCTTGCACGTACCTTTGGGAAATGGTCCGAGAATTTGAGTTTTCTCCTTCGATTTCTGGTTCTGCGGGAAGAAGCTGCTGCCTCTGTTAGAATTATTTTTACTACCTGAAAATTGGACGCAATTTCATAATTAATTCATAAATTTCGTAAATTGTAATAGTATACGTAATAATATGTTACGCATAACAGAAAACTATTGGTACGTACCAAACAAATCGCTGAACATACTGCTCGTCTGCGCGGCGAAGCCGTTTAAATCACTACTGATATTGCTGAAGAAATCCCGCCCAACGCCGCTACGCGTGTCTGATGCGACCAGTTGGTTGCTCATCGAATCCTTTCGCTGAGTCATATTGGGAGATGGCGGCGTATGTACTGGCGATTGTTGCGATTCACCGAGGCTCTAAATACAAGTGAATAGTAAATTCGATCAGAGATGCACCGATACGAAACACTTCTATGTTATATTCCAGAGCGTCTGAAAGTAAACGTTATTCTCTAACGAGACTCACGTTACGATACTCTTCTTCAGAGATACGTGTTGCGCCTACCTTGAGCAAGCCCTTCTTCGCGGCGACTTCTTTGGCACTTTTCGTCAAATCTCCCAGTGTACTCTTGCCGACGTACGTCAAGTCATCTAGCGTATTTTTGCTGACACCGGCTGCAGTTTTACTCGCCTCCAGCGCAGTCTTCGACGCTTCTTGCACCGATTTGGTAGCCTCACCCATGGCTTTCTTGGTTTGTTGCGTCAACTGATCAAATCGCAGCATAAAGAACATAAATTAAAGGAGTGTTTCGTTGTACAAGTTGTCGTACTTTATATAGAATAATGAACGAAAACGCGTACCTGTTCCAACGGCGCGAATAGACTCTCCTCGCCAGCCTCAGTAATTTTTTCCTTCGCCTGATGCTTGAGCTAGAAAAAAAAACATGAATTGAATGAACTAAAATATTTTATTTATACAGCTCGTCTATCATCTAAGCTTTGGTAATAAGGAACTTTCTAAATCTTCTCAACGCACTTTTTTTTCTTCTTGATTTGGATACTCGAACGCTCAGATGAGAACAATTTCTGTTACAATACCTTGTCCATTTGCGCGAGTAGCCCGTCCTGACTGCTCTGTCTGGTGGTCTCGCGCACCAAATCCTTCGCTTGGCTGGCGATCTGCTCGAACAGGGATCCCTGAGAGCCTTGTCTAAGCACACCATTTCCGGTGTTCGGGCTGCCGCCGCTGTTTTGTCGTTGCACCCCATTATCGTTCTGTTTTTGCGGGATTGGTCCCGCCGACGACTGCCGCTGAAGCTGCGCTCCTTCGACATGATGCTCGGTGGACGCGGTGCTGATCTGTCGTGGCAGCAGCGGACCAGTGGTGCTGAAGCTGGAGCCTCTCGCCAGGACGTTCCCGACACTCGGCTGACGTTGTAGACCTGATCCGGTGGGTGGTATCTAGAAAAACACACGAGATTATTTGTAACTGTTTCCTTCATCTTTCTGAGAAAACGTGTCAAAGAACAAAAGGACACTCGGATCTTCTCTAATCTCGTATGACAAGAAGTCCTTCTATCGATGGTAATTTATACTGGAAATTTTTGGAAATGTCAATATTAATAAATTCCTAACAAACAATATAAATAATATAGTGTGATAAGTGATTCCATATAGATTATACATTAGGGACAAATTTTTAATTGCATGCGAGGATATAGTAGAAAAGATCCTCGGATACTTTCTCTCTGGAACGTTACACATTAACCAACGTAACATTGACAAAATGGTCGTACGATATCTCAAAGTTTAAAGTGTACAAAAAAAAAGAGTTATTCATGCTTCAACGGAAGATTATGTTTAACGTGGGGGTTAAGTATAAAAAAAAAGTCACAAGTTATTTCTACAAAGAGAATCGTTTTACTTTTTTGGCAACGTTAACTTGCAGCAGTCGGAAGAACGTATAAGTTCACAAATTCATGTATGAATGTGCATTTGCATGAAAATAACATGTTAAATTTCACGAGCAATCATCAAAGTGCAATCACGTATCTCGGAAAGTTCAAACAGAAGGAAGAACAAGTGCATTATAGTAAATCTGATTCGCTCATTTTTCATGCTGAGAGAAAACGGTGCGATATATAAATAAACTGAGGATCAAACTGGAGACAATTGGAACTCACAATCAGATAGCCACATTAAGTACTGGGACGTGAACAAGGAGTCATCATGATCGTGTCTTAAATAATGAACGTGCAATAGATTCGAACAACGGGCTTTGATTATGACGTGTGAACGAAATTCAAAATAAATGTAAATATGAGTCATAAATGTCACTGTCGAAATAAAAAGCAAATCAGGAACGAGAGAAGCTAACATTCTCCTTAAACAATATTCTTAATGAAAGATATATAGGAGGAAGAAGAAGAAGAAGAAGAAGAAGAAGAAGAAGAAGAAGAAGAAGAAGAAGAAGAAGAAGAAGAAGAGATGACAAAGTCGAACATTCCACATACTTCCACAAGTCCCGATATATCCCATCTATCATGCATCTGCTCGAATGACACCGAGGACAAAAGTAGTCGACAGTTACGCGGGTCAATAGAGCTTCAAAGGTAACATGGAGATGACTCACAGGAGTGACATATCTACTGACACGCGAAGTCCTGTGAGGAGTCGCAGGACGTTCAACGTCGGTGAGCGAAGGAGTGCCTAAAGATCCCATGCTTATCCCGAACTGTCCTACTGAACTTTGTGCGCTCAGGATTGTGCGCGGTGTTATTGTCGACGCGGAGTCTGACTCAAAGCTACCACCCTCCTCTTTATCCTATGATCAAGCAATTCGTTAGCGTATATCGATGATCCGTTACGTCGAGCTTTACGCATTGTTAATATCGTTATGAAAATAAATATTTTTCATAGGCATACAGTATTTATACATGTGTCATTTATATAGCATGGTGATCCAGAAATATCAGAAATCTACTGATATTACGGTTTTGCATCGGGATGCGGATTTTGTTCTCTGATTATGGAAAAAAATGAAAGAGTGAGAGACATAAAGTGAGAGAAAACTGAATGTAATTTAAAATTTTTTAATGTCGGATGATTGGTTGCAACATAAAAGAAAAATTTTTTTTTCAGTAAAGTGCCTCGAAGCAAAAATAGAGTGATACATTATGAAAAAAAAAGTTGATAAATTTTATTGTTGCAGGGAACGAACTCGAGAAATTTCTCCTTCACGAGGGAAAATCGAATGGTCGAATGAACATGACTGATATTTTTAAGTAAATTTAATATGATATGATCTCTCTAAGTAAATTCGACGACATTTCTAGGAGTTATGATAGGTATATGGTAATCTTTCCGAGTTCAAAATTGCTCTACTGGGAAATTCATAGAATGTGGCTTATCAAGTTTCTCGTTGTATATAAAGTATATAAGTGTATAAAGTACCCATATATATCGTATGTAAAAGTATTATTTAGCTTGTAGAAACTGGTGCACAGAGAGAAAAAGACGAGAAAGAGAAGATAGATAAACGATAGAGGGAAACTTGTCCACTTACGTTAGTGGATTGTGAACCCTCATGAATTTTCGGATTTAATTCAAGCTCAGAATCCCTGTTAAAGCTTGGACTACTGAGATCGCTGTGACTAGAAGAAGTACTCGGTGGACTCTCGGGTCGTACCGGCGAATCCTCCTCCACACCCGGATATTGCAAGGAACTCGGAGGGTTATAGACATTCTTCGGATCCACCGAAAGTGACATTTGTTGGGGTTGACTTACTTGCGGACAATTGTAACCTGCGGAAAACAATTGAATTTAATTACCTACGATGATATCCTAACGTTTAAACAAAAATATAATTGCCGCGATCATATATAGATCATATAAATTTAATTTAATTTAATTCAAATTTAATTTAATTCAAATTATGCATTAATTACGTAGTTTGTTTCAACTCGACACTTGTTCGGATGCGCGCCAAGTTTCGTTTATTCTCAGGAATTCTACTTCCATGTCGTCGGTTCAAGACACCTACCCGGCGAGAGATCGGACGATGCCATCTCGGAAACAAAGTCGCTCAAAGAAGAGTAAGAAGAGCTCGTGCTCTCGGCGCCCTCAGAATCGGAGCCGCTCTCGTCCGTGGGCTGGCTCTCGAGCTCCTTCATCGCCTTCAGAGCGTTCGCCAGTGAGCTGCCGGAGTCCCAGACGGGAAAGTAGATCGGCTCGAGATTGCTCGCGTACCAGCGCGACTTGTCGCCGATCTGCGCCGGGTCGAACACTCCCGTCTGCACCCGGAGGAAGGCCACGTTACTCGGTGTGAGCGACCACTCCGCCAGGAATTCAACCGCCTGCGTGCGCGCGAACTTATTCAAGAAACTGCTCGCCCGGGGTCGCGAGCGCAGGAACGAGTTGATCTGAAAGGCCACCACAGGCCTGGGGTACAGCCTCAGAGTCCTTGTGTGCTCAGTGAAATTGGCCAACAGGTTTTGCGAGTTGAAGAAGCGCACCATGGCTACTCGCGTGGCGATGTCCACCGAATCCACGTCGTTCCCGTAGATGAAGGGATTGAACGGCGCCATCGGATTCTGCCCGACCGCGCTCTTCGGCAGGTATGGCCCGCTCGCAGACCCGATCGACTGCGACATCGACGGTCGACGAGTCGGACTCGACGTGCTCATCCCCGGTGAGTTCAAAGGGGTGTGTTGAATGTGCGCGCACTGATCGATGCTTGGTCTGTGTTTCGTAGCAGTTACGCTGTAAGGCAAACGACGATTTTGTTACACGAGACGCTGTTGATTAACGATGACTCAGGGAAAGCGTTCAAGTAGACGTACCTTAAGTTCGAATGATGCGATACCATGCTTTCTCTTCTACTCGGTGGCTGAAAAGAGAGACGAGGTGCGATATCTTGCGGAGGTAGAGGAGGGCCCGACATACTGGCCATAGCCTAGAAATTCGTCGAGTGGTTAATAAAACTGAATTCGCAGGGTCATTCGTCGCAACATATTAAGAAATTCACTACTTCCACTAGATCATCGGCCTACGAATAAAGCGATCGAACGAATATCACGTATGGCGTAAGGTCTACTTAAAATGTTGGCTACTCTGCGGGTTTCAATGAAAAGAGGAATTATAAGTCGATCTTCTTAATCATTGTGATTCTACTTCGGTGTCTGGACGAATTCATGTTGCAATATGGTCTATGATTCATCTACGATCCATCTACGATCGATTCTATGTACGATAAATCATGCACACTACTAACTACGAAACAAAGAGTAAATGTCACAAGCGGACTGAATTGGTGAAATATTTACACTAGAGCCAACTTGATCCATCAGTTGCATTGCCTGCGGTGAAGGTAACGAGTCATTAAATATGTCTCATTTGTCATCGTTTGCAAATAGTTACGAGAGCTTATGAGTTACCTCGATGATAAAGTCGACGATGTATTTACCTGCTTCAAATGGTTCTTCAGAATGGTGCCCTCCGGTTCCGGCAACGGCGGCAAACTGTCGTTCAGACCGCTGGGTGCCGTGATTTTATTGCTATCTAGGTCCACCAGCCAAATATCGTCGGGCATCTTGAAGTTTTTCTTGTACAACAGAAAAGAAGCGGGTATTCCGATCACAAAGGGCGTCGGCGCGAGCAGCAGCTGCTCCGCGCAGCTCATGCACGTCGGTAGCAGCGGTATCGCCGGAAACATGTACTCCAACGGATAAATCATCGTGACGAACGCCATAACCGACATAGACAAAGCGTTATAATCTCGGGATTGAAGAACGATCTAAAAAGAAAGATACTAATTTAATAATTGAAATTCTCGCAGCGTGGAGAACTGCTCGGATTGGCTTTCGGATTTGTCTCCGATGTTTCGTGAATATATCAGTTCACTTCTTCAAAGATTTCTTCTCGTTGAAAAAGCGAAGCCCCACGAAAAGTATTTCCTCCATTCTCAATAAGTATTTAAACGAGCTCAGAGATGTTGAAAATTAATCCCAGAATTACCTTGTTCTCCAGCAAGATCAACGTAAGAACTTTTAGACATATGTCAACGCCCAGGAGCTCCAACGGAAGATGTAAAGGAAAATCGACCAAGGAGAATCTTGTATGGTCCGGTAGAGCGAAACATAGCGGCAGTTGCATACTCGGTGATATGATTTCGACCTCGACGCGCGTTTTCGCCGGGACCGGTACAGGACTGCTAAGTAGACGCAGTATCCACGTCTCTATCTCACGTACGTCGTGCAGCACGATTGACGGCGTGCCCTCCAAAGCTTGGCCCGTCAGCACGCTCCACACCGTGTCCCTGCAATGCGAATCGCTGAGCTAGGAGAGACTGTTACTTCTCCGAGCAGCCAAATCTGCGAGACTTGACGAGATTTGTACGCACCTATTGGTCTGCCGAGAAGCTCCCACTTTCTGCGGCGAAAAGCTCTCGTTGCACGCGTCGATGATTTTCTTCAAGACGAAAAGACACTCCCGAAACATCGTGAAGAACGGGTGATGCGAAATGATGCATAACGAAGTCAAGGAGTGATTGCGAACCCTCTGCGAGAGTATCACATTATTTATGATAAGAGATTAGCAAGATATGAGAACTATGGGAAAAACGTTAAAGTTCAGTTGACAATCGATAAAGTTAATAATACCGACCTGACGCCTTCGAGACGCTCTCGGCGACGGAGAATGACTGCCGCCGCTCTCACTGTCTCCGCTCGGCGCGATGATGTCCAGTCTTGGGGCGTGAGGCACCTGCGGGGTGTCCGAGTCTCTCCTGCTGCTGGAGCAATCTCTGTCAGAGTCACTAGGACCCACCGCACTGCTCCTATAGTCGCTATAACGAACAGCTGGAGATACAATCTCACAAGCAAAACACTCTAATCGTTCGATTCATTTCAGACGCGTGATCCGACGATTTCAGGGAGGAGACTTCAAGTTTGCTAATAATTATAAGCCATTTCACCTAGAAAATGCCGAGTCTGTGCTTCTCTCCATGCTCTTCCTCCAGCTCTCTCTCCGGAACGTGGTGTTGTACTTCTCCCTCTTGAGCGACATCCCCGCGCTAGCCGCAACGCCCGCCCTTTCCATAGGTCGGTAGAAATTAACGCAGATCCCATAACGCGTCTTGCCTGCGATCAGACGATAGACGTCGTGTTGCATCGACCTCGCCAATTAGGCAACATGTCATCTGAGAATAGATACGTACCTGAATCCTTGTCGGTGAGAGTGAAGGTGAAGGATGTCGCCTCTCGTAAGGCCGTGCGTTTCGGTCCCATGCTGCTGCAGCCTTCCGGTTGGCAAAAGTACACCATATCCAGAGGCAGAGGGAAGTCCTTGTGATCCTCCACTGGATATCTGCGCAACAACTCTGGAACCTAAACAGCAAAAATTTACACGAGTAAAATATATTGAAATGATTATTAGAGATACAATTATTTTACAAGTAATTTACAAGACTCTTATTCTTATTAGCTCCTCTACCTTGTGTGATTTGTATAGTATATAGAAATAATCTTTTATTATATTATTTGGGTAAGATATTCGACTTATTGTATCATTCATTAAAAAATAAAAATTCTATCTATGAACTTTTCAATGTTTCATTTTTAAGTACTTGGTTATTTCTTGTTACACCTGATACAAATTCGAGGAGATCCATTTGTAAATAATTTATCGTAATTAAAAAATTTGTAAATAATTTGTCGTAAATAAACGTTAACTTTGACAGACTCCAAAATGTTGTACCTGTACGGGCTGACGAGAGGCAGGGGGCAATCTGGCCCCCACAATGGCGAGATAATCCACCAATCGGGGGCACAGATATTTCTTCTGTATATCCATGATCGTGATTTGTATTTATACACAAGCTGTGTCACCGTTGTATACGGTATATGCAGGACAGCCGAGCTGCTGAATGTTCCTCAGGATCGTTCCCAGGTTGAATCATGATTGCACCATTCTCCCGCTTATTGTTTAATCCACCTGCCAATTCGATCGCGAGAGTCGCAATTAATTAACGTTGAATAGCTTCGATTAATTGAGCTTTCGGTGCAATCGTCCTCAAGGAATGCAGGCTTGATTGACTCGATAATATTACCGATGTACCGTGGGCTTTCAGATCGTATCGCGAGGAATTCAACGAGTGACAGAGTTGAATTTAATTTCCTGCAAATTAAGAGGAGACAGAATACATAAATCGCGCGCGAAGAACGACAGAGGCGAAGGACGACGACGAAGGGATCGCAGGGCGGTCGAGGGACGAGAATTCGAGAGATCGATGAATCCGAAAGCCCGAGAGAATATGTGTCACCGTGTCGAGAGCGGGCGTGCATGCGCGCGGTCGCGGCGCAACGGCGGAGTAGGACCCCGTGCGTGTTTAATTCCACGGTATCGAACTTCTCTCATATTTCGCGCCGTGGCGCAACGCGAGGTGTAATGAAACGACTTGGTCGTGCACGAAGCCACGTATTGCCGCGTGTTATTGCTGCGCCGTCGTATTCTCCGCAATTGCGGAGCGAAACATGTACGTGTCGATTTTACAGGGCCGACCTGGCAATTACGGCTCAACGAGAAAAGCGATATCGCGCTGGTCGGCACGAATGTTGAGAAAAAAGAATGGATCCATCGTTTTCTGTCGTTCGAAAAATTCGCCTAAAGACATTGGAAGCGTCTCAAAATCCCGTCGCTTTGGACTCGACTCTTTAGGCTTCTTCTAGGCTGAAATGCGATAAATAAATTAAATAAATTTAAAATAAAAAATGCGCAACGACAGTCCGATCTAGCTTCTCATAGCAAAGGTGTGAGGGGTTGAGATTTCAATCTCTTCGGGAATTTCAAGAGTCGTTCGTAGAAATCTCTTACCCTCATATGGAATCGTCAGCTCCGTGCAAAATGAATCAACGGAATGTCTCAAACAATGTCCCCGATTCGAGAATCATTAGTGCTCATACCGACGCGAGTAATTAGCCACGACGTTAAATTTCCAACGCCCGAGCGCGCGATCGATTATTCCCCGATTGCGTGGAGCAGGTGGTCGGCTAACGTTCCTGAAAAACTCGACGATGGAATCGTCGAGACGTGCCAAGGTGTCGGTTACGAGAATCGGAATTATCCGTACTTAGAGGTTAGTCGCTCGGAGACCTGGTCGCGCGACCAGCTGTGCGTTATTAAATTGTACCTCCATCTGTGGCGAATCTGCCTTCGCGGGGACGCCATTCGCGCCAAAAAGGCGCGTTAAATTTACGAACGAGACAATCGCGACGGCCAATCTCCCGCATCGATCCTAAAATACGCAGCTAATCAGGAGCGAACGTCAGCCCACACTGACAATTGTCCCGAATTGCGTCTCGATTGTCGAGATCGCGCGAGACGTTGGATCGATCGAAATCGAAGAAATCCGCGTCTGATTTCAAGCCGTGACGGCTTTCAAGTGAACGGATCCTCGACTCTCGGGCGCAAATCTCAGCTTATTTCGAGCGGGTTCGTATCCTACTGAGAACAGGTAAGCTCGTCTCTCCTCGACATCGATCACCGACTCCGACAGCCGCGGCTGGAGCACGACGAAATCCAATTAATCCATCGTGATACGCGTTAACCTTGCAAGAGGAGGACACGAACTTAGGCTCTCACTCGGTCGCATCGATCACAAACGAGCCCTACCGCGATAGGTAAGTTCACCTTTCTCACTGCCATCCGGCGAACGTCGTTCTCGCCGTCTCGCATCCGCGGCGCAGCCTAAAATCGCAAATTCAACTCGCAGGAGTCATCGGCGAATTCGCGGGACCAAGACGACTCGCAGCCGACGTCTGATTCCTGCTCGAATATCCGCGGACCGCTCCAGGACTTGGAACATTCGCGTACCCCAACACGTAAGCGATTCCTGACGTTTGAACCGAAAGTCGACGAAACTCGCTCCTTCCTCGGCGGACTTACGTTTTGCAATGCGTGACACGGAGGGAAACCGCGCGTCCTCGTCCGACCACCGCCATCCGTCCGACCAGCGTCAGCGGTTATTCCGTATCAGCCAAATGGCGATATCGCACTGGCCACCAATGCTCCCCCGGAGCTCCGCACCGCCCCGTCGATGCGAGGCGATGCTACGCGACGCCGTCGCGTTGGATCGTTCGCCAGAAACGGTACCAAGCAGGCGCGCCTGGACGCGCGCCGCCGCCGCCGCCGCCGCCTCCTCCTCCTCCAGTACCGGCACTAGCACATCCTGATTCCACTTCCGAAAGTGAATTTCCGTCCCCATTATGGAGCCGTGCTATCGTCGCCTCGAGATCCTTGCGTTGTCGTCCATCCCGTCGTCGTCTCGCCGCTAGCTAACAGATGGAAAACTCTCGGTGCCTTCAGCATTGTCAGCTTCGAGATCTTTTGCGTTTCTTTACCTTTTCTTCTTTTTTCCTTCAGTTGCGTTTCTTGAGGCGGACCATACATTGGTCTCAAAATGTGAGTGCGATGCTGAGGCTTCGCGTATATAATTTTAATTAATCTTATGTGCTTCTTTTTTTCCTTTTTGATTCTTCTCTTTATGCGAACGAAAATACTGACTCCGAGCCGCTTTTAATTCTTGCATCTCTTTTTATCCTTTTTTGTTATGTAAAAAGTAAACCGTGTATTGATCTCTCTCGTGCGTATAGGATATAGAGCTTACCGTACGGATTACGGAGTGTGAATCACACGTAGATTCTCTTTCGCGTAGTGTAAATCATATTGTTCTTTCTGCTCATGCAGAATATGTATAAAAAAAGTTGGCGGTATCTGTTGAAAACGTATGGGTGCCTTTGAAAAGCTCGCAATTTTGTTATTTTAACTCCGGCGTGTATGCGCAACATTCAACACATACTCCGTTCTTCTCGCTGATACGAGCTGATATCTAATATCGCCTTTCGTTTACATTTCGTCAATTAACGATCTGATTTACCAGGTTTTTGAAATCATTAAATAAAATGAAAAAATTAGCCTCTTTCGACGTCTTTCCAGAGATTAATCAAGATATAAGATATCGGTAGAAATAATTATATATAGCAATTATAAGCAAAATCTTTCAGTCTTAGGACTGAAAGGAAATATGTAGCCTTTGCTTTCTAAATATGTAACTTTCAGAGACGGAAATAAGCTCGTCAAGTTCGGCCCTGTGCTTCCGAAGCACGTCGCATGGCCCGGTTGGCGTACTCGCGCTCGGCGTCACCAGTCGGATCAATAACGCCCGTCAGGTTCAGCTGAATGTCTGGGGACACATGGAGGGAGGCGAGTACGAGGGTAGGTAGATATAGGTAAGCAGGCAGGCAGGCACGAATGGGGCCAGAACCTTGCGGGCGTCGACTAGGTCGAGCCCGAGGTATGTACGATGCTGGCAGGGCGAAGGACAAGCGTGCCTCCCGACGTCTTTCGCTCGAGCCCGAAATCCCCACGTGGACTTTCGTCGCGGGGGAGTCGTAGGGTAGAGGTGACCCCATTCCGCGCTAATAATGCGGACGAATTATAGCTTACACTTCGCGAGCGATAACAGGCGAACATGTATCTATTCCCTGATATGTGTCTCTTGCTCTAATATATTCAGTAAATATATCACTTGGCATGTATCTCTATGTGACGGGCTCTGGGTGTGGCGCAATTCACGGTAAAATCGAAAAAGAGAGCCCTTGTTCGGGAAAAGAAACGTCGAAGAAAAATTCGATTCTCTCGCATCAAGGATCGATTTCTGACAAACAGTGCGCGAAAATTAATATCAATATTTGCCTAACTTTTTAAGCTCGCAGGATTCTCAAGGACTTAAAAATAGATAGAATATGACACTTATAATTTAATAAAGTCCTGTGTCGGATCTAAACAAAGAGCTTCTGTTTTTAATGTTTCATCGGGTCAACTAAATATTCGGTTCGATTTTTAAGCTGAATTTCATTCCATTGTATTTGATGGAGACAACACATTTGTTAGCTGAGTAATCGCCATTGTTGTCTATGATTTTTCATAAATGTTTTGCCAATATATTCACATACTTTTATTGCAGAAAGTAGCCGGTTTATTGTCGAAGAAGGCAAAAAATCAAGCTGAATTTTGGCCGATTCAATGTATAAGCCAAACTAATCAGTTCCACTTATATTGCAAATTTTTTAATTTTGAATAGAATCAAGTTCACAAATTGCGTGCCTTGATACTGAAATCAAAAAATTTGTAAAAAAATGGAGCCAATTAATTTGCTTTCTAAGAAACTGTCCGAACGGTCCACTATACATGCAAATATTGAACATTTGCGTACTATTTAATAAAAATATATTTCTCATGCTGTGTAAAACGAGACGTTAAACATATAGAAACTCATCGATGACAGAAATGAATGAGTGAAAGCGATCTTCGGGCATTAGTCAGAAGGAGTTTAACGCACAGCATTATACGCTCGTATAAACTTTATTAAACAGTATATCAATTATAATTATTATGTTGTGATCGTTGGAGTAGAAATGCCTTAGTACCTGTATTTACAGCGCGGTACTAGATTACTTGACGCTGCGCGTGAACACCACAGATTAGATTGTTATTTAATCTAAAAGATAACAGTCAAACACGCGCATACGCATGTACACTCGTGAGAAATGAGTAGTAAGTATCCAAGCGTTCGTCCGTTACGTTTCATTCTGCCGTGATTGTGACACAACAATAATCACCGTGTGAAAATATACATCGAAATGTGAAGACAGAGAGAACCTATTTTAGATTAACACTATTTTTAATACTGCAGTGTTCGCGTTCACTTCTAACTTGTACATATATACTTGAAGGTCTTCTGCAAGCCTCCAGAGTTGCTTCTCTTCTCGTTATATCTTCGTATCATTATTGTATAAAATATATGTGAATCTTTCTTCTTCTAACAAGTCTATTCTGTATTGTTCATTAGGTGACTAATCCTTCGCTAAGAACAATATCATTAAGGCGACAAGCTGACAAATCAACTACACTCATTGCTTCCTGATAATTAGCACACTTTACGCAAGACAAATATCGTAGCTTCCTTTGTTTTCTGCATCTTTTTTCTTCCTCAATGAAATCTCAGTGCAACAATTCGTCGAACTCTATTCTCCTACGTTCGCAATAAATATCCTTAGATTGCAGAGACGAGCGCAACGTTACGAAACGTACATATCGTATTTATATAATTAATCTGTTTAAGTAACATCCATCTAACAGGCGCGGATAAATGTCCGCCGACTGCGGCGGATGTTTTATCCGGTGTAATAAATACAGTTCGCTCTACTATCGTTACAAATATCATCATCATCGTCGTCGTTGTCGCCGTCGACGGTCATTAACAATAACTCGATTGTGTCGCAGAACGCTCTATACGCAGCTTTTGTACTGTTCTTGTCGAAAAGAACGTCGCGCAAACTCTTCACACGCATGATATTCCATATCCATGTCGAGGAACAATGTGTCCACAAAATATTACGATATAAAAAGAACGCGTGGAAAAGATCTGCACGGGTGAGACACGTTACAGCTTTGCGTGTGTCGTATATATGTATATATGTATGCATATATATATATATATACATGTATGTATGTATGTAAGATACATCATGCTCCTTTGCAGAGGGTACGACAAACAAATCATCATTCCCCGTGCATCGCTCTATGTATTGCTGCGGGTGAAATCGCGGAGCTATCATCACCTCGCATAACTTCGTCCAGCGCGATTCTCGTCGATTCGCACGTACGATTACAATCTACGTTATTGCATTTTTTTTTTCGAAAGGCAGGTCTCTCGGCAGGTCGGTCGGCTAATAACAATTAGCACTGCCGCTAATATCAGAGGTCGAGGGCGGTGTCGGATCCGTGATGATAATACTCGTCGTCTAATAGCGGCTCTGCCTCCAGCGTCATGTGAACTGCGAACAAAACTCGTCATGCATACCAACGAATATGTAAACATTAACACATATGTCGCAATGCTCTCGCTATTAACGTCCACCGCGCTTTGCTCTCCCTTTGTTTATCGACTATCATTGTTAGGCTAACATGATCCGCGTTAATTGGCGTATAACAGAAAATCCGGGAGTACGTCGCTTCCCCTGAACAGAGCACGAAAACCGAAACGTTACAGTGTACTACCGGTAGTGCATACTGTCTTGTATGTTTGTTCTTATTTCTTTTTTTCTCTTTCGCACTCCTTCCCTCCCTCCCTCACACACACACACACACACACACACACACATACATACACTCTTGTCCGAAAACATAAAGGCAAAGTCCAAGCAGCAGGCAGAAAAACATGCAAAGTAATTTTGACATACACAATACGCTAATATACATAATAAATCCACATAAAGACTTTGCGTGCACAAACGTCACACGTGGGGAAGTAAATCGTTGTTTACAAAATCAGCGTTCTTAGCAGCTAAGACTGGTTTTCTCACTGGAAGAAAAAGCGACCTTGTCGATACGACTTTGTATAATATCGTATAATTGCATCTCATTATCACACAATATTGCATCTCAGTATCATACTATATAACCGTTTCGATCGCGTTTAAACCGATTCTTCGAATCATTACCGAGCAAGCAGCTGTTGGATGTGACAGCAAATTGTACATTAACTTCATCCTGCAGACGTATGAAACAGAATTGAATTTTTAGATTAGCATAATGCACGACCAACCAACACATGCAAATTCGATAGCGTGCGAGGAGTCAACGACACACAGCTCGATACCTGCAATATGTATAAAATACAAATATTTATATATGAGCAATATTTATGTGACAAACTTGTATTCTTAATTTTACAAACAGAAAATATGGACTGATTACAATCAATCCTAATGTAGGTTTCCACAACGATTGAGTTATCTTTTCGTGTTAAAATTTAAGCATATTTGATTACGGAAGAAAGCTCGTTTAAATAAAGCGATAAGCACAAGACATGCATATTAATGCTTTATTTGATATTTTAAACGATGTTTTTGTGAATGTTTTTTTCATTAGCACATTTGGAAATATATCTGCATTCTTTCGCTGCGATATTTTTTAATACATCAAGTGCACCGCAACCCTTCGAAAGAGTAAAATACTTGTGTTAATGCGTCTTATCGAATAAATTTTACAATTGATACGCGATCCTCTAAACATCACAGAATAATATGCGTGTTGTAAACTAACGGTACAGATTCATCAGTGCGATTCGAACGACTTTATTCTCCCGAGAGAAGCTTTTGAGACGAGTTTGGTTAGATTAGAATGAAAAATAGCGTGTCGTGGTAAACTCATTTATCCAAGAAGTATAGTACAATTCGCAGAAACAAAACTCGGGATACGGTACAGTTCATAAAATTACATATCGTTCACTGTGACGTTTACACATGTATACAGTACCTTCCTCAGAGGGGATATATAATTAGTGAATTAATTATTTATCTATGTCACTCATGTACAACAATAATATATGACAAATTGTTTGCATAACAGCTTTCAAATGAGAAATAATCTTATAATTGTGTCTTTGACGACATAGAAATGGAAAAATATAAAATATAGTATTTCTAACATACTATATATATATATATATCTTGTTTTAAAGAAAAGTTACTGTAAGATATTTTACTAGTACGGGAATGTACCCCTTATTATACATATCTATATATTAATCTCCTATATAATCTCCTATATATAACAACATTCCTTGAAGTACAATAGAAAAATTGTGAATATCAATCTCACACTCAGAATATCTGTCATACATCCAGTTCTGGTATGTTGTATCTAGTAAATCCCTGATTATAAAAATTTAATTATTTGTTACTTAGTGAGGGAATATTATAGTAAAATCACATGTAACATACAAATGATAGTTAAGCATGTATCTGCCATTTGCTTGTAATGTTTCGTGTGTAAATTGTATACGTATATATAGAAAGTATATCTAAAATATTCTCGCGTTTTTCTATATGACACTTGCGTAAAGAATTTCATGTGATGAAGCGTTTTTTTTTTCTTAATTATATTTTCTCTCTCTCTCTCTCTCTCTCTCTCTCATTCTATTGTCATACGATGTAAAAGTAAACGAACGTATATTCTACACCTTGCAGAGTCATGTAACCGTCTTTAGTCTTTTTATCCTGACACGTCTCTAACATTTATTAAACTTTTCTTATCGTTAAAATACTCCTCTATTAAATATACAGACACGCCAGAAAGCAAGAATATAGAAAACATTCATAACACATTCCATTTTGCTCAAAGCTATTTTGAAAGAAAAAGTCCACATAAAAAAAAAAAAAACAATCCGTTATTTAATGAACGTCACACTTTACGAAGGGAATAATAAGTTCTTCATACGCTTCGCACAGTTTCTAATTGATATAAATTATAATCTGCAAATGTATTTGAAACAAAAATATATCACGATTTCTGCTCAAGAAAACATGATACAAAAATATTTGATAATATATTAATATAAAAAATATCAGAACAGCGACTTTCAAATAACTTGATTTGTTCATAAACGATGGAGAGATTTTGATTTTGAATTTGATATGTAATTCTATCTTAATAGAATTAATATCCTGTAATAATGAAAGAAATATATCAGACTTCGGTAAGTTATTGATATTTGAAAATTTTATATGAAGTTAATATTAAACTCATAACATCTTCATAGAAACTTATGTATAAACATACATCATATCTCTTCTCTCCGGCCGAATACTAGATGATAATTCATTCATTATTTTACTCTTCCTATAAATAAGGAATAAGCGCTGTGTCTGTTATACGAACGAGCGCATTCTTACTTTGACGTAGTACATTTTACTAAAAAATCCGTAATAGTCGCTAATCGTTTTAACTAAAGTTTCATATATATACATATATACATGTATATGGACACATATATATATGCATAGTCACAAGTATGTCTAGTATGAAACGATAGTATTGTATGTATAAATTAACGTGATAACAAATGAACTGTACTTATCCGAATGTGTTCTATGTACACAAAATTCGTCAAGAAGTTATATTTATGATATTTCTCCTCATATATACAATACATGAGACGAATCACACGGAGTATTTGTTATCACTAGTTAACTCTAGAATGTTTCTTGTGTACTCTATTACGTTGTGACCTATTAGTACCATTTTTCTCGGCAATGTTAGAAACCTGGCTGGCGTTTGTACGATCAGACACTGATATCCTGAATAGCTTGATCTTCATATGATCGCATATTTCCAGACACACTTGAGCACTATACCGGAAGAGATCCAAAGTAACCCAGATCTAAATACACACGTTTCATTATATGAAAGTTAAAAAATCACGAGAGATTATCTCGTTCTTGAATGGAAAGAAATTGTGAATAAATTCGCGACTTACAAAACACAGCCAAAGCACATAGTACTCATTGATGAAAAAGTTGAAATATTGATTGAGGAACAGCATAGCTGGACCGATTAGCGAACTGTCTAAATATTGCATTTCATTTTTGGTCATGTGAGCAACCTGGAAAATAGGTATTAGAAATAATACGATTTCGTCGTGAGTAACCAACTTGTATAGCTTCGGTCGAGTCGACTAAATGCTCGATATACATACCACTAATCTATTGGTAACTTTGGCTGCCACCATTCCGAACGCAAGTATGTACAGGGCTGGATGATTTTCGTAGACGTGTTGAGCACTTTTCCTATATATTATAAAGGCTAGCACTACAACGAAGCTAAACGGTATTATTGGAGATAAGACGGATGTCCCCTACAACAAAATTAATCTTATGTGGAAACTCCGAGAAATAATTAATGCATGCGATTGTGCGCAGGATTCGAATTAGTATGTTTTTAAGATAAATGTTGAAATATTCTATTGAAACTTAAACGCAATATATACTAGATAATTTAAAAGCGTTATAATTATTTATCGAGGTACATGTATAAATTCTTATTTATGATGGAATTTAAATAAAGATATAGTATACGATATAGAGATACAGTATAGTATAAATAGTCAAATCTTACAGTTAAATACCATTAAAAATAATCATTAAGAATATCATTGCAACAAGCACCACTATGTACATGCAAATAATAAGGAATATATTGCAAACGTTGGAGAACAGAGTAATATAGATTGACATTAAAATTCAATTATGTAAAGAAATTATAGTTTCAATTAATGTACGTATTTACGTTAATACAATAAATCAATTAATCTAGTTTTTTTTTAGTTAATGCAATAAATAAATTAATATTATTGCAAGCGAGCGAACAAAAGAGAGCGAAAGAGCAAGAGCAAGAGAGAGAGAGAGAGAGAGAGAGAGAGAGAGAGAGAGAGAGAGAGAGAGAGACAGAGAGAGAGAGAGAGACAGAGACAGAGACAGAGAGAGAGAGAGAGAGAGAGAGAGAGAGAATGCAATATATATTTATATGGCATATCTATAAAATAAAAGACTAATTGATATATATTCTATATACATAAACACTATACGATTAATACAGAAATTGTCATTACAGCGACAAGCGATACATAGCTTCTCACTAATAGTTTGTTTTTACATTTCGTTGCAGGTCTGTAACACACGTGCAAAAAATCGGCCCAAAATAAAGACTGGAAAAACAACAAAATCAGAGGAATATACTACTATATAATTATAAGAGGACAAAGCACAGGATAAGGATATATATATGTGTGTGTGTGGAACTTTGTGAAAAATGTGGCGTAACAAATATATATCGACATAAGTGAAAATCGTAATGTGATGAATAAATTTAAACGACACTGTTAGACTTAGGCCCACGTTTTTTTTTTTCAATGAGAGTCACTTCCAAATCGGATTATCATTGTCAGAAGTAAAAGGAATCGATTTGAATCTGACTGTAAATAACAGCAGCAGATATATCGCTAATGTTACGCGAATACGATCTATCGTATTCAACTAAATACGACTGTTGTGTTCCTACAGGTGTGGGCCTAAATCATGGGCTATACGAAAAGTGCACTATACAATGGTCCCACTACTTTTCGGCTGACTTACTGCGACGGTGGAGCCATTTTTTCCGACACCACCGGCGAGAATGACGGATATGCTGCTCTGTGCAAGTAAAATAGCGATGCCCACAGCAGCCCATAACGGAAACACCTTCACCTCTGTGCCAGTGTATGGCAACTGTATAAGCGACATGAAAGATCTCTTGATTAGTCGTCAGAGTGCTACTCTCATAGCAAAGAGACATTTGTTTCTAATACTCCATATTCCTGACATACTGTTAATAATTATCAGACTGTTAATAATTATCGATCAGGAATACGTATTGGTCGCTTTTGAAACAATTTCGTGCCTTGTTAGTTGACAATTTACAGCGTTATCGTAGAGCTACTGAATATTTTCAATATTGTTACTCGGATACATTGTTATTAGTCATATATGGCTTTTGTGACTGTAGATGTGGAGATTGTATTTGTTTTTTGTAACAGTGTAGTGACACCAGTTCTCCCTTCTCATTCGTTTCGCCCGACATAGGTGTATGTAGGAGTTTACATATCAGGAGAACATTGCGACTGCCGATTTTCTTTGTTATCTTAAGAAGGAAACCGCAAGGAAACTGTCTATACACAATCTTCACCACCTGAAGGAAAGAAAATAAATTCTGTCTCGCGGAGCACAAGGATGGGATAGCAGTTATCCATACAGAAATTAAAAATGTCGGGGATTGTACACAAATCTTGCTGCTATCACGCACTTGTAACGAATTAGATAAGTGTGCCAGGAACGATGATGAGGGATACGATACCGAGCTGACATAGAAAGAAAAAAGAATTTGGGAAGGTTAATTACTCTACTAATGGTGCGACATTCGATCATACATGAATGTGTTGCTATGCTCTTCTTCTTATACATATAACGTACACACACCACGTTCCTTTGCAGGCATAGCTACTTAAAAAAAGACGAAAACTACATACATTGGGTTCCAATAGATCATTATCATATGTGAATATCTGTCGTCTAAGCAGATATTTTTGTTAGAATGTTTCGTTAAAAATCGCGGTTTGTAAAAACTGTACAGTATAAAAAATGTCACAAGATTTTTTCCAGCTTGACGTTCGTTTAGTGAATTGATTAGTCAATCATTTCTGTTCAATTTACTCTGTTAACAGTGTAGCTGGCGCTATAAGTATAAGTTTTCCGACAGTATAGTGATTTAAAAGGAGATTGCTACGTTAAGCTTCGAAATATCGAATTTTAAAGAGAAAGAAAGAATGAAAGAAAGAGAGAAAGAAAGAGAAGCGATAGGTTTATATATAAATTTTGCAACATATTGAAAACGCGTACCGCTCTCTAATTGTTTAATCCTACATGGTCATACATCGATGTTTAATAGTTTAATCGACTGCCTGAGCGAGCGAGTTTCCCAGCAGAGAAGAGATTCAAGGATAGAAGAGAGCAAGCAAAGAAAAAGAAGAAGAGAATTTGGAAAGAAAACAGAGAGACATCTCTACTATACAAAATCGATGAAATACGAGAAACGCTCGTTACATGAGCGTCACTTCTTGGGACTTACTGCAATTGTGGAACCGTTTTTTCCAATCCCACCGGATTCAAAGACTTTACAGAATTCAAGAAACACATGAACGTAGCCTGCGTAAAAGATCATCGCTACGTAGTTACTGAGCGTGCCTACACCGAGCCCAGGGATCTAAACAAAGCCACAAGATGTTCGTTCGTGATGAGAATTCAATTGCGTGTTGTTCATTCATGGTGCGTGTGTGTATATGTATACTATATATATGTATACTAAGTAATTCTCTTTATAGTTACACTTCTCGGTATCATTTGTCGAGATCGCAATAGTATTGCTCCGGTTCGGGCTCAGTTCTATCTGTGGTCTATCTGTCGTATCTTTACATATATACATGGAACATGCTTCTTTCTCATGAAAGCAATAAGTTATGAGGCACACGAGGGAGCAGCTGATCAGGATTAAGCTGAATGTCGACGGTCGAAGCTGACTGTGTCGGTTGTATACCATGTATGATTTTCAAAAGAAATTAGTTTCCTGTATATACATCAGAGAGACGCGCTGATTTCAAAGATTTGATTATATAATTCGCGGATAGAGTATATATAGAATCAAGTAATAGCATTTTCTTGAGAAGTATTGTGCGAAGCAAAATGTAATGTACATATGAATTCTATCAAGATCATGACAAGTCATTATGAAGAAAACAAAGATTTCGTAATATTTGTCTATAAAATAGTATTTCGTTTGACAACATTTCTCCTTCTTCATGATATCATCTGTTTACTTCCTAAATATCTCTGTACGAGTAAATATTAAAAGGATAATTTATAATGGACATATATATCTTGTATGAACTGTTCAATGTTATGAACAATAATTGCAAACAAATATTGCAAATTATACTATGTAAATGTACATCTCCGGAATTAGTTCTCAGTAGGTAATGCTGTTGTACCATATAAATCCACAGAAATTTTTTATTTTTAATATTCCTAAAGTATAATTGCTGATTTGAAATTGTTTCAAAAGAGTGTTTTCACATTGGCAAAGAAATTATTCATCATGAATAAATATCAAAAGACACAGGAAGGGCTGGATGTCTATATCTTACATCGAAAAAGGGAATGTCTATATTACAGGGAAGATTATATGTTTTACAACACACACCGAAGCACTAACGACTGGTTGAAAACGCGCACAAATGCGATTTCGCATATGAAATGAATACAATCATTAGTTGTATAATGACATAATATACAATGAATTTTATATAAAATGTGTATATAAAATTCATGTAGTGAAAATCGCGGGACACGGGAATGTCAAAACCAAGGAGATATGGAGGATATAATTTAATAGAAGTAGGAAAATAGAAAATGCGTATTAAATGAGTAAATATTTTGCAGTAAAGAAGTAATTCTTAACGCCGCTCCTCATGCCATGCTGCTCCCATTTCTGCATGTTCAATAAAAGTTTCTAATTAACGGACTTACAGCCACAGTGGAACCGTTCTTGCCCACTCCTCCGGTGAAAATCACCGAAAATATGGGATACAAATTTGCCACTGCACACACGACTGTTAAAACTCCTAGTAAATACTTAACTAGAAAACCATCTAAGAATGATATCTGCAAGAAACATTTTTATTAAACTCACATAACGATATCGCGACTCTCGTTAACTTTACTACGTTCCACAAACGCCAAGAGTTCAGGTGAAAAAATTTCTCAGTTTCTTGGATAAGAATTTCTAAACAGCGCGATTATATGTGTAGTAGCAATTATGTAGAATGAAACTAGCTGTAAATATCATATAAAATGTATGGGAATATCAAAAATTACAGGAAATCAGATTCTAAACCTCAAATGGGATATTTGTGTAAATTCTCGTCATATTATAAACTCTATATATCCAAGAGGAAGTCTGGAACAGACTTTAAATGTGGCCTGATACGTCGAAACGGTGAAAAAATGATGCTAGAAATATGTATCCGAGTCTTTCTTATTTTAGAATTATGGCACTGTACAGTTATGGAGTTATGTAAAGATTGATGATAAATTGTGCAAATATGTAACATTTTTAATGATACCGGGATATCTTATAGATATGCGAGAAATGCCTGATACATATTATTTGTCTTTCAAGCACTTCGCGAACACTTCCTCTGAAACGTTTCAACTAAATATTACTTACCAGAGGAAATGTAAAACACATAGTAACATGCAAAAATTCTATAGTAACATTTGCAATTATTAAACTCGAAATTGAGAATTAAACTGATTATTAAGTGACACATATAATACACAAATATTAGCAAATACATAAAATTAGGAAAATAGATAAGAAAAGATAAATAGAAAATAAATACTTGTAAAAAATTCAACATATCTACATGTAAATTTCCACTCTTTTGCATAATATATATGCATGATCTGACATAAATTTCCAAAATAAAATTTCCTTTTGCTTATATCATGACTTACATTTCCTTGAACACAAACAAATTCACACTTGGTATCTGTCTTTAACAAAAAATATAACTATATTGCTTCCATTTTCATGAAAACAGAATGACTCTGTACAGTGTAAGCAACTACGACATTAATGAATGATTGAATGAATACCTTGTGTTAGCAATAATTTATATGAATGAAAAATAACTATAATATAATGTTATGTATGATTGCGCTCTGAGATAAGCAAATGAAAAATCTGTCGTTTTATGTTTGTCAAACTGTAGCCGTGCACAACAATGAGAATACTAATAAATTACACAGAGCACATTCTACCAATTGCTATACAAGATATTCTTGACATGGTATATATATATATATAATACAAAAAACATAATCAAAAGTGATACAACCTCCATCATCCAGATCTCTGGGCCAAAGATTGCAGATATCAGATGAATAATTATGATTGTAAACTGTGCTTCCGTTACATCCACTTTACCGAATCTCAAGGAACCTATTAAAAAGGAAGAAAGATATTACTTTAACAAAGCGCTAAAATCAAATATTCTGTAATTAAATTCATTATGCAAAAATCTCGATAACTGTATTAATCTAATTTTATTTTGTACAACACTGTACCTGAGACATAGGTCTGCCAATGAGCACAATAGAAAAGTGTCATTGCACAGAAACACTGGAAAAACATCCACGTTGGATAATATCCCAATTGTACTGCTATACATGCTGATAAAGCAACAAATACTGAAAGAAATACAATCAATATCACTCGGTTGTTTCATCCATTTATTAAAAATATAATAAAAAGAAAAATATTGTGATATCAAACCTGTTGATATTGAATCACACCCATGATCAAACAGTTCACCCAGTGGTGTAGATGTACCAGTTCTTCTGGCTTGTTTGCCATCAATGGCATCTAAGCTCTGGTATATAAATAGACCAAGTGCACATAAAAAACATGCCCATCTAGGTGCCTAAAAAAAAAAAAAATAATAATAATAAAATGCAATATGAGCAATGGTTTATATTTTAATATAATTAGAGAATTCCTGCAATATCTTAAATTGCTGTATACACGACAAAGTGTAATATATATGATGAAATTTCTTGCAAAAGTATATTCATTTAAAATAAATAATTTCATATTTGAAATTTTAAATAAAATTTGAAATAATGGAATAAATACACTTATTTTGCGATGCAATATGACAAAGTTATGTAAGAGAAAAAATATACCTCTGTTATTACATTAATTAGTGTATTATTAAGCATGTTTAGCATATTCTTATTTGCATGTTCTGCATGTTTCCTTGAACTATAGCCTCAACAGAGACAGAGATTTCATGATAGTTGTCTAGTAATAATTGCAACAGATTCTAGTCATATAAATCTGTCAGAAAAAATATCATTATTAAATGTATTTCATATTTTATATGTTGCAGACTTCTGTTTCTGAAACAGCTTATAGTCTAGGATTCTAACTTGAAAAGTTACAAAACCTTAACAATATATGCAGAATACAGTAGATTCTATTCAATCAATCCTCAAGTATCTGCACAGAGCATTGATGATGACCCATATGAAATTCTTATCAATTTGACAGTGCTATCATGCAGTTTAAAACATGTGTCATATACTAATACAAGAATATTAACATAAAGCAAGGTACCTTCTTGCAGAAATAGCCGTTGATGTATGAGTATACAAATAAAAATGTCAAAATACGAGCATACCTTGTAGAGACATTAAAAAAATTCCAAACTACAACTCGGCATTTAATAGTTGTCATAGCACGGTGGGGTGCAACAAAACAGCCTGCTGAATTTGGACCAGGACTACAAAGTGAAAACAGGTTAGACTGAGGCGCTCAGTCCACCTACCTCGGCCCTCGCGTCCGGACTGTAATAGACAAGGATCAAGGTGGTGACGATGTTGACGATGAGGCCGAGCATAGTGATGAGATTGGGTGCGAGCCAGAGTGGCACTTTGCTGACCAGCCAGTCCCACCACGGTTGCAACAGACCGTCCAGGAGGCTGTTGGTTGTGCAGCTGTACTTGTGCTCGCTCAACCGCTTCAGTTGACCGGGCGACAGCAGCTTTTCCTTGTAGAACTGCATGCTTGGCACGCGCGCCCAAGTGCGTCGATGAGACGAAAAAAAAAAGGGGGAAAACGACACTTCTACCTTGCGGCCCAACGGTCTTGCGAGGGAAAACACGACATTCACCGAACACCCACAGCGAAACGGCTAAACATAACAAGCGACAGTCACAGCGTACACGTACGACATCTCTGCGCGAACTGCATCTACGCCGGAAGCTGTCGTGGTCACCGCCACTTGCGTGACCGGAACCACCGAGTGCTACATGGTAGCGGTGAATGTGCTCGTCGCGCGAATACACGACTAAAATTGGAAAAAAGGAAAAAGAAAGGGAAAAAAATTGAGGATTGACTATCTTTCAGATAGTCAGATTAATTCATGATTACTCCTGGATCCGTCAAAGATCTAACAAAATATTCCAATCATATAGATAATAACCACTAAATGTTACGTAATTTTATTTTGCTATTTCGCGGCTGTTCATAATTTCACATAAAACATCATTACCATCTCGTATTATATCTTTACTGTCGTGTAAAATCCTTTTTATTAGGGGTTTTTACAATAACCATTTTTCAGATACGGTGAACTAAACGGTGCTAAAGTTACGTTATTGCAAAAATCTCTTGTAAGCCTTTTATTTGTCATCGATAAAAATAAGGGATCTAATAATCTTATGTGTTGTAAACAAATAATAATTTTATAATAATAATTTATAATTATATTATAACATATTATGATAAGTTATATTATAACATATTATGATAAGTAATAATAACGTATGTAATGATAATTATTAATTACAATTAAAGATGCGTGATTCAAGTCTCAGCTAAAAGGCTTTTTAGTTGAGATTTAAACCATAATTTACCGACCCCCAAAATTTAGCCAAGACTCGAATCACAATTTACTGGCTTGTATAAAGTTTATCTGAGACTCGAATGTGATTTTGCATAACCTCTGTGTATAATGACGACTTTATTAGGTTTTTCGAAACTTTTTAATTACACGGCGAGTAATTGTTTGAAGAGAGTAGGACCGGCCGCGATTTTCAAGCAACTTTATCCCGGTATGTAATAAGAATTAGTTGAAATTACGTTCAAACATCCAATATCCGTAAGGACTTTAATAAATGATGCGGATTAATCACAGACAAGCGTAACCTCTTCTTTAAAAATCTTTAAAAATTGAATTGATTATATCTCCTTGTAATAACTTTGAATTTTATTTATATTTTATTGTCTTAATCGAGCTTTATCATTGGTTCGTTAATCGGCTTTGTTATTCGTTTATATAATTTTATGCAACAAAAAATATAAACTCACCCAATATCTCACACACACACTACAAGATAAACAAAATATTAATTATTTAATCGACTGAAAGAAATGATTTATTTTAGCATTAAGATTATGGGAGATACCAATAGTAGAATATCGTAAAGTAGTACCAGCAAAGGACAGACGTTACTATCTGCAGCCAAGAACAAAATGGATGAAGCCTCTTCCAGATCAGGAAACAGAAATACAGGAATGGGATGATGAGAAAGAACAAATATGCAGTGGTCTCTAAGATATTATATACAAACTTGTATCAATGATTCTTTGAATCTCTAATAATTTACACTGAATGAACACTGGCTTCTCTTACAGATGTGACAAATGAGATCAACAACCTAATCACAACAAATAGGACTGGTCGTATGTTCGCAGTCATACAAATATGTGGAAAGCAATATAAAGTAACAGAGAACGACATTATAGTCATTCAGGGATTCTGGCCACCGAATATAGGCGAACGTATGAAGCTGGAAAAAGTGCTGCTTGTTGGAAGTACCGACTTTACTCTCGTGGGAAGACCAATCCTGAACCGAGAATTGGTCTCAGTCGACGTGACTGTCATCGAAAAGACTTTATCTCACACGATAACACGCTTTAGGTTCATGCCGAGGAAAAAGTATCGTCGCATAAATTGTAAGAAATTGAAACTGTTATTTCCTTTTTTGCTTTCTTGCTGTGTTCATTCAAGTTATGTTCTATGTTTGATGTTCCAGTTTACAAAGTACAGCATACGATGCTGCGTATCAACTCTATAACAGTCAATGGAAAGATCGATGAGAAAAAAGAAGTAGAAGGATTAGACAGAGTGTATTAACAGTTTATAATATATATATCAATAAGGAACACATACAGAGATGTGTATATCATCTATCGTATTGAAGAAGAATGTAATAGTTTGGTTGTTATCAAATGATAATTTACATTCTTTATTTCTCTTTTATGCCACTGCCTGTATAAGAGTTTTCTATTCATCCATCCATAACGTCCTATATCGATAAGCCATCGAAGCGCGGCTTGTGAGAGAAACATGCTTTTGAAAAAAATAAATTTCGAGAAGTGAAAATTCCTCCTCAGAGCGGCAAAATCAAAACAAGATCTTCGATCACGCGTTACTGTCATCAGGAACCATGATAACTGAACAATAATTAGAATCAATCCCTGAATCTGTCAGAATTAAAATAAAATATGCGAGATCCGTCGGTGTTTCGTGTGAGAGATACACCGTGCACGTGATTCAACCACACCGAATCAACAATCTCCACTTCCACAATTCTCACCGCGCCGGTTCGATGACATTTCACGTGGAAGGCTTCGTGCGCGACATCTAGCTAACGAGTATCGCGAGCAGAACGAAGCGGCGACGACGACAGTAGAGAGATCGTCGCGCAGAGTGGTGGATCGTTTCAGTTCATTTTCCCGATCGGCAGCTGTACGTATACAATATATCGCATCCTCGTTCCTTCCGACCGGTCCGCGCACTCCGTGAGACGCGAGCGAAATATTTTTGCAAGTCGCGCGAAAAAGCCAATTTTCGCGCATGCCAGAGAAACCGACGGAACGTTTTTCGCCGCTCACGCGCAATACGACGAAGACAGAGGAGAGCGGCGATTCAAGTAGTAAATCAGCGGCGCTGGAACGGAAATCTCTTTCTCTCGCATCGTCTGGAAAACCGAAGGATCCGAGTGTGTCCTTCGCGATTCCGGATCGCGGATCTGCAAACTGGTTTCGCGGACACTCGTGATTTTGTCCCGAGCGAATTTCGAATATCTTTCTCGACCCGAGACCGCGAGCGCGACCAGTCTTCGCCCCGTGTTCGGATGTCCGTCGTAGATCTTTGAGGAATCGCGCGAGATAACGTGGAATCCCTTATTTTATTTTACCCTCGATTTATTCTTCATTTTATTTGATCGTATTCGAGGCTTCTGCGATTATATCACTGTCAAATATTGCCATTACATGATTTTTTCCTTCTTGAAAATTACATAATGTCTCTCTGTATCTCTTTTGTCATTCATAACATAATTTTATCTTTATTCCATCAGTCCTCTCAAGCTCACGCGGGGGTTAGCGGATTTAAACACCGCGCACGTGCATACACGTGCGGATCGCGTGCGCGTGGCGGAAACACGGCGATTCGCGCACGGTGTTAACGGAGTCCGCACGAAAGAACGAAACGGCAAAAGAGAGAGAGAGAGAGAAAAAAAAGAGAGAAATAGAAAAGCCGAGCTAGTATCGGCCGAAAAAAAGAAACAGGCATCCCGTCCCGGAAAGCATGCTGTGCCTGATCACCGCTGCTCGCAAATGCCGGGCGCAAAGTTGTAAGGGAGCTAAGTACATACAATCTCCGAATGGTGAAAATCATGCGAGCTTTCTGTGTTATTATATTACTCTCGTAAAATACTCGCTTTCACTATTTCGTCTCGATTTCACTATCGTTCCCGATAGCTCTGCCGATGATCCGCTGTGTATATTTCCACATCTGCCGATACGATCCATGTTTCGTTGAGATAAGCTTTCTTTCGGACGCTTAATATAGTCGTCGGACGAGGTCGTTTATCGGAGACTATAAGCGACATTTACAGTCTTACTAGATCATAAATCCATCTTCGATATAAATTGTTTCACGAAGACACGTCAGGTACGAAGCAGGTCTGAAACTAAAGCCAAGACTCGGCTAGGAATAATTGGTCTATGTGTGTATTCTTCGAAAATATTCCATTCTCTACTCAAATTGCATCTCAGAAGCTCACGATACAGTTTACGTACGAAACGCTTCTCCGGTTCTCAGAACGCAAAGGACAGAATGTTGTACACGTACCATCCTGCATTATCCTGTATTGTCGCATCCCCCCTCCAGATCCCGTCGAATCCTCGTGAAATGTCAGCGTCAGCGTGAACACGGATGATTGACCGTCTCCGAGAATCTGACGAGACGATCTTATCAAAATGGCAGGCAAAAAGAAGGGCAAGAAGGCGAAGGGTGCGAAGAAGGCCGAGAAGGTGGTGGATGAGTTTCAACTCCGCAGGGATCTGAGAGAACAGACGAGGATGACCGACACCACGAAAGCAGCGCAGGACGAAATCCTGGTAACCGCGCCGGGCGAGCCGAAATCCGCCGAGGACATCAAGATCGGCGGCATAGAAGGGTGAGTTGCCTTTCCAATGATCCGTGCCGCCTGAAAATGCAGAATACTTTCAATGTGATTTCTCGAGTTACAAGAAGGAAGCTGTGAAACGGGAGATTCGCCTTTCGCGAGTGAATCTATATTATCTTCCTAAAGATAGACCTGCTATCTCGTGCAAGTGCAGCCACACGATTGTATTGTACCCGTCAGGGACAATGATCTGAAAATAAATATGTATCGAATACGGAACTTCTCGCTCGGAAAAAATTCCACAACGGATGAAGATAGAGCGACTTAGAAAAATAACAGTTATCTAAAGTGCGAGATATTAGTTTCCGCGAAATGTGCACGTCATCTCCGGTATCAATAAAATCATCAATGAAAAGTGACGAATCGCAATCAATAAAGAAGAGCTGTAAATTTCAACGACAATGCGAAAGGCGGTCTCCCTTTGTTGCATTTTACGACGAGTCTCGGGACTCGCGCTATCGAAGATTGCAATTGCTCGGTCTTAGCGAGTCATTGCGAACGTGAATTTCGCTGATGTTTTTCTCCTATCATGTTCTGCGAGTCTTGTCATTCTTATTTTTGTTACAACGTTTATCTTATCGCACCGTTTACGCAAATTTCAACTTCGTTTCTGATACGAAACGACTAAGAAAAGAAAGAGACTGATACACTGCACTTTTTACAAGAGCGCAGTTTGTTATCACATTGCGCTTCGGAATTTAGATGGAGCGTTAAAAAACTGCGACGAAACGATCTAACGCGCGTTTTTGTGACTTTCACAGCGTATCGAAATATTCAGAATCGCGGATTATGATATCTCCTTTCGCGATAATAACGTGCCGCGCTTGAGCCAGGAAACTGATGGATCTTAATGATAGTGGAAACGAGTATCTTCATTGTTTCTTCATTGTTGCTTTGTATATTTTCCTGAATTCACGATATATTGTCATTGAGCGATCGCGTATTTGATTTCTTGTAACTTCGTGTTGATTTCGCCGCTGAATGTTCAACAGTCTTTGCGTGATCAACGAGAGAGAGGACGATCAAAGGAGAGCGAGAGAAGTGGAATATGCTGCCCAAGCGATGATAATTCTAATCAGCGACTCAGGCCGTTAGCCGGCCTTAACTTCTATCTTGTGACCGGTCATCATACGGTCTCATAATCTTGATATAAGGAAATAATATATAAACTTAAAAGTTAATTGATTAATGCGATGCTCATTTTTATAACTTGGTAATCGTAAATCGCTTATGAATGAACAGGTGAATTAATTAATTAATAATTCTTTTTTGTTTCTCTATTTCAGAGGCGGCACACATTCCACGCTCATAATACTCGACGGGAAGGGTACGCGGCTAACGGAAGTCAAAGGACCAAACACTAATCATTGGGTGATTAAATGAACGAAATTATACGAGCAAGTTTCGCGTAGTTTCGAAGCGTTTCGCTCGTCGAGTATTTGAAAATCTCATGAGAAAATTTGCAACTTCGTGCTGTACTTCACTAAACTTTATGGAAAGTCGTAGTTGAAATAAACTACTCGAATGATTACAGGAATATTATCTTATCGATCACAAAAAGATATAGTCTATAGAGAACGGTATAAAGATAATAACAAAAAGGTATATGTGTTTCTTTGTGATATCTAGGTGCTCGGAATAGATGAGACGGCCGCCAGACTGAGCGCGATGATCGAAAAAGGCAAAGAACAATTGGATATACCGAAATCCGTCCCCTTGGATTGCGTAGTGAGTACTAATGAAATTAGATCAATTATGATTATGCACCATTCGAGTGAATTAGACGTGCGCGCGTGAAATCGATGGGAAATGATTTAAGTATACTTCTGAGGTCCTCCGCAGAGATACATGATTCTCTCGTCGACAGGGACTCTGTTTGAGCGGCTGCGAAGAGGAAATCACGAACCGTCAGCTCGTACAGACTTTACTGGAATCGTATCCACACTCTGCCAGGGATTACATAGTCGACTCGGATACTCTTGGTAGCCTCAGGACCGGCTTGGAGTCCGGCGGAATCGTATTGATCGCCGGAACTGGCAGCAACGCTCTGCTGATCAATCCCGATAAGAAGACTTATGGTTGCGGTGGATGGGGACACATGATGGGCGACGAGGGTGGAGGTATAGATTGTCTAAAATGAAAGATTGTCTAATGTGAAAAAATAGGTACTGAAATTTAAAAGTTTCCTTCAACAAAACGATATTTTGAGCGCAAATTTCACTTTAGCCTTGGGTAAAGTAAAATCTACCGACGGAATATTAATAATGACTGGTATTGGTGTTATTTATTTTCACGTGTTTTATTTTCAAGTACGCATCCGGTACTCATATCGACTTACCTCTTATCAGAGTCTTATGTAAGTCATGTGCATTCAGTTCCTCTTGCACTCATTTCATGTCATTGATCGCATAATAAATCTCGATTGTAGGAGTTAATAATAGATCTCCTGCGATACAGAAATGCGATATTATTTATTTACTTAGACACTTTGAGAGTCATGTTTGTTTTGAATTAGTTGTGAATTTTTGAAATCCTAAAATCATAAATCGAACGTCAGATTCGTTAGAAGAGAGATAGTTTCATTTAAATCTAAATATGAATATACATTCTAATTCTAAATAGATTTCGACTATTTTTCCCTGTCAATTTTTCTAGCTTATTGGATCGCCCATCGCACTTGTAAATACGTATTTGACGATATCGATGACTTCATCAAAGCGCCGAAGCCTATAAGCTACGTTTGGCCAGCGATGCGAAATTATTTTGAGGTGACGGATAGAAATGGCATATTGGCATACCTCTATGCAAAATTCGACAAAAGCATCATCGCGAATTTCACGAAGGAAGTGGCGGTTGGCTGCGAAAAAGAAGACCCGCTCTGCCTACTGATTTTCGAAGAGGCCGGAAAACTTTTGGCGAAGCACATCATAGCTGTCTCGAAGAAGGCGCATAATGTGAGTGTTCTTATCTTAATGACACTCGCTCAACTTTACTCGCGACAAAGTCGCCAACCTGCAAGCAATTCCGGCTAACTTAAAAATGAAATCTTAACTGTAATCTAATATTCATTCGCATGTAAAAATATTATGTGTATTGGTCCGTTATATTACTTTTCTGATCAGTCAAATCCTATCGAGATACAGATTTTGCAAAATGTCTGCTACAATTTTATTGATAATTAGCCGACAAAACGCAATAAGATTTTTCAACGGGATGTGACGCTAGATTGTGTTTTCGTCTGAGAATTGAACCTGGAGAATAGTAAAATAAAAATTACATCTTCCAGGATCTCAAGCTGGCTCCGGGTGGCTTGAAGGTAATCTGCGTTGGATCAGTATGGAAATCGTGGAAATTCATGCAGAAAGGATTCATAGACGAGATCCACGACACACATCTCATCGATGAGCTGAGTCTCCTCCATTTGACGACGACGTCGGCGCTGGGGGCCTGCTATCTGGCTGCAGAGAAAATTAACTGCCCGTTCATGAAGCCGTACGACGAAAACGTCGAGATTTTCTTCCACTATAAGCGCGAGCAACAACCAGAGACACATACGACAGAGCCCGATGTCGCGGAATTAGGAAACAATGCCGTCATTTGCAACACGGTCGTCCACGAAAACGGACAAAATACATGATAAATGTTTGAATAAATAAACCGTGTTGTAATGTAAATTGTATGTTGCGCGAACGCGAAGCACAGAGATAGTACATATGAATATACGTATGAACGACATATTACATAAATTCGCGAAATCGAACTGCAATTACTACAAAAATTAAATAAGTTTGTAAAAACGAGTAGATTTGATATGTACATAAATTCATGCACGAAATCACGATCAATGTAATAAAATCTCGAATAACGCATGTTCGGACGTTTAAATATGTCAGTTTTGTGCTTCACGTTTCTGACCGCGTCGGAATTGTCGAAAACGATCGGTTTTGAAGCTCTTGTTGAAGTTTTTGTTTTCGCATCAATCATTCCCGATGATCTGTTCATAATTTTCGCAATGCGATGTATGTTGATATAAAAAAAAAAAAAACTTTTATATATATGTGTGATATTTGCTATATATGAAAGAATAAAAAACGTGCGAACCTCTTTACATCACAATCGATACTGAATGAAACTTGTTTCTTTTCCATAATACACGTCAAATTTCACAATGGTGAGAGAGGATGGGATTGAGAACAATCTGGGACGCAGCTTGGGGCTGGATATCGTGGGCTCTGTTCTCCATTTTTAAAATTGTCTTCTATTTATTTGTATCTTTCCTCAATTTGATATTCTTCGTGGCCTCTACCACCGTAATAGTGCTCATCATTTTGTACATTCTCGGCCTCCTACCGACAAGAAATAATGAACACAGATGATTAACAAACTCCGAGAGGACGTATCGTATCCCAGTAAGTGAGACATACATGAACACTTATCATCGTCATAAATTAAATAAATATACGGTAGTAGAAAGGCCTTATACACCTACGCCGCGAGGAACTTATCGATGTAAAATTATGTGCAACGCCCTTTTGAAAAATATATTTATGTCCGAGTATATCACAATTTATCGTGTACATTGCAACAACAACACGTACACTCGTACAAGTATGTCTCCTGTCTTGCATTTATTTACACATATACTCTGGCTAAAGCTAAATTATCGTAATTTCATTACCATTAAAATTTGCATTAAAATCTTGTTTCCTCGAAATGTTCTTTCGAGAAGCACGAATTTTTAACGACATATATTACTATATGTAATCCATAATAATAAAAGTGTAGAATATAGTACTATATTATAATACTATATTACTATCTGTTCGATTGGATTGTTGTAAATCGATAGATTCTCGATTTTTTGTGAACACAAGCCTTGTTATATGTAAATAACACGCTTGCTTAAGATGTAAAATTTGACCATTCAAGTGTTAAAAAAAATATATATATATATCTCTATCTCTGTGAGGAAAAACATGATTGGAACAGCCATCTAGGAATCATTGCGTTGTCGTTGTACGCGTACGTTTACTTTGGATACGCAATGAGAATATGATATAGAGCTCAAAAGATACTTCACGAAGTATGTAACGATATAACATGTGCTTATTGCGAAGCTAAATATTGCTACTGTCGTTAATAACTCTGAGACCGCATATTAGCGGGTCGTATTCTGCTGGAATTGTCGACTTTATTTATTCCGACGAGAAACATCGCGCGTGCGTAAATGCCTTTCGCTTGGAGTGAGAGGTATTAAACTGTGATAAACATCGATATATCGCTTTCACGTGTGACTCGCTCACATTGTATGTGAGTGGAGCTCTTGTCTCGATTTTCACACCAGATTAATTCTATACTCTACATACATATATTCTTCGTTCTATTGTTCGAAGAGACTTAAAAGCTCATATTGTTAACACATCATCGTCTATACGAATGAGGCAACGTAGAGAAATTTACAACGATCATACCTTCATAAATATTGAAGTCGTCAATACAACTAACAATTTTCTTGATATCGTCTTTACTTTTTTCTTTGTAGGATATTCCGAGGAATACGTTCCCCGGCGGTAATATTAAGGAAAGTTCCCTAGTGCAATAGCTCGAATCGTTATGCGCATGCAGAATTGGAACTGACATAACATTTTACCGGCTAATCAGTGCTTCAAGTCGAATATTTCTATAAGCAGCGGCTCCACGCTCGATGGGTTGACGTTCAAGTAAACACCCACGACTTCGTCGTTCAGTTTGTGGAGCTCGGAAATCTTCTGTATTAACTTGAGAAATGTGGACCTGGCCTCGCAACCGGGATAAACGCTCTCCAGGTATCGTCTGAGGAGATAATAATACGAATTCTGGAAGAAAGAAACGCACCAATGTGAGAATGCAGCTAGAGACCCGGAAGAACTCTATTCAGAAATATTTCCAAAGAAATATGAAATAAAGTCCCGATAAAATGTAACGTAGTAATATTATCAACTTTTATTCCGCTCAAACTGTCAAAACAAATTCGTGAGACACATGCAAGATCGCCGCGGTTGTTTCAGATACATTACAGGAAGTTTCACTTACTTGCTCCAATTTAATAACATCGCGATGCACGACTCTAGGTCTGTCGGGCGTAAACAAGGCGATTGCGCTTAAAATTAGAATGATGTTTTCGTCCCTCCATCGCGAATCAAACGTTCGGACGAATCTCGCATGCTCCGCGTACAGATTCCCCTTCGCTTCCTTTAGAACGTCGACCTTGATATTCGACATGCTCTCTTGGCTGTGGGGTATCTTCCACATGTCTTTATCCGGATCATAATTGATGGCTGATCTTAGGATCATCATCTCCGTGCAACCGCCTTTCAGCAGAGCTAGCTGATCCTCTTGACACATATTCTTGAAGGCGTTTATCTTCTTCGACATTTTTATCAGCCGTCGAATTGCTATAGCTGTCAGATTTATAACGTCTAACAGCATTGGGTCAGATTGCCCGAAATTATTCTAGAAACAAATATCTATCATTGCTATTCGCGTTCGTTTTCATATATCATGATATATTTGTTATATATTAAAAAAAAATTCTCATTGCATCGAAAGTAAATATTTCATATTGAACAACGTGTAAGATCGTAGCGACGATACCTTGAATTTACATTCATCGCCAACTAAATTCGTTATATCGTCGTCTAACGGAGCTAACAATGCTTTATTGGCAACTATCAGCTCATTCAATTTCGCTCTCTCGGCGTCATTTAATTCCCTACTGCTTTGATTTACGCCAAGACTAGAAAACGCCGAATATTCCAACTTGATAGCCTCACATAAGATAGACTCGATGGAGTTGGCAGCGATCGGTATCCTGAAAGAAGCGGCCCGGTTTTAAACTCGAAAACACGGCACGCTTTATTGAGAAACGATACCGCTATAGAATTATCTCGCGCAAAGTGTACTTACACGCAATTAGATAAAGCGCACATGCGCTTAATTAGATAAAGCGAGGGTAGACACAGCGATCACGGGTTGCTCATACCTCTGAACATCCTGAAGAACGTCTCTGGTCACGTCCGCTGGATTTTTGTTCCAGTCCGCGCCAGCGGCGGGCTCCAAATTTTGATTCTTGCACTCTTCAGCGTTGCGATTCGTGATTAAGTCCGTCAGGATCGGATTTTCCACGTGGCTACCCTTGAACTTCAGCGTATGTCTGGTTGTCGTGGTGCCGCTGCTACCCGACACACTGGCGCTCTCAGGCGCCTCCGATCGACCTGCCATCTCATCGTCGCAGTCACGCTCGTAGGTCATCTCAATCGCACTGTTCTCCTTCAAGAACTGCATTATATGTGGATCCGCCGTCAAGCATGTGGCCATGTCAGGATCCGTCATGATCTTCATGATCACTCGCTGATCTTGGAGTATCTTCGTAACCAAGTTCGGGTTACTGATCAGCTTAGAGAGCAATTCGGGATCTTGCTTGAACTTGACGGCTAAACTATTCCCGCTCGAGCACGTTTCCTTGGACTTCTGGCATATCGTTGCCTCCTCCTTGATGGACTGCGACCCCAAGTTCGAGTCGGACTGACTCGTGCCGGTGTATGAAGTGCGATCGACGTATGCGTTGGGGTTTTGCTCATGGCTCTGCTCGAACTTGAAGTAACTAGACGCACTCTCCTCGAACTGAGAGTTGTACTTGGATGATTCGTCGTTAGCGTTGACAAACGTGGAGTTAAACTCCAATGTATTCTGCTCGTACTTGCCCGAACTCGTGGGAGAATCCTCTTTATCCTTCTCCATGTTCTGAGGCACCACGTTGAAGTCGTTGAGTCTCGAACGACTAGAAACGGTCAATCCCGAGTTAATTCCTCTTGCTTCAGCATCTGTTACGATGAAAAAATCCGAAGAACAGCCAATTCGCGATATTTCCGCTGTACTGCAGACTTGACTGATCAAACTGGACAATACGACAAATATAAAGGCTTGTTGTTACTGCGGGCTTTAACCAGTTCTAAAACTGCTTATAAAACTGTTTTGTGTAAAGACTGTTCAAAACAAGTAACATATATAACATGCCAACGTAATCCATATTATAATGGGAAGATCACGTATCAAATAACCTGTGCTGGGAAGAAAAGCTGAGGCGGATATTTACATGTGATTACAATTCACGAAGTGGCTGATTTCGAACCCTGATTCTAACATTTACATATCTATACACATATTTACATATACATATCTATCACTTATAAATTTATCTATGTTACATTATTCCTATTCTACATTTCGGACAAAAGATGAACAAGAGGTTCTGCAGATGATCGATCAAAGCTAAGAATATGACTAACAAGAATTTTTGCAGAGATTTTCTAGTACAATGTGTGGAAAAACAGAAAATTGTATATTTTATTTATGTCACTATATCACCTATATATTTGCATTATATTTATTATATCGCCTTTTCGATTTTATAACTCTTCGATCATTATATTATACTGGTCTTATTTGCTCATACCTGGCAAAGCTTGATCTCGAACTATGAGCAGACTCCTTCAACATGTCCAGCGTCTTTGTCTCGGCAATATTCGTGCTCTCAGGTGGACTAGAAGGACTCGGCACGCTGGCTGCCGTCACTGGACTCATACTCTCCACCACATTCTGCCTGTTGCCGTCCAAGTCTGCGTACTTGCGATCGGACTCCCAGAAGTACGTCTCCGACATAGTGGAAGCGACCGAGTTAACAGACATCGACGTGTCCTCGAACGTGCAGCTGTCCACGCAGTCTTTCTTGATCTTCAACGCTTTGACGTTGTCCGACTGGGTACGCTTCTTGGCTCGGTTTTTCTCGATTTTCTTGCGCTTCAGGACCTTGTCCTCCTCAGACATAATGTACTCTTTGCGCATACCGATATTGAAGCACTTGTCCAGGCGGCATTTTTGGCAGAAGCGTCTAGTCACTGGTGTGATGTTGCAGTTTTCCGTGAACGGACACCGAAAATCCTGCGAATGAAAACGCGGTAAATAGCAACTTCGAGTTTCTCTCGTGCGACAGTGACGATTACGTTTGGCAATTGCGCAACATTGTGCTCACTCGTGATTTTCTAAGAAATTCCGAGGGTTTTAGACAAATGTAAGAAGTTCATTCCGTTTCATTATCATCTGCGATCCCGCATACATTTCAATTAATCTCACGAATGAATTGAAATAATCTCATATAGCCGGTATAGACGGAAATAACTCAAAATGCAAAAACATCAATATCTTATCTGGCTTTCTTAACAGTCTGTTAAATTTTAACGTGCGAATTTAACGTGCATCGTTTAAACTTTCCTACAATCTTCATACATGCTCCTCGTTGACCTCTCAATAGCAAAACAGTTTCTCATTTAGCTCATTAGTTCTTTATCATCATATCAAACAAGTTACATATGTAACATCTATTAAGAAATGCCTTCAACTTTGTATCCTCAGCGATTATAAAGAGAATAACTCCCACAGTTCTCAAGAACTATGAGAATTATTCTTTATAATAAAGGCATGAAATTTTACCAATTAGTCCATAGATACTTAAAGAGAATTAAACATAATAGTGATCTAATATGTATCTGAGAGAAAAATAAGTAAAAAAATTAATTTTGCATTCAAGCAATTTTCTCGGCATTCAAACTAACTGTTCCAAATTCTGCGAAAAAAATGTCAAGTTACCAGTCAATTGTAAATTGACCTTAGACATCCAATGCAACAGTGACTCAACTCGCTTCTACAAGAATTCAATGAATCATACAGAGACTCAGGGATTCCTCACTCAAACGAAGATTCTCTCAAGTCCTCCGAGAAGCAAATTAAACATCCAAAGTGCCAGATCAAGGCAAGAGTGAGAGCACACAGATTTACTTTGTTCTTCAGCGCGTTCCTCCGGAAGAAGGCCTTGCAGCTCTCGCAGGATACCGCGTTGAAGTTGTAGCCGAGCGCCCGGTCGCCGCAGACTCCGCATATCTTGTTGGCCTCCCTCACCGGCTGTTCATCGTCCATTGCTCCTAGGACGGCGGTCTCGCGGACGATTAGCACGTCTTATCTAACGTAGACGGCATCGTCCTCTCCTCTCGCCTCTCACTGACACGGAGAATTGCTCCCAGCGGCTCGGCTGACTCACAACAACATTGTTTTATCGCGTTCGTCCGTCGTGCCAAAGGCTCAGCTCTATCTCTCGCCCGGGAGCCAGGTCGCGGGAATATCTCGCGTCCTCGTCGATTATTTACCGTGGTGCTCACGACAGCATCTTCCTGCAGCCGCTCCCGTGATCTCGCTCGCGTCTCGTCGATCGTAGTCCAACGCCCCCCGGGATTCGCGAGACGCGCCTACAAAAGAGTCTCTTAAGTGATCAAGTCGTACGAGCCGCTCAATTGGCGGCTCACTTGCCAGCAGTTAACACGCCGATGTGCACAAATCCGTCATACAATTCGCTCATTCCGTCGTCATCCACTGCCTACCCCCTGCTCACCACCCACGTCTCCTCCCGCTGCCTAACTCGCGCAACGCGATACACCGCACGGAGAACGCATCTGTGAAAAGTAACTAGAGTAACTTCCTCCTCTGCCCGCTGCCGCCGTTGCCGCGACGGCGACGGCGACCACCGATATCCACGTGACACGAGCCATGTGACCGATGGCGGACCGCTCCGCCATGCTTTGAAAGGCGTTTCGAAGCGGTTCGTAGATAAAATCGAGAATCAACTTCCGTATGCTCGATCGCGTCCACTTTTATGCATGCGAAAAGATCAATCAACGCGCTTTGAAATTGCTGCTGATATATAATATAATTATATAATCAGCAAAATCCTAATTCATCGAATTTGTGCATACTCGCTTCGGCGAGTTTGTAATCAGCTTTTCCTTATTAATTATATCGCGACGATTTCTATTACTTTGTTATATGCAATTAAAAAGAAATCGTTATCTACGAATGCAATTAATCGGTAGTCGAATGGGTAATAAAATCGCGTTCTTCGAGTAATTGGGCAATTGCAATGTCAACGTGTGACGTTTTACAATGTTTTTGTCACGCGAGCGCTCTTGAAAGTTTATGCGAATATTAGACGTAGCGACAGATTCATGATACGCACAAATCAACGCACTCAATCACTTGGATTGATACATTTTTACCGTCGAACAGCTAGCTCGAAGTTCACGATTACGCACACGTAGCGTTATCGCGTTACTGCGAGAGACCGTAGTGACGATTACGTACGCTGACAGATATGTACAATCACACACAACTAACCTACGACGATCGATTATCCAGGGGATTCTCCCACGAAGCACAGAAATAATTCATCGCGCCACGGCTGAGGACTATTTAACGATGGTCACGGCTCGGAAATGATTTATCAATTCATTGGTTAGTCGGAGTTATCTTTATCGCGCACGAGCTCTTGTTGGCGAAGTGAGATAACTGTCAGATGTGTGCGTGTGTATAAACGCTACTATATGACTCACGTTTACAAAGTTGAATCGTATGCAAAATCGATGAACATCGGGTAGGAGAGGAGGCACCGAAGGAAAACGTTAACGGACTTTGAGACACGATAGGAGCGATGTAATATTGCGCACTTCACTCACGAATGCGCGTAACGAAGACCGCACGAAATATATCCTACGAAAGATTTAATAAAGTCTTGATACATGTCATCACATTAATCTCCCAAAATCAACGTTCTGAGAAAGGGCAGGTGTAGCCCACGTGCACGCGAGCGATCGATTACAGTCGCTTTGATATCGCAGATTAACTAAGCTAAATACATCACTTTCAACGCGCGTGAAAATATAAAAAATACTGCTGAGATAACAAATACGACAAATATTTACGTCAACTCTGAGTAAAATACTCAAATATGTCGTATAAAATTATTCCCTTATAAGTGAGCCATAAATATAAATATGTATCATGTTAGTATAAGATATATTGATGTATATATTAAAATATTACGCGACATATATATAATATATATGTGTGTGTGTGTGTGTGTCGCGAAAAAGAAAGAGAGAAGAGAGATCCGTTGCTCAATAGTCGAGCTTATATAGATATTATCGAAGGCACTCATAATTATCGAACCGAATTATAGGCAAATAGAACGAACTAGATCCGTCTTTAAGATATTATCATTCCTCGATTTTTCGAATTACAAAGGCACTGCTTAAATATTTGTTCGTTTCATGCAACTGATTGGAAAGATTCGATACGTCGTCATCGGATATTCAATGAGAATATTTGCTCGGCAGTGTTTATGTGTCGCGTGTGATTCTTATACGCAACGGGATTGTCGATAAAGATCCTTCCTGCACAGATACTTGTAGCCTACATAGCGAACTAAAATCACTTTGGTGGAGTGTCAGTCAATTTCGTGCTTCCTGTCTGCATGCCGCCGGTATGCAGTACCAGTTCTTCTCTCATATAAAACGCCACGATCTCCTCGACGGTCGAGAAAGACTGCTCGTTCATCTTTGCAGAGCCCAAAGCGTATCTAAATCAAACAAATGTAATAGTAAATATTCTACTATGCAAATTTTGTTAGTAGCAATGTAAAATAACGAAAAAAATAAATCATCATATGCAGTAAATTATTCAAACTTTTGATCCTTCTAATTTTTGTTCAAACTTTGGACTCTATAATTTTTATCTTATCGATCGCATACAAAGTGTTGGTCTTCAACACCTGTCCAATCATTTGGTCTAGATTAACGATATTTCTTTTTTCCGTAGTGGAAAATAATACGTGAAGTTAAATTACAGTCCAGTACTCATCGCTGTAGAAATATATACGGACTGAAAATGTTTCGATAAAGTGTGGTTTTGATAAGCAATATCTATACCTATTGTCGCTTCTCTTTCTAACCGGAACATTGTAAACTCTGTCCTTGTACCATAGGACCAAGGCTAAAGGATTACCCAAGTTCGTAATGGACGGTCTTAGAAGGAAATATCCATCCTGCGGGTTGTTGTAAGTACCTTCTGAAAATATACGTTCACATATTTCAAACAATCGTATTATACTGACATTATTTGAAATTTACTTGACTTCACATGTTGTGGCTAAATTTTATCGACAGACCGAGAAATTTTTGCATGAATTTCTCAGCAATGTTTCAATATCATCAACTCGTACAATTCAATTTTATACAACTCATATTTAAACAAAATTGTCCGATACGTACGTTCTTTAATGAGAGCATTTGCCTGCTCTCTCGTAACGTTGTGAAACCAGGGTTTGTCCACGTAAGAGTGTCTTTCCGGCGGAGGTGGTAGCGGTCGCGTAGCTCTGTCATTTGACAACGAAACATTACTACCAGAATGAGGTAATGTGGCTGATTTCTTCTCCGGTGATCGTTCTGTAAATACATGAAAAAATTAAATTCGACATGTGAAAAAATGATGGAAATTTGTTAAAAAATGAATAAAAAAAATTAATAATCACTGTGTGTTCCATTTAACAGTCAAGTCGAACAGTCCACTTGACGCATAATATATAATATAATACAAATCAATTTCTACAACCAAACGAAAATAAATCTTATATCTTGCAAGTGTAAGGTAACACAACAAGGACGCAAGAAGCATACACAAAGTTGAGCTGCTAGTATTCAACAACAGATGACAAACCTGAAGGTATTAATTAATTCATCCTTATTAATCATCCTTAATTAATCATCCAGAGAAGCACACGGTTTGAAATATACGATTCTAAGTCGTAGAGTACAGCTGAAAGATTCGTTAGAATGTAAATCGATTGATTGCACTACTAACTTGCCAAATTGAGTCGAGCCTGCGTAAGGGCAGCCTGCGTCAAACACTCCGAGAGGCTCGCTTGCCGACGCGCCGCCGTATTCAGCGATACGTTTCGCTTTGAATCGCCGATTATAGTTGCCATTATCGCGAAATGTCTACCGCGACTTCCTTCCCGAATTGCAAACAGGCACGTTTATCAGAACTACACGCTCGGCTGTTTCGTCATCGATTGTCTTATCGCCCGCTCTATGATTAATACATTAATAAAACTTAAGTCACGCGATAATTGTCGTTCAGTGGCCGACACGAACGTCGCGAATACTCTGGGTAGACTGACATTCAACATCGGAGTGGATCGCCTTAAAATATCGTGAAAACTAAGATATCGATCCGTTGGTCCCTCGGCATGGGACATAGACGAGTTCGTCGAAAGTGTCCTCAAAAATATCCCTGGTAAACCGGATGACCTGAACGTAAGCGGTCCGCGCTCCGAGAGATAACAATTCAGGAACTCCGAGGGGAATGCCGATAAACTTGATATGTCCTGAAGAAAAAGAAGGAGGAATCATCGGTGAGGCCAATGTGTGTTTATGACCTCCTCAGGACGAGGCGATCGACGCACGTGAAAACGATGAATATTCCGAATGTCCGAGCTTCCGAAATCTATTCTTGTCCGCCGGAGTCGCGCACAGGATGTCGATGACCTCGGACAAGTCGAGAGCGAACAGACGCGTGTTTGTTGCACTCACACGTGCGATTGCTCTGCGATCGTCCGACATAGATGAAAGAGAAGGAGAAGGAAGAGAAGGAGAGACGGTGGTGAAGGTGTGCGTCGTCGAGGCGCGTTTAATCGTTTTGTATACCTGGCGGTTCAGGAGGTTGCGAATGGCAACACGTGGACAGACTTCTTTTGATCTTCACTATCATATCGGCGACTTCATCAGCCAGGCGCGTGACCAGACCGTCTAAAAGCTGTTTGCTCAGTCGCAGATAAAAACAGGAACACTCCATCGCAAGTGGATTTCACTCTTTCAGATCCTAGGATCACCGTCTCCTAGTCCTGTTTTGTATCGTCTATCGTAGTCACGTGCGTTCTCGCGCGTCGTGTTTTTTCTGGATCGTTCTTCAGCACAAAGTGCCCAATTAAAAGCAGTATTCGCTATAAAGCAATGTTTCGTTTTGGTCGTTTGTGCTTGCGGTTTCCTGTCTGCTTCACTCTCTTTCTCTCTTCTTCTTTCTGATCGGTCGGAATTTTGCGGGTTACACTAATCACGCACGGATTTGGTGATGAAGAAAATCGTCATCCGTTTAGCGCTGTCGTTGCCTGCCCAGAGTTTCGAAGATCGTACACGACCTCGCCCGTCTCTGGAGATCCTTTGCATGTTTCAGAAATTGCTATAACTTCGACAAGACATTCAGTAGACCTCGAATAATCGCGACAACGTCATTGGTATACACAGAGAAAAATATCATTTTAGCTGAGAAAAGTGATTTACTTTCCTTTTTTCACATAATGATTATCTTCAACAAAAAATATTTTTTAATGATAGTCTTGAAATATTCATCGAAAATTTTAGACAAGTTCATTATTATACAGCCAAGAAGGGTTTCCTCTCTTGTCAAAAATATTGTAAAATTTATATTCTATATACTAGGTGCGCAACTAAGTTTCCGGGTTTTTTTGATCAATGAAATATGGAAAATTTCAAGAGAAATACAAAAAATGGTTTATTCAAAGTATCGTCCCTCGCTAGCTACACATTTTTGCCATCTCTCTGGCAATACATGAATACCCCGATGATAACACGACGCGTCTTTGGACCGAAACCATTCATCCAACCAATTTTGCACTTCTTCGAAATTGGCCAAATATTGCCATTCTGGCCGTTTTTCGAGCAATGCATGGTTCAAATTGATCAGTTGTTGTCGGTAGCGATGCCCATTGACAGTTTCGCCCGGTTTTAGCAGCTCATAGTACATGATTCCTTCCTGGTCCCACCAAACGTAGAACATTGTCTTCCGAAGCGATTTGGCCGTGCCGTCGATGTTGATGCTTCGCCAGGTGAAAACCACGATTTTTTGCGTTTGGGATTCTCGAAATATATCCACTTGTCACCACCAGTAACAATTCGATGCAGGAAACTCTTTCTTTCATGCCGCAAAAGCAAAATTTCGAAAGTGACTTTTCGATTTTCCATCTGTCTCTCAGTCAACTCATGCGGGACCCATTTTCCTTCCTTTTGAATTTTTCCCATGGCATGTAAACGTTTGGAAATTGGAGAAACGTTTGGACCTTGGCGAGTCATGTTTAATACCTCCGCAAGTTGATCTTGTGTTTGCGTATCATCTTCATTCAATAACGCTTGCAGATCGGCGTCCTCAATTGTTTTTGGTCTTCCGGAGCGCTCCTTGTCCTCAGTGTCGAAATCGCCACTTCTGAAGCGTTTAAACCAATCTTCACAGGTAGTTTTCGATGGTACATGTTCGCCGTAAGCCTTCTCAAGCAAACGACGTGCTTCAGCTGCACTTTTTTTCAAGTTAAAGCAGAAAAGCAAAGCTTCCCGCAAATGCTGTTTATTTGGCACAAAACTCGACATCTTTGTTGTTAGAAAAAATATTTTTGTGTTGCGATATGTGTTGGTATTACGACTGGTTATTGTTAACAGATGTCCAAGCTATAAAAAAACAACTTCAGACATGTATGTCGACTACATGTGTCGTTAGCGCCATCCATGTGTGAAACCCGGAAACTTAGTTGCGCACCTAGTATATATACGTGTGTATATATATATATATATATATATATATATAGAGAGAGAGAGAGAGAAAGAGAGAAAGAGAGAGAGAGCAAATCGAGTTTTTGTTTTAATTTAACATTCTTGACTGAAGTGTTAAACTCACTAGAATTTAAAACATATTTTAAGTAAATCTGATATTTGTGATAGATTTGCGGATGTATAAACTTATGAGATACTTGAGACGCGTAACGTTTACTTGAATGCAGTGTATACTTTTCTGTGTATACTTCGTTAGAAGAACAATATCAAATTCGCGATTTCGAATTGTTGGACGACGACAAAGCGTACGTGGGGTAGTTTCACTCGGATCCTCGAATTGTCGATGACGGTGGCCGACGCGCAACTGGTGGCATTATCGCAACGACATCAGGTTGCATAGGAAACCGCAGTGATACGCAGCATTTGTCAAGCACATGTTCGTGAGAAGTCCCACTCGACTCTACTGCATCCTGCACTTTTTTCTTTTTATTTCATTCAGCCGTATGTCTCGCTGCGGCGACGTTCCCGCTGTTTTCGCCCACCGTTCGCTGACGTAACGGGTCTAATCGCGCACCCATTTGCGCGCAAATAGCTCGTGTCCAATAGCATCTCATCCGACCGAATCGATGATCAGAGCGACGGTATTGGCCAGTAAGGTTCCAATTTCACGAAACATTAGCTTTCGGATTTAATCGGTCATTATTCATTAAAAAGAGCACTCTAATGAGGGGTTATCCTTCCTGATCCTCTGAGAATCTATCAGACTGAGACTAAAAGCAAATGCTCTAATATCCGTGAAGTCGTTCTTCTTGCGATATCTTGTGTATGATCACGTAACGCTTCTACATTCCTTGGCATAAAAAACAGGATTGTTGTCGCTTGATATCAATCTTATCACATCGACGCTTTCCATTGATTACATCAATGTCCAATTCAAGTTTATCAAATCATCAAAAATGCGGTAGATAAATGCAATTCACGATGCAAAATTTGCTAGCTCGTTTTAGTCACTGCCTATTGGCCATTTTATTATTAATGCTTATATAGCTGTATAGTTAATTTGTTTATTATATAGTTGGTCACGTTTTATACATAAATTAATGAGACGCGACGGTATTACAGCGCCGGTTACTGCTTAATATATAAAAATAAATTAACAAACTGGTCAACCGTGTGTGGCGCCATGGCAATCGACGTTATTACGATGGAATGCGAAGAATGCGCTTACCTTTGAGTTTCTCCGATCTGAGCCTCTGATTAAGTGGAGTGGGTGGTGGAGTGAGCGACGGTTTGGCGGGTAACGGAGGTGGTGCTTGCGCATTGTTTATCCTCTGAATGGGGCTCAGATAACCATTATCCTCCGGCTGACGACGCGGTAATGACAACAGCGAGTTATTAATAAGCAGAAGTAACTGTACGAATCTCACGCATTCGAAGCAAATGTCGACGATGAAGAAGAGAGAGAGAGAGAGGAGAGAGAGAGAGAGAGAGAGAGAGAACTCACCATTTCCGTAATGCACTCGTAAATCTCGTACTCTTCCTCCTCCTCTTCGTAGCTCGCGGCGCTGGGCGGCTTGTAAACGCTTTCGACCGACCCCTGACGACCACTGTGCAACGACAGCTTGCTGTCGACCCTCGTGATCTCTTTCCTCTGCGGTTGTTCGATGATGTTCTCCTCGAACGTCTCGTACTCGTCCTCGCTCTCCTCCGTTCGCGCCGGCAAGTTCGCCACGAGGTCGAAGTTTCGTATGGTGGCCGGCGGTTTTGGTAATTCCTTCTCCGGTTTCTTCACCTCCACGGACGAATAGTCCTTGCTCCTCTTAGGCTCCGGAGGAGGCGGCACGACCATTCTTTCTGAGGAAGGAGGTCAGATTTCGTTACATACATTTTGACGTCGCCATTCGCAATTGAATCCTCTCGGTACGAAGAGATCAAAGTAAAAGAAGCGACGTTGTTAGTTGAAAACGGCGGATGTTATAAAACTCGAAACATCTGCAAAAATGTTCAAAGACAAACATTAATATGTAGACGTTTCGAGTAAAGAATTACATCTATATGGCACCTCATACGAGTGACTCCGATTTCGAAGCAGAACTTTGACACGCAACGAACGAAGCTCTCTCTGATTTATTCGAATTTCGTACTGAAAGGATAACGACGTAGAAAAGAGCGTAACGCGCTGACTCTGCGAACTAACTTTGTATCTCTTTAGGAACGCACTGATTTATCTTCGGCCGATTGTGTAGAAAAGACTTGGGTGGAAACTCCTTATCGGTGATCATCATGATCTTCCTCGTTGACAACGCTTCCGGCTTCGGGCCGACCACCGGCTTTTGCGCCAGCAGGTTGCTCCTGCGCTTCGACTCCTCCGTCGCGTTCTCCATCGCGGTGGAAATCTGGTTGTGTAGTCTCGATATGTTTTTCGTAAGCGACGGTTTTGTCTCCTGGAAATTTTGGTACATGCTCTCTTCCTCATCCTGACAGGAGTCGAAGTTGGCGTAAGTCTCCTCTTCCTCCGGCTGCACTGTCTTCTTCAGCTGCGGCATTCGCGCTGGCATTCGGACGTTGTTGTTCTGCTGAAACACCTGCCTGCTCTTCATCAGACTCGGCTTCACGACTTCCGTCCGTTGCGTGTCCTCGACCTGCGAGTGCTCCTCGGGTATCTCGTCCTCGAAGTCGGTGCCCCAGGAATCACTGTCGTTCGAGTGATCATCCTGCTGCTCCGCGTTCTTGTCCAGCAGATACTTCTCCGGCGTCTTGTTCAACTGTTGAACGAAAGCCCATAACTTCCTGCAACCGATTAATTTCCAGTGTACAAGTAGTGTCTGTACGTTCAGCGTTTCGTAATGATCGTCGATCGTCAATTAAATGCGTCGCTGATGTTTTTCAAAACAAGATGAATGTTATCGAGCAGCATCACGCGCACGCACACAACGGTGCACGACGTTAGATGGTTACGCGAGTGTACGGTAAAGGAACGGTCGAATGCGACCCACGCGAGAGAATTATGCATTTATGCACGACTTGCGGTCATCAAATTGTTCAATCGCGCGAAACGTGTCCCGCGACACGGCTCGCCTCAGCGTCTTTATAAAACACTGAAGTTCGCCCGACTGAAATATCAGCGACGCGACACATTTCCGCGGTTTCTCGTCGCGCACGCGTCAGCACATTCTTTCGTCAACGGATAATTCTCGAAAAATTCACAGGTGAACCTCGGGATAAATTCGATCGAACGAACTGTTAATTCTTATTCGCAAAATTTCAATAAAATAAAACGAGGCGACGTCGAGATATCATACGTTGCGTGGAGGTTTTTTCTTAAACAATTCGAAATTGTCTCCGCGTTTTGCGTGAGTAAATTTGCGTGGACGGCACGCGAATACAACGCGCGTACGTCGCTCGCATACGGAATAACCGAATACCGTTAGAACACTATGAGAAGTACAAGACGCGATTCCACGAAGAGATGGACGAGAATGCGGAGTTGTGATGGGGACAGAAATAAAGCTGGATTTGGTTCGCTCTCTCACCCTATCAGTGGACGCGTGAGGTCATTCTTCCAGAGAGCCAGCTTTCCATCCGTCAAGTGCTGCAATAATTACAATTAATTGAAGCGGCCGCTTAAGAGCGCACGCGTCGGCCGGTCGCCTCGGAACGCTATCGTGGCCGGAAAGAAGCACGGTCACGCGTTATCAATAGAAATGGATAGATAAGTGTGTATCTCTCCTTTATTATAATTAATAAATTATCCACCTCTCGTAGTCGGATTAGTTTAATTAACATCTCAATGAATTAAGATATTAAAAAGTCGACAGATAACAGATGGAAAAAAAAAATATATATATATATAAAAACATGCTTGACATATAATTTAAATGTGATACGAGAGAATGCTACACGTCTCTAAGTTATAAGATGGAAACTATATTCGTCGTTCGTCGGAAATTTTATCATAGAAATTTCAATTGACCGATTAAACGACAAACAGTAAACAACGCGAAGCTCAACATTATGCTACAGAGACGCCCCACTTTTCACACGCCTTGTATATTCAGGACGGCTAAGGGGTCATCGACAGGAACACCCGTGCGAGAGACGTTGTGAGTCGACAAATGAGACAAAACCGGGAAATTGCGCGGGTGCCTCTGCCCTCTCGTTTTCGTAGCAATAATTCACTCACTAGCAACTCATCGCCGTCGATCTGCCGCTTCGTAATCGCCTTGCAGCATTCCTCCAGTCCGTTCTGGAAAGATGAGGAAATACAGTCGGCAGGATATTCGAGAAACTGATAACGCACATGAGCACATGAATACGCGTTCCGAATTTTATTTTATCCGCTCCGACGGATGAATAAAAAAGAAGAAAGGAAGCGACAGGATAGCACTGTGGTTGATACAGAACCGGGTTTTTTTACGTCTTATCGCCTTACGTTGGGAAATTTGTATTATCAAAAATACACAATACATCCGACGATAAAATATCGTCGGTGTTGTATGTTTAAGTAAAATTACGTTATATTGTACACTGTGATTTATATCTCGACGGTTATCGTCGAATAAATAATTAAATTATCTTTGTCGAACATCGTCATAAACAAAACATTAAGATTTACAAGAATTTAATTCAACTTTCTCACTTTATCCCAACGAAACATGACGAGTCGAAATATCGATCTTTTCAACTTTTCAACGTAATCGTGTAGTGTCGGTCTTGGAAACTGGAAAAAATCTTTCAATTGTCTGCACTGATTAACAATTACGATATATTCTTCGCGATGAAAATCTAATGAGAAACGTAATCGCGGCGAATAAATAACCGATGCAATGATGCGAGGTATGTGGCGATTTAATTACTCGGGAATTCGAGAAAGTTACACACAGACCCGACCGACCACGAAACTAGGATACGCACGAAGAAACGCAACGTCCCTTTCGCCGGCCGAGTTCTCGAAAAAAGTGCCCCTAACGCCGGCTGATGCGGCGGAATGTTCTTATGCGAAAATTTGGAGCGGAGCTGATTCTCCTGATTTTCCTCGCCAATGTTCGCTGCATTGAAAAACGCTGATTCTTGCCGTTTCAGCTTGTTCGAAAATTTTCTGAAAATTGCCCCGATATCGCTTGACTGCTATCTTCAAACTGCACATCCATATTCCGGCGTAATCGGTCATCCGTCCCACTAAATAAATAATAAGAGGGATAAATGCGAATTAAAGATTTTTGGTATCAATGCGGCGCGGCTCGATCGAAACGGCGAGAGAAAAGAGAAAGATTTCGCGCTACGCACGCATGTGCGTGCGTTCGCATGGTGCCGCGCCGCTTAGGTGTTCCCTGACCCATGGGCATTCCCCGCGATTCGCCGCGATGTGCGTCACGTTGCGTTCCTGATAGCATGTACACATCTGTAGGCGACTCCAACTCGAGAGACGTATCAATCGCGTGCCAAAGGCGAATGAACGTCTGCGAAAGAAAGAGAAAAGACACAGCTGAGAGAGACTCGAGCCTATCAGTCTGATAGCCGACGCAGACAGCTGACAGTTGGTGGCCACCACCACAAAGTCGCGTCTGTATACACCCTGTTGCACTCTCATGGCCTCTCACGTCTCTTATTTTTCTCTCTTTGCTCCTTGTCTATCCGTCGCATCATCCGGCGTGTAAAAACTGGCCGAGGTGCGTCGTAAAACGCGACGAACGCAATCATCGAGGCACTATTATCGTCGTCGTCGTCGTCGTCGTCGTCATCGTCATCGTCATCGTCGTTGTTGTCGTCGTGGCAGCGACTTTATATCGCACTCACCTTCTGCAGCAGCTTCAGCACCTCTTCCGTGTCCCAGACGGAGATGTCGTTGAGGGCTAAGCTCCTCCGTGACAGCTCCTTGGACATTGCACCCGCGCCCGCTGTCACGAAAAAAAAGCGTCGCACGTGCACGTTCGCCGCTCGACGGCATCTGTATCTGCTTTTTGCGGCCCGGCTGTCTGTGACAGGCATTCCTCCCCCTTCCTCCGACGCTCACACTCACGTCGGCCACCACCCTCGGGAGAGCCGACGGCCATTCGTGCGATTGGTCACTTCTCCGTGCACCTGTTACGTTACTCGCCAGGCCCGTCTCGAATGGACACGAAGCTCCCCTCATGCATCACCTGAGAAGAATCCGTATCAGAATGTAATCGGAATGTAATTGCCTGATCCTTATCTTTGACACACAGTAAACGATATGAAATGGAGCGAGAAAATAATACTAACGCGTTTAATTCCCTGTTAGAGTATGTAATTTAACATTACATGATCTGCCTACGCATATACATATATACTATACACACACACATATATATATACATATACATCTGCAATACAGAATACATCTTGATGTTTGCTAAGATTAATCTTTTTATCATCATCAATCATTTTATCACCACTGTGTGTCGTTGTAACGTCGAGGCAACAATATTGTCATCAGATGTTTTGTTTCTAACAATTATTGATATATTACTCAGATCACACAGGATGGATGTATTGCTTAAAGGTAATAAAATACTTAAAAATTGAAGTTTGTCCGCTAACTTACGTCATATAAAGAATGTTTGCCATTTTCCTGTCATCTCATTTCTCTTTAAGAATCCAAAGAGAAGTTCGGTCATAGAGAATTAAGAAAATATCGTAAAATTAAATCCGTTTCTCAGGTTTTATTATATTTTTTTTCGACCTAATAAAAATCAGAGAGATTATGAGATTTACTGACTGCATATTTATATAACGTATCGTATCTATACGTTAACCTATACAAAACACTTGAAATTCGAACGAATCAACTTAAAACATACGAGATCTGCATGGCTACATAATTAAAGCGGATCTCGCAGATGCAATGAATACCTTTCTCCGAACATCCTGAATAACAGCAAATACAGCGGCAAATGCTTCCTTTGATTGCGAAGGCATCATTTTTTTCAATCATTTCGCGGTACATTTTTTCAGAACTTCCCCGAGACCATTGGGACCGGTAATGGCCGATGAAGGGGCAAATTCGCGCAAGCGCAAAGGATTGAATTCCATTCAGTCCTCAGTTACGTACATACTTCACTATAAAATATGGTATTGCTAGGATTTTCTGCAATAAAAGAAAAGTTTCAAAAAAAAATATTACATATTATCAATACAATTTAAAATGTAACAATTTTACCAGGACCTCAGACAAGCATCCTATGTTACATCAAAATATGAATTCGTGTCGAACTTTGTCGTTAGAAGCTGTAAAATATTCACGCATGCACATGGAGAAGTGACCAGGGTTTTCTACCCTCACTTCCCGTCACTGATGGAATTGCACTCGAGTATGTGGCGCTATTGCACCTAAAAAATTTCTGCAGCCATGAGCGCGGTGCCGTAAGTCGCGTAGACGCGTTCGCTATTGACGGTAGTTGAGTGATCTCCAGTTTTGTGAATATCACTATCGATAAATACGAACCAAAGAGAGAGGTGACGCGATGACTGTCATCGAACTGGATACGGAGCAAGTATTCGACGATTTCGTCAAGTGAGTAATCGAAAGTGACAAATTTCATCCTTACAATTTTATCTCACGCCGGAGAACGGTGTAGCATTTTTGTTATTTTTCCTGATAGAAGTTAAGTGATTTTGTATTTACTCTCGTAGAATAGTCGAAATGAAATTATACTTTTCAAATGCGATTGGTCTTTTAGAGAAATATAATGTATTGTATATTCTTATTTAATTATGGTCGATGATTAGCATATTTTTCCAACCAATAAAAAATGTATCAATTATCGCAAGCGTAGTAAGTGAACTTTCTGATCTTTCATAAGTATATCTTTGCTATACAAGGTCCAAAGAGCTTACCGTCGTTCACTTTTATACACCATGGGCAGCACAGTGTTCTCAGATAAACGATGTGTTTGAAGAAATGGGCAAGTTAGAGGAATACATGGATGTGAAGTTTGCCAAGATTGAGGCTGAGAATGTACCTACCGTGTCTCAAAAGTCTGGGATAACAGTAGTACCTACTGTTCTTCTATTGAGAAACAGCCACATATTGGACAGAGTAGATGGCGTCAATACCATCAAGTTAAATGAAAAAATCAAGCATCATTTAAATAACAAGGATGTGTTGTTGGACTATTTAGCTAAGCCGAAAGAATCTTTGGAAGATCGACTGAAGAAACTAATCAATCAAGCATCCTGTATGCTATTTATGAAGGGGAATCCTGAGCAACCACGATGTGGTTTTTCCAGAACAATCGTCTCTATCCTGGATGACTACAAAGCCGATTATAAAACATTTGATATATTACAAGACAATGAAGTTAGGGAGGGACTTAAAAAGTTTAGTAATTGGCCAACATATCCACAGTTGTACATAAATGGAGATCTTATTGGTGGATTGGACATTGTGAAAGAGATGAATGAGTCAGGCGAGTTAGAAAGTATGTTACCAAAAAAAGACAGTGGTGAAAAAAGGTGAGTTGCTGGAGCATTTAACCTAAACAAAATTTCTTAAATAAAGTACTTATGAAATAAATCTTACTTATATATGTACAAGAAAAGACAACTTGGTACATGAAGCTGTAAAATTTTGTAAACAGCAAAATATTTTCTTTCCAGGAGTTAAACATCATCAAAACTGTTCCTTTAATTGATAATTTTTCTGTGTTCTTTTGTACTTGAAAAACACCCTTGAAGTTATTTTGTTCAAGTAATATGATACATAAACTTTTAATATGATACATAAAATTTTGTGAGTCAGCTTGAAATACATATGGATTTAGTAGCAATATGTTACCATATATTAATGTAATATAAATATATACAGAACACAAAACAATGTGTTCAACAAAGGGATATGAAATCGTCATATAAAGATCTGCGTTGTGTACATTTTACAGAGAAGGTTTACAAAAATATATCAATAGATACAAACAAAGTCTCAGTTCATATGAAATCAAACGTTATAATTTTCGTCGCTGCTAAATCTTATAATAAATTTATAATACAGCGTACAATATTGTAAGTTTATAATACATCTTATATAATATTATTAACAGTTGATTAAATTAATAATTTCTAGACCTATTTTCTGATTTCTAATCCTTTTTTCGTTTATTTTTCATTCCTATGCGCGCACCCTTCCTCGCTCCAGAAACGATACTTTGGAATTTGCCTGCATTCTTCTTCTTCTTTCTGTAAAATTAACGTTTCACTTGTTACATTGACAGAACATTAACACAAAATTAATAGCGTATTAATGTATTAATGTATTAATATACCACATAGATGTAATAAATTAATATAAAAGAAAAGTACTAACCTTCTATTCAATACGGCTCTCGTCAAAGGTAGATATGCGTAAGGATCTGGTTTGCCCTTCTTCTTGATATCTCCTCCGGCCTTTGTTGCACGATATTCCGAGCCAGCTACACTTTCTACTTTCTTCGTCTTCAACGGCCGATGAATACCCGATCCACCGGCTGATCAAAGATAAAAGTTCGAATGTAAAGATGGCATAACTAAATACGTATTGTTATGGAAATCGAGATGGGATATTTGGAAATTGGAAATAACAACATTACCTTTGTATCTCGACGTCGATTGACTCTTCATGCTAATCATATCCGAATCCATATCTTTATGCTTGCGTTTTCTGCTGGTGGTTTCCGTAGTTATCACCGATATATCATCCTTGTCATCTGGAAATGCGCAACGCGCGTTATATGAAATTCACATTGTTATTACGATACAATGCTGTAATAGAAGAAAATCATCTTTTTTACCATAATCATCTTCCGAATCGCATTGTGGGAAAGGAGTCTTCTTCTTTCTCTTGTCTTTCACATCATCGTCCTTCTCATTATCCTCTGTGATGATAAGGCGACCATCTGGTGCAGTCTTGAAGCCGTGATCCTTCTCTGTTTTGACCGGAACCTTCAGATTGGGCAATCCTGGTTGAGTAGCTAAAACGTGTAAAATCGAGTGTTAACGAGAAGAAAATTGTCAGCACGAAATTAACTGCTACCAACGAATAATTGAAATTAATTAATTGATTAATATTCCCTCTCACTCTTTATCTACTTTAGTCTCTAGGCGGAGAGTTAATTCATTAAACCTCAGTTTAATTGATCGAGGGCTGAACTGGAGGTAGCTATTAATTAAACTCGATCAATTAAACCGAGGCTTCATCTGCTTTCTGTGTCTTCTGTCTCCTTCCTATGTCTCTCTGAAATGAATTAATTGCAAGAGCAAGATCTATCGCGAAAAATAGTTTCTTGCCGACTTGTCTACCAACTTGTAATATTTCTCGCGGCCGCAGGATCGATGAGGTCGACTATGTTCTCCTCGTTCTCCTGGATCCACGCCTCCTTTCTCGATGTTCTTTTCTTATATTTCTTCGGTTCTTCGCTCTCGGTAGCCTCAAACTCCTCGTCGCTGTCGGCCAGTATCTCGTCGAAGCTCTTGGGCCGCCTCTTCGCGTTGAATTCGGTATCGTTGTCGTTCTCCAGTTGCTTCGTCCTCTTCATCTCCCGGTTCTTCCGCTTCGCTTCCTCGATCTTGTTCATGTTCTTCAACCTCTTGTGCAGGATCACATCCGTGGCCGGCACCATGCTCGAGATCGTCCCAAAGCCGTACTTCCTCATCAGTTTGGTGAAGATGTCACGCATCTTCTGGCGGAAGTGCCGCTTGAAGTCTTCCTTCATCTCCGACAAGGCGGTGACTAATGTCGGCAATACCGGTGCCGTGATCGAAAATGGTATTACGCTGAGGTGCACCTTCACGTATGACAATGCGGATCCGACAGGTTCCCTCGGTAAACATGTTATGAGTTTACAGATTTGCCGCAAGTTCCAGTCAACCACCGTCGCATCCAAAGAACCGCTGTGATGATAAGTGATGGAGGCTAAGGCCAACAGAGCAGCGGTGTAGTGCAGCTCTGAGCTGCAGAAATCGGATATCAGCATTCTCATGTACTTCATCAGGTATTGCGGTTTATCGAGGAACTTCTCGTAGATGACGTTGAGCAACTGATACGCCGAGTTGCGGCATCTCTCATTGATGTCCTTGACGCTCAGCACGGCTTCCGGGAAAATAAGTCTCAGGAAGTTACTGTTTTCCAGCTGCGGATGCTGCTTGACGAAGTACATCAGGCACTTGAGTCGCGATGCCCTGCTCGTGTCTTTCACGCTAGGCGCCGAGGATATCAGCAGCTTCCGTATCTCATGTCTGTGCTCCTGAAGGAAATTCTGGCACACCTCCTTGTCGCTTCCGCATACCTCCTCCAGGAAACGATAGGCCTTCTTCTGTTCTTTCCGCTTGGTAACATCCTTGAGGAGCGGCATGCATATCTCGTAGTACCTGGTCAACTTGTCGATGTCCGTATAGCCGATCAGCACTCTGATCAGGTCGTAGATGCTCTCCTTGAAGAAGTTGTCAGCGTCCGGCTTGTCGAGGTTGGCGAATGCACGGTCAAACAGCTCGTTCGCTAGCTCCTTACTCGCGATCGTCAAGTAAGTCTTGATGGTATCGAAAGCGGCGAGACGTTGACCTTCCTCGTCTGTCCCGCATGGTTTTGTGGTGTATAGGTTGAAGAGTATTGGCAGGTAATTCTTGGCGAAGCGCGTGAGCTCGGCGGTGTCGGCTGCATTCTCACTCAGTGTCGCCTTGACGATCAGCTTCCTCAGAGCCGACAACACAGGTAGCCTGAGTTCCTTCCGCTCGTTGATGGTCTTACCCAGCTTTTGGGCGATGTTCTTAAAGTTGTCCTTCACGTCGCTGGCATCGCTGCATATACTCGGCAAGATCGACCAAATCTGCGGCACCAGGAACTCGTACGTCTTGCCGTTGATCGGCTCCTTCTTCACCTTCTGCTCGCATATCTGAACAATCGGCAAGAGAACGTCGGTGAAGAAAGAGATAGAGCCGCACGTGATACAATCCTTCAGTAATGGGATCAGCCAACCCCGCTTTAAGTTGATCGTGCTGCTGTCAACCTGCAGAGGCAACACCTTCAACACCACATCCGGGCCCATCATTCTGATCGCCGCCCCGATCGCGTACTCCACGTCGCTGTTGTGCGTGAAGTTGTAAGAATCTCGCAGCTCTCCCAATGACTGCATAATATTCAAGAGTCCTTGCAGCTTCGACCTGCCGGTTATCTGGAAGAGCAAGGCTATAAGATGAAGAACATGGTACCAGGCTTCGAGGTATTGATAGCTCAGTGTCTTGTGCATCTGCGAGATGATCTGGTGCAGAGTGGACTCGTATTCCCGGATCCGTTCTTCGTTCTCGCAGAGCGGCGCCACGCACTCCTGCAGAATCGTCTTGATGGTGTGCGACGTGCTGGATATAACGTCCGTTTTGTCGGACAGCCAAAGCTCGATGCACTTCTCCAGCATGCGAGGCACTACAGCTGCGCACAGGCTCAACGAGGTATGCGCCAAGTTGCAGTGGGCCTCCTGCATCACCGCTAACCACGCCAATGTCGGCTGCGTGTCGCTCGCTGGCGGCTGGTAGTCGTACAGGGCGGTGATAATCTGCCCATTCCTCTGCGAAGGTAACGTCGCTTCCGACGGCCTCGAGATGAAGAGGCCGTGCAGAGTCTGCAGGCAGCACGACGTGATCAGCACGTTCTTCAGTGTCATGATCCGCAGGAGACATTCACAGATAGTCTTTACTTGCGATTTCGGCAGCTGATGTAGCACGTCCTTCAGTAACGTGAGAGTGTGCAAGACCGTGGTGACGCCGCCGGGCTCGCAGGCTACGTTCAGCTGCGTGATGCAATGCGTTGCTACAAACGCCGCAGCCGGATGATGAGTTGGAGGCTTCTCGCTCTTCATGATGTCGCTACCTTTTAGCACTGCACATATCCCATGCTGGGCAGATTTGCGCACCTTCGGTTTCGCGTGAATGGTGAAGGAGAGCACCGCACCCAATACCTGCATCGTTGATGAGTCCGCCCAGACAGCGGCCTCCTGTGCTCTCAGCAACACTGAGAGGCAACTTATGCAGTGCCGTACGATGAGGAAGTTCTCAGTGTCTACATACTTTGTGAGAATCTGCAGCAGAGCCTGACTGGTGGCGCCGAACTGTAGATTCAGTACATTCTTTGGCACAGTCTTGAGACCCATTCCTAGCAGAGACACTGTCGCAGCCATAGTGGTATCATCCTCTATTGTGTCCAAAGTAGTCATCAGTGTAGCAAAATACTCCGTAGAAGTCTCTTTACCTCCGTTCTGCTTGATGACTTCTGTGACTGCTGACAGCACTGCCAACATCTCCTTGTGCAACATTGAGCTGGACTGAAAGTGACTGAGGAATCTGCTGAAGGAGATGTTGGAGCAATTACTGTAGTTACTGGCAAAAGTGTCGAAAGTCTGCACTGTGCTCTCTGTTTGATCGTCATCGATGTCAAGCTTGGCTATCTGTGGCTCGATATCTTGGATGGCATCATGTTTTTGCAGATCTTCCTTTGTGATACCTGGCGTACCACTCGGAAGATCCTTGAAGAACATGCACGTGGCCTGTTTGCGGTGTTTCATAATCCCTGGATTGGAGCTCGAACTCTGACCCTTCGCCCATCGTTTTGCTTTCTTCCTACTGGCTAAACGTGGCCCTAGTTTACCCATCTTCTCCGAATTGTGCAATAAGTTTCTAAGTCGTCAACTCGTTAATCCGTAGACGTACAATCCTTGATGTGGCAGCAGTTTAGATTATTTTGTTTCAGGTTCCTTGAGATAAAGACAATGTCTTCTCAACCTACAAAGGTGTTGAAATCTATTTAAAATTATTTTATATAACTATTAACCTTATCATAGTCTTAACTTTTTTTTATTTGTTTAATGTTATTCTTGTACTAGTCTCTTTTAATATTTGCTCCACGAGCTTGATAAAACCTTATTCCTAACGCTACACGTTTGTTCCTCTCAGTTGAACTAGTGCTGCAATGAAACTTTGCTCTTTTTCTCTCCAACACAAGTTTATGTGTACTTGTTTCACTCTAACGGCAAAAAGCGTATCTAGTTCAGCTAAAAAGGGCAAATTATCATTATTTTTCGATATCTTGCACTAACCTCTCTAACCTCTCACCGGGAACGTTAATACCTTATTATGCGAGATTCAGCGAGATTATGATCACACTTGCCACGTGTGACGAGCAATGAAGATACAGAAACAAATGGTAAAACTGTTAGATTTCGAGTATATGGCGCCATCTAATGTCAATGAGCAGTAGTTGAGTGTCGAGTTAGAAAAGCAACTGACACGAATCTTAGGCCGGTATTCAATTTGGGAAAATAATTTTGGGTACAAAATATCATCTTGTATCATATATTTATATGATATTAATCGTATATAATCTTCATGATATTAACCATGAACAATCTCAATTCTTATTTTTTTGCACATGTTAATTCTTTTCGGAACGAAAATAAGATACAAGTCCCGAACGCACGGCGTCCCGTCGCCACCTAGTACGCCCTCCTTCTTTCATAGTGGCAACAGAGAGGAACCTGAAAGCGGCCGTGTTGGCCGCTTGACAAGCATGATCTTGCATATTGTTATGGAGGATTCACACTGCGTCCGAGGTCTCCGACGTACGACGTCCGACATCCAATAGGAGAACAGCTTTCTAATAGAGAATTCAATTCTCCATTGGGGAAAAACGAAAAAAACTATGTGGATGTGGATGTGGATGCGAATATAGAGAAACGCAGAAAAGCGCAACAAAACGCAGAGAAACGCTGAAGAACGCAGGAAAATATAGAAAAACAATGAGTAACGCAAAAAGACGAAAAAAACGATGTGGATGTGGATGTGGATGTGAACATTTCAGCAAGGCAGAAACGAATGTCACAACAAGCTTCAGAATGTAAATAAAATAATAAGTAAATAAATGAATCGAGTGTCATCATATTTTACAGTGTACTCGATTATTCATACGCAATTGTTATTAACATCAGATATCTGCAATTCTATGTAGATACAGCGTATCGAGTGCGCTTCTGCATTGCGTAACTTTGTTATCTTCTCCGTGCAAATGCAGATACACCCATGTAGGAGATACAGCATTTCGTAATTGCTTATGTGGGTCACGCGACTGCTTTCTTTGCGCTTTATATGTCCTTTTGGCGTTTTTCGCGTTCCCAAAGTCACTTCCACGTAAAGTCGCACCAGTGGTGCGATTCTGTAACTCGTTATTGAAGTTAACGACACTTTCGTTATCGTTGCGCAGCTTTTCTACGGTATACAAAAGCTGCGCAACGATAACGAAAGTGTTGTTAACTCCAATAACGAGTTACAGAATCGCGGTACAGGTGTCGTAGACAAAGAGGACAGAATCGTTATCAACGATGGTACCCCAGACAGCACAATGTCCAAAACTGGGACATGAGACGTCTTTAAGACGTCTTTAAGACGACTTAAAGATGTCTTATTTTCAGACATCTTAAAGACGACTTAAAGATGTCTTAAAGACGTCTTATGTCCCAGTTTTGGACATATGTGCGGTTTGGGACATATTAGTGGCTTGCCGAAGAAAGAGTGTAAGCAGAGTTTCAGGACTCAGATTCGTTATTTATTCATTAGTATAATTATTACTTAGACTTTGCCGTGTACTCGTCGTGTCGATGCGACGACGTGTGCACTGTTCGGCGCATTGAGTTCAACCCCAACGAGTCCGATCTGTCTCGATTAGTACGCGTCTATCGAAAGTATCGCGTTTATGTTTGCGTTCGCGCGCGTGCGTGCGCTTCTACAAATTACGTTAATTATGTTAATCGGTATCGCAAAAGGAGAACTCGGACGTGCTCACACAGCCGCGCTACGTCGCTCGACATCAACATTGTTGTAATTGAGACGGATAACACGGCAATTTACGCGACAACACCTAGGAGAGTATGAGAATTCCGCGAGCCTTGTTGTTTTCCTTCACCCAATTTTGGCCGCGAGTAACGCGGACGGATGACTGAAGAAGAGTCCAGCTGGATTCTAGTGCTTGGCCGACTCTTGCGAAGTGTACACTCTCTTCTCTTTTTTCCAATCGGCATCGAGTCTCTTTCATTAACGAGCTGATGGGCGAGCGGAGAAACGCTTCTCGTTAACTTCGAACGTGCACGATCGTCTCGCTCGAATTGCCTCCGATCTGAGTCCTCCGATTGAGGGAAAAAAGAAGAAAAGGTGAACAAATTCAAGCATTGCTCCGGGTTAACGTAATATAAAAATTACAGCCGGTTCGTGGAAGTGCAAGATGTTCAGAGGAGAAAACGCGCGGAAGGAGATCTACTCTGTCGAGGAGAAGCTCCTGCATGGTCGTTGAGAAGCTCCTGGGGACAAAACGTTCGGAGAAAAGCGACGATAGTCGAGCTATTAAGAAGCGACGAGCACGAGGAACGACCGACAAGTACGTCATCTTCGAATCGCTTCTGAAAAGGAAGAGAGAGGGAGAGAACAAAATAAGGATAAATTTCGGCGAAATCGTTGATGAGTTCTTCCTTCGTATCGTTACGCGAGTTCGAGCCGCAAGAAAAGAAGCGCATTGGCATTCCAAGCGGGTTTCTACTCTCGATTAACATTCTCAATTCGTGTAACTTGCGTCACGCAGCCATGATCTTAAGGACGCAGAGCAGACAGAAGACCGCAGCAGCTGACGTTCTCGCGGTACTTCGATGCCATTAAGATTCCAGTCTTTTCTATGCACAATCTCTCGACAGCCGTCGCGCTCGATCGTATTTAACACTGCGGAATCGGCGAGATGCCGCTGGCAGAACGCATCTCGGCCGACGGTTTTCTTCGACGGTGAGAAGCAGCGAGCTTGTGAAGGAAACGTGTAAACGCGCTAAAGTTCGATCGTAGAGAAACGATCTCCCGCTCGAAAATCACACGATACTGCGATTACGAGTGTCGCAATTATCACGCGTTGCTACATCGCAGTTCTGTTCAACAATGTGATCCGATAGAAACGAGTCCCGCGGATGAGCAAGCGCGTAAATGTCACGGCGAACGTACTGCAGTGAGCGCGAATTGTAACCGCATCTCGTGATCCGGAAGATGACATCGCTAAGCAATATTCGAAAATCGATTTAGGATGAGGGCGAAATTGCGCAGCTGAAATGTTGCATCGCATACGTTGCGTATCTCATTCGATGCAACGATTTTTGCAAACGAATAATATTCGGCGTTAACAATTTCGCCAGCATGTTGAAAACCGTGACAACAAATCTGACAGTAATATCTCGATCTCGATATCGTAAGTGCTCAAAGTGCTGCTTTTTTATTTCAAAATTATTCCGACGGCGAAATGAGCTTAATCGTCTCAGATAGTCATCGGTCTGTCAATCGCGATCGATGTCAAGGCGTTATTCTTTCCACAGAAAGATTTCATCAAGAGGCTTTTGCGCAAGATCGAGTATATGTGAGGAACTCGCGCCGAAACTAAACGGAGTCTGATTCCTGCCTACGTACGAGGCGCAGCAGCAGGAGCGGGAAGAGGAGAAGGGGAAGGAGAAGGATTCCTCAAAGAGGAATCAGCGCGAGATTTGTCTGTCGCGAGACCGCTTTAGGAGTGCTCGTCCACGCGATGCTGAGGTCCTGGCCGACGATTTTATTGCTGAGTTGCGCCGCCGGCACGATTGTGCCGCCGGCCGTCCTCGAGACGATGCGCCACTTCTTCCCGGGTTTCCCAGCAGCGCCGAAGGACCCGCTGCAGGACGAAGACGCGGTCACCGGACAGCGCTACGACTTCGTCGTGATCGGCGCCGGCTCGGCTGGTTCGGTGATCGCGAATCGCTTAACCGAAAATCCTGACTGGAAGGTGCTGCTACTTGAGGCAGGAGACGACGAGACCTTCTTCACAGATATACCGTTCCTGGCGCCGGCCCTGCACGTCACGCACTATAGCAGGATCTACAAGAGCGAGCCGCGGCCGCAGGACTCTCACGGTCGCCACGGTTATTGCCTGTCGATGGTCGACGGCCGCTGCAACATGATGTCCGGTAAAGCGGTTGGCGGCACCTCGGTGGTGAACTTCATGATCTACTCGAGAGGCGCGCCGGCCGACTACGACGGCTGGCAGGCGCTCGGCAATCCTGGTTGGAGCTACAAGGACGTGTTGCCATACTTCATCAAGTCCGAGAAGTGCAAGCTAGTTGATCGGGATGTCAGGTACATGTTACGTTTAAGGTAACTCTTGGGATTGCAAACCTTGTTTGTTCGATCATTCGATCTGTCTTCATCTAATTTCACGTTCGTTTGTTTGACTGATTCAGTCATTTCACTTGGTCTCAATTGTCTTCTTCTTATCCCGCGCGCTTCGCTACCTTTCTTTTCCTCTTTTCATTAGGTATCACGGATATAACGGATATTTGGACGTCACCACTCCTCCTTATGCTACTCCTTTGAAGGACTATTTCCTGAAGGCCGGCCAAGAGCTCGGATACGACATAGTGGATTACAATAGCGACAAACTTATGGGCTTCTCAAGCGTGCAAACGAATATGCGGAACGGCCACAGATTTAGCGCCTCCAAAGCCTTCCTCAGGCCAATTTATGGCAGACCGAACTTTTATCTGTCCAAGTTTTCGACCGTGACGAAAATTAAGATCGATCCGAGAACGAAGGCAGCCGTGGGCGTTCAGTTCGTGAGGAACCGCAAAACTTATTACGTCTCCGCTACTAAAGAAGTCATACTCAGTGCAGGTATGCGTTCATATGGCACCGTTAGACGTTGAAAGTGCAACTTAAAGAGATTCAATGAATTTATCGCTGAGGCTATTGGCGATTGCGTTAACATACGGTTGAGTACAACGGGTTGCATGCTCGCTTCGCCGCAGGTACGTATGCGCTCGCACGCGGAATCGGACTCGGCATGGACTCGGAGTTTGTAAGACGATCTGCAGATTTTTTTATTGCGAGGAATGATGTCAAGGAAGCGAGTAGACAATTCGTCATACTCATGTTGATGCAACGCGCTGTACATGTAAATTAATTTAAGAAAACATTCAGCTTAAAAACATGTTTCAAAGAACGCATCGCGGCGAGCCCTGCCTGATGTATTATTTATGAGTGAAAAATACAAAATGACTTCGAAATTATATGCAATTACGCTCGCGAATACTGACAACTGACCACTGCCATTCTGATCGCGCAGGTACTTTAAATTCGCCGAAGATACTGATGCTCTCAGGAGTTGGCCCGAGGGATCATCTGACTTCCTTGGGCATCAACGTGATCGAGGATCTTCCCGTGGGGTTTAATTTACAGGATCATGTGAGCATGACAGCCCTAACGTTTCTAGTCAACGACAGCGTGACGATCACGGAATCACGTTTAAGTACTAATCCGGCGAATCTTATACAATACCTGATGGACGGAACAGGTCCGTTGACGATACCCGGCGGTGCAGAAGCATTAGCGTTTATTAATACCAAGGCCAGCGGTCCGAAAAACACGCAGAAGGGAAAGTTAAAGCCAAAGTACATCTCGCGTCTAAACACACCGAAAAGTAGCGAACAGCCTGGTGAGAACATTTTATCTCGAGAGCGGCACAGTCGATCATTGCAGAAAGTCGTTAAAATTATTACAACATGATTAAAAAGAAATCAACGTGTCAGGATAAAGGAAGTGCACAGATCGTGTTTTGAGAAATGCAATGCCTGATAATGAGAATTAATGGGAAACATTCAAGAAAACTTTTTGCCAAATGTGACGCCTATGAATAAAGATTAATGAAAAAGATTAATGACAATTTTTACATAACGTTTATTGGCCGACGAATATATTTCTTTCCGCAATGATCGAATCTCGTCTATTGCATAAAATCACTTCTTAAGGCTCATTGCGAATTAAACAATTACTTCTCTCACAGCCCGAGCACCCTCCGATGTGACTTCCATCACTGTCAATTCCTTCGCAGCTGATGCGAGCAAATCGGGAACGGAGGACGATCGGCCCGATATAGAGCTAATATCGTGCTCCAGCTCAATGACTGGCGACATTTCCGGGAGCTTCCGCGGTCTCCTCGGATTAACAGACGAATTTTACAAGGAGGTTTTCAGCGGTTACGAGGGCTCCGACGCTTTCACGATCGTGCCGGTGCTCCTGCAGCCGAAAAGCCGCGGTAGACTCACCCTGAGAAGCTCTGATCCGTCTCACTGGCCAGTTGTGGACATCAATTATTACGATCACGAAGACGATCTGAACACGATGGTGCGGGGTATAAAGAAGGTAGTCCTGTTGGACATCTTACAGTTTCTCCGACTTATTATTTGTTATTCATTTACTGCTAGGAGAAGATCTTTGCGAGCTTCTTCGAAAAAAATCGCATCATTATTCGTAGCCCTTTTTTCCTAATTTGTCCGATTATCTTTGGAATGTTGATGTTGAAATTAGGATTGTACGAATTATGGGTGCTCAAAATGATTTTTTTTTAGCTGCGAGTCACCGAGCGAGATTATGATGAATACAGCAATGATAATGATTAGTTGAATCACGTTGCAGGCGATCGAGGTGGCTTCCACGAGGGCGCTGAGACGTTTTAACGCCACTTTACTGCCGGTACCGTTTCCGGGATGCAGGCGCGTCACATTCAACAGCGACGCGTACTGGGCTTGTGTGGCGCGTCACGTGAGCACGAGTCTGGGTCACTTCGTCGGCACGTGTAAAATGGGGCTGAGGCAGGACTCGGGCGTGGTGGATCACAGGTTACGAGTGCACGGCATCAGCGGTCTCAGAGTCGTGGACACCAGCGTGATGCCAACGATAATCACCGGTCACACGAACGCACCGGCGTATATGATCGCCGAGAAGGCTAGCGACATGATCAAAGATGACTGGAAACGCATCGTCTCTTGAAACGCAGCCGAAACTGCTCCCAACGCTCGATAGAACTTCGATTAATCCTAAGGAAAACGCTATGTACATATGTACAGGATGGAAGTGCGATGTGTGTATATATATATTATTTATAGAACACAGCAGTGGAATGATGTGTCATCGTGTTGCACAACGATGTACGGAGATTGAATGATGATTAGCTCGCGTGTATCCTAGTCAGTGACTGATCGCAATCAGCATGCACTTTGTTACGTTGTACATAAAACTGTGCCAATAATGATATGCTAGTATCAACGACGATATCACACGATCAAGTGTACGCTCGTTTGCGAAACGGTTTGCACACATCCTTCCGATGAAGTCAACGTCTAGGGATTAATAAAAAAAATAGTTCTCTCTCGTCACAGAGTATCGGCTACCTTCCAAACTGCATCGAAAAAAAGTGCTCAAACTGTCTCGAAATCAAGTGTACGCGTGTCGATTTTAACAGGCACGCTGTTCCCTCCACTCGAGGAAAAAGCGTCGATTCTCTTTGGCTGCCTTAGTCGCTAGTTAAGATGTCCAATCCGCATTAGTCAAGCGCGAGTTGTTTCGATGAATACCACACGAGAGACACACACGTGTGTTTCTGTAACGGATAAATTATTAGAACTGCGATCGTTTGGGCGAAATTAAATAATTACTAGATACTAAATTAACAAGTCAGGATGTGCTCGCCGGCTATCCTTTTTCTTTTTTGTTTCTTTTTTGCTCTCGAACGAGTCGACTCGTTACTCTTCAGCCTGAACCTGCGAGGAAGTTCGCGACGAGGGCGACGATAGGAAGCATTTCGTACGTTTGCCATCTTGTTGCGCCTGTCGAGATATCAGAATTTCGCGATTGAATTGCAACGGATGAGATTAACAATAAAGCCCGTATCAGACTATGGATTGGGATTGAGATTGGATTGAAATTTGACCAATTGGAAAAAAGAAAATAATCTCAAACATAGTAAACTTAGCGCTGATTGGTTAAATTTCAATCCAATACTCAATCCCAGTCCGTAGTTTGATACGAACTTTAGAGAACGTAGATATTTACCATTGTCGCTGAATTGGACGCAATCATGCAGCTCCTCCATCAGCGTGTAGCCTTCGCTACAAGCGCAAAAACCTGCGAGCAAACAGTATCGCATTGTTTGAACACCGCCGGGCAATAAGCCGCGCAATTTGCCGTGAGTGTATCTACAAAATGTTGCCCTACCGTTCACGCAATCCACTTTCGACTTCCCGGTCGAATTAGAGTTCCTGTAACTACCAGTGATACAGTGATGATGAGTCTCGCAATAGCCGCCCAATTCTGCAACGCGACATTCTCATTTAATGTCTGGCATTTATATCGAACGAGTGAAAAAATTTTAGTACACTGTGATATAAAGTTAGGAAAAATTGAACAATTCAATTAAGAGAATGTAGTGAAAAATTAACGCTCAACTCCACGCAAATCTGCCTGAGAGATCGAACCGAATTTTTTGACTTCGTGTATTTCGACAATGCTGAATCAGAAATCACTCGAGTACTCACCGACATCGACGTAGCATTGAAAGCCGCGTCTGTGGGAGCTCGCGACGCAATCGCACGTGTTGTTCGCGCCGCATTGGCTGTATTTGAGGAACAGCTGACACTGAGACTGCTGCTGGCACTGTTGCCCGATCCTGGAGGCGGCTCTTAGACATCGCTGACCATCCTCGGCTAACACGTAGTCGATTTTGCAGTCGCATTTGTTCCGTATGCACTTGGAATTTTCCACGATGCATTCGTAGTCGCGGTGGCAACGATCGCCCAACTCTGAAAGCGTGGATGTATGCATCAGTGCTTTCGGTAAAAACTGTCTCTGTTTCTACACACAGCCTTTTTCTAAATTTAACTTTCCTTTTTCGAAATTAAAACATTGTCTTGATCTCTTCAACGAGACCGCGTTAAACGCTTACCGGCATTCGGCAGACAGCTGCTGTTGTCAGGACTCGAATGGTAGCGCAGATCGCACGTGCAGAAACCGTAGTCGCAGAAAGTGTTCTCCATATAGCAATTGCGATGCGATAGACAGCGCTTCCCCAGGCCTGATTAAACACAGGATAAAATTACGATTAATGAAAGTCGAGACTGGAGCGCGTCTGTTAGTTCTCAGTTCAAGCGATGTCTCTCCCGCTCTCATGAGAAAGACGCTTATGTGCGTACAAATCGTCGTGACATTGTCGTTGAAAACGACATTCACATGCGATAGAGATAGAATAATGATAGAGAGAGAGAGAGAGAGAGAGAGAGAGAGAGAGAGAAGAAGCTGTGTGTTGTACTATTAGTACTCATTGTACGAATAATTCTGCTGTAACTTTCCTCAGCACGAACAAGTTCGCCGAGCGAACTTTCCGCGTGTCGTGCCTCTCTACTCATTATGTTACTTATCACCCCGTGATATTTATTTCGCCCATAAATATGCATAATGGTGGGGTCTCGGTCAGCCCAGCTCGCGCGGCTTGGGATATTTCTCAGGGGAGAGAACGCCATGGCACTCACCGACCGACTCGTAGCACCTTCCCTCGACGAAGTGGGAGCCGTGGGCGCATTGACAAGTGCTTTCCTGGCATTCCGACTGAGGTGTAAATGTAAATTGACACTGAATATCCTCCTCACACAGATCGCCGATGGAGGTGGCCACTGTTGAGAATGCGTTTCCTTAATCAGTCGCTGTAATCGCCCTAATTTGACTCGCTCGTTACTCCCTAAATTTGTCGGAGCGAAATTTCCCGCTCAGAACGAGCGAGATTTCACCCGAAGAGATGACGAAATTATCCCACCACTCGGAATCGTGAGAGTGAATATTCAACTAAAACTTCTTCTGTGTGGTGGATTCTTCATCCTTATGAGTAGAGTTTCCAATCCCGGATACAATTTAGGATCCCGGAATTTCGGGATTTTTTGGATTCCATCTCGGGATCCCGGGACTAGTCCCGGGATCATATGTATGTAAAGAAAGAAACACGGAATATTTACAAATAATAGAATTATTTTATTTATAGAACGTTCATAGACTTTTATGAACATTATGACAAACAAAAAATAAAATTTCAGTAAAAATGAAAGCAACTTATATTAATGATTGCACAAAAACCGTTACAATTAAAAATTAAAGTTTTTGTAATAAAAATAAAAATAATGATTTCTTCTTTTTCACATTTGAAAAAGCGACTTTAAAAATAATAAAACATAAATTTTGTTAAAAAAATATCTGATCCCGGATTCGAGTCTGTGTTGCGCCAGTTTATCCGCGAAATTTAAAATAGAAAATTCCCTTAATATTTAAAACAAATAAAAATAATACATGGAATTAAATTTAAAATATAAATACACATTTCTCTAGCAAATGCTCTAAAACATCAGTAATAAGTAATTATTAAAGTAAAATTTTTGTAAAACGTAAGTATTATATAGACACTAAGCATTAAATTTCGAAATCCCGGGATTTGTGATGTTGAATCCCGAGTATTTTCGGGACCAAACATTTGGTCGGGATCCCGGGATCCCGGGATTGGAAACTCTACTTATGAGTAAGCGTTTCGCTCGGTCGCGATGAATTTATCTCGGCGAACGAAAAAGTTTTTTTTTTTACGAGCGAGGAAAGTTAACTCGAATTCGAGTGATTCAGCTGTCACTTTTTCTTCGGATGGAACTTTGCTCAGAGAAATTCAGAGAGTAATTCGTATTCTCTTTAAATGCGCGTACCTTCACGTTCGATTTCTAATAAATCTAGCTCTAATAGATTTTCTATTAATTAATTAATTTAATAAACAACTAATGTCAGATTTCAACTAATCCGCGTGCCGAAGACACCTAACGGACGAGCGACGTACAGTACACGATTCTCGATTTCAACGGTAAAATCTAGGGAGGAAGGGGGAGGGGGGAATTTCACGCTTTTCCACAATTTGACGGAGCCGACGATTATACGCGCGAGTGATTACGCGTCGAGCGAGTTGTATCTAAGGACGGATTCACGCGTTCTACCTCATTCATAGAAATTATTCATGATCTCTGTCGGCTCAACGAGCACAACGAACGACACGCTCCAGGTGAGACGGGATCGTGAGAAAGGAGCGGATAGGAACAGGGATGAACGGGAGTATCTCCGTGGAATCTCGTTTTCCGAGGTCGATGACATCGCTGCCGAATTGTGCGCCTGCTATATGTATATCTCTCTGAGGACTTTTCCAGCGTCGCCGCCGCTGTCTCGGGAACACGCACGTGCCTCTCGTCCGTGGGAAATTTAATCGATATATTAACACGTTACTCCCATGAAGTACACCGTGACGAAGGCGTGATGTGAAGTACCTCTCAAACATTTATAGACGTTGTCCCTCTCGAACGGGATGTGATTCTCTTTGCATGAGCAGGTCTGCTGATTCCGGCAGTACGCGTTCGCTATGCAATCGACGTCGTACTGACACTGCGCGAAGGTCTCTGAAAAATATCCCTCGCATTTGTAACGTGAAACATCTCGTCCCCTCCGCTCGAATCTCCGAAGAGAACGAGAGCAGGAAATGAAAGTCGTTCGATGTAGAGAACAGGCGGTCAATTAGAGAGCGTTAGGAGGTAAACTTATACGGCAAATAGTGAAAATCAACGGCCGCTTATCAATACTTGACAAGCAGCCGGTACGAATATCGCGCTCGATATTTTTCCGGACATTCGAGAAAGAGACCAAGACATTCTTTTAAAATGTCCAAAGGAATCTCCGAGTTTGTCTGACTGTCTGAGGCTGTCATCGGCTCTTAATATTTCCCTTACACATTTCATTTCGGGGACATCGTTTTGGGATACTACAATATCTTGGGGATTTACAAATGTCCGCTGTTTTAAATTCTACAGATATCCTACGGGTATCCTTTTAGTTCCTTTTTAACTTTTTAACTTTTAGTTCCTTTTTAAAAATTTCTAATTTCTAAAACTTGTTACTAAAAGAGATATCCGTAGGAATATCTGCAGGATCTAAAATGGAGGATATTTGTATATCCCCAGGATATTGTTGTAGGACGTTCTTGTAGGATAACGTGTAGGATTGCGTCAGAGTCTCGTTTGAGAACCTGAACTTTGACATTCGACTTTTAACATCTGGAAAGCCGGAGGAGTCTCAATTTCGTCACCGATCTTTTCTTTCTTACAGATCTCCGACATTCTCAGACATCCTGTAGACATTTCACGAAGCGCCTTCTCGGGACGCCTCCGCGCCATCTTGGACGCGTTTTACCGCAATTCTGGCAATCTTACTATTACTGCGGTCGTTGCATCGCGACGAGTCCTGGTTGACGTAGGTGATCGTCGCGCAGACGGTAACGGGTACGAGGACGAGGAGCCCCGGGATGCCGCTTACCGTCCACGTCTTCGTCATCCTCGAGACGGCGGATGAACGCCGCGTCCGAAACGTTTCATCACCACCGGCCGACTTATTGTCATTTTCGGCCCCGGGGACGAGATCGGCCGGGCCGATCGCTCGAAGGTCGCCGCGTCACGATCGACGGTTCCGTTCGTGGCTCACGACGATGCTCTCATTGTTTCCACGCTCGTTGCGCAATCGCAAACAGGAACACGTACACCTTCGAACACGCTGTTATCGTTCAGCCGTATCCCGCGTCGCGGGATCACATCGGTTTCTTCGACGTGCACGACATCCCGACGTCTCCTCCGCGTCCGCCCGAGACGGAATCCTTCGAGTTCTACATCGGGATTTCGTCGACATTACATCTCAGCGAAATCTCAATTGTTACAATCGATTCTTTTAATTAATAAACTCTCGATTAAACGAACTTGGTTCACAAACTTATACTCAAGGCGGTCTCTTAAGCTCGTCTTAAGACGTGTTAGCCGTGCAGCTACTTAGGACCTTAAGATGAACTCAAGACAACTTCAGGTACAAGATCAAACTAAAAATGTTCCTCGAGATGTCCGAAAGCCATCTCTCGCTTCCGTCTTCCGGCTCTTCTTGTTCGAGGAATCTCATAAACTCGAATGTTCCAGTTCGAGGAGTTCGTTACCGCGCGTGCGAACGAGTTCGTCGCCATGGCACCGACTCGTTTGGTCGATCTCCAGCAGCGGAAGGTATCGAGTCGCCGGGGTCCCGTTGGGAGCAAACAGCGTATTGCCTACGTTAGATCCGAATATCGCGCATTCATCGGCGGTAATCGTCGCGCGTTCGCGCGACTAACAGATGTTAAACCGCTCGAGCGCCGGGCGGACCTCGATGGTCCCGTTTGACTTTGGTCAGGAATCAAGCGCGTGTGTCGACGCGCAGGACATGCAAATCGAATACTCGTGCACAACGTGCCGCTCCTTCGGCAAAGATTAATCGAGCGACTGATGGCTGCGCGAAGACGAGCGGCCAAGATTGACTCCTTCCGCTGCGGAAATCTTCCGCGGCCGCGACGGGTGGAACCTTCGATGGACCGATTCGATTTCAATTAAAAATATATAAAAACAATATATAGCCAGATATCTCTTGCGATCAAATGCGAGACAATTACGGACTCTTGACGAGGAAAATTTCTCATTTTCTCATTTTTTCCCTCGCTCAGCTTCCTAATTCTTTCCTCAAAATTCTCAAAACACCGCGCTAACGAAACTCCTCGTCTCATTCCATACCGCCGCGCTAAGCTTCCTGTTTACGCATCTGCGAGCACGGAGGAAAGCCGGATGAAAAAGCCAGGCACGATTTGAATAAATCTCCGAATCTCGCCGAGGACCTCTCGCCGGCGCGCGAAACCCGTGGGCGGCGTTCTCCGCTTCGGGATTTCAATGACGATCCCGTGAATGCCCGAAGGTCGATCGACGACGAGAGCGCGAGCTTAGCGCCCTGCGTTTCTATAGTTTCGATTCGTGTTGCGCAACACGGAGTACCTACATATATAACAGCAGAAGCCATTGTGTGATGTGCCAACAGGGCCGTACTTAGTTCTAAACTCGTTCACGCAATGCGCGCGTGACACACCTCGCCGAGCGGATCCTCTTAAGGCTGAACGGGCGAGTTACTCGCACGCGCGAGCTTCTCTGCGCGCGAGTCGAATCCGCCGAGCAAACTATGGCGCGATCTAAACTACGTCGTGGCCTCCGAGTTCCTCGGAGTGAAATTTCAGCCGAAGAGCGAAGAAGGACTCTCCACCTTCTTCCGTGTGAGGTTCCGCTCCGAGAACTTGAAAACGCGAGAGACCACGATGATCGATTTCTCGTGCGAGACGACGAGCAGCCTACACGAGAAATCGCTGAAATCGCGAAGGATAACTCAGAGGATAAAAGCAAACCCATTGATAACACTTAATGGCTTAGTGGCGCCTAACGGGACGCAATTAGCGGTGATAGATTTCGTAACGCGCGCGCGCGTGCATGTTTGCGTCGACCCGACGACGCCCGGCATTGTTATCTGCGCAGTAAGAGAGACTGTCTGTGCAACCGTACAGTTTCCGAGCTTCGTCGTCGAGTTCGAGGGCGGGTGTTGTAAAACACATTGTTAGATCGAAAGAACAGACGAGCGAAGGAAACACGGCCCCCCTTTGTTCCTTAATTATGAGCGGGTTCTTTCTGCTCCGACATTCACCTAACTGTGAGAACCAGGAGCGTAGATCCGGTCCCCACGACTAGCGGCGCGCGATCTTCTCCTTCGCTCTCCTTCGCGGGGGGAATCCTCGCCAGAGAGAGAGAGAGAGAGAGAGAGAGAGAGAGAGAGAGAGAGAGAGAGAGAAGGAGGGAAGATTACGGGAGAAAAGATTACTGGGTCATAAAAAAAGATACGCCGTCTGCGAAATATTCCGCGCTACGTGTCGCCGTGCGTGATCCTTCGCGTTGAGAATGAAGTGTCTCGACGAAGCGTCGCGAGAAATCTCATTTCAGCGCCCATATTCTTGAAAAATGTCGCCTACAATATTTCACGCTATGTCACTAGATATCACGATTCTCAGCCAATTAAATGGCCCCTTTGATGAAATATGGTGTACGATATTTTTCGCAAATTTTCGAGAATAAAGAATCTCTTACTTCAGCTTTCCGCGCGAGAAAAATCTCGTCGGTGGGAAAACTCGCGACAGGTCAATTTTGTTCAGCGCTCGTTTCGGCTGAAACGAGCTCGGCGAGGTGGATGCAACGAGCGCGACGAAACGTGATTTCTTGTGATTACGCGAAAGCGAGTATAGTTTTCACGCGCGCGTTTGTCAGTCCGCGTTCGACGTCGCGCCTGCGCGATTTTTCGTTCAACCGATGATTCCCGATGATCTCGAGCGAACGATCAATTCAACTCGCGCGCGCCTCTCCGGCTGCTTCTGCTGACACCTGCTCGCTCACGCTCGCTCGACATTGAATTTTGCGCGCGACGCACATGCGATTCATTCAGCCTCGGTCGCACCACCACACACACGATCCAACGAACTTCTCAAAAGATTTCTCTCCTCAGTCGCGTTTCTCACGGCGACAAATTCGCCGAACTCGTGAATTCGACTCGAGTTCGAGCTCAACGACGGAACACACTCGAATCTCCACACTCACGCCTGCCGAACGGATGCTCGCGCGAGCCGTGCGCGTCGGCGACTGCACTCCGCGCGGCAAAACACAGCGCGATTGACAGCACAACGGTTCGCAGCTCCCTCACCGCGGGGCTCCTCCTCGGCGAGCTCTTCGGCTCGCTCGCCATCTCATCGAGACGAGAATTACACGCCGAGTGCTTCTCTCAGGAATCGACGATGAAAAAGCGGACGGCAGGAAGGGGAGAGCCCGACGTTGTCCCGAAATTTAGGCGCTTGATACTCTTCGCTCTGAGAGTCTTCCTTATCCGCTCAGCGTCCGTTAACTCATAACTTTTTCCTCGATATTCCTTATTTATCGCCACGAACATCGCTGGAGGGTGACTGAGATGGTGCACAGGTGAAACGGGCATGTCGTAACGATGTGTCCTGTCTTTTGTAAGACGCTTTTTCAGCCGAATACGTCAGCTTGTTTACGCTATCGCTATGTGGTGTGGTCGTCGGTAAATTTTCTTCCGGCCGAAATCGCGCACATCGCGCGTTAGAATACTCGCTGGTTTTGAAAGTAGCCCGCAGTCGGGAATAAGCGACCCGAATACCGTGAAGAAGCCGTCGACAACGACAGCGATCACGCATATCGCCGACGGGAATACCGGTCTATCGCGTTGAACAATGATCGAAGAAGAAGGACAAATCGACCAATTCACACGACGATTCAAACAATCCAAACGACAATTAAGTATCCACGCTAATATGACATTCGCAACGTTGCCTCGGAGCGGAGATAAAAAGTACAATGTGTATATTTCTCTTTAGACATAACTTTGCATTAAAATTTTACTTTACGATAAAATACTTATAGTTACAAGGTACACTCGCGTTGATTCTAAAAGGCTCAGAAGAACGCGGAGATGAACGGACGCCTCGAGTGACCAGAAGAGACGCGCGACAATTTCGCGCTCGCTCGCTCGTTCGGATTTTCTGCGGCTCGCATCGTTCTGAAAAGAAGCGGCGGCGGCGTTCCACGCACCAGGCGGCTGCATTTTAATGACCACGTTAATTGAATGCACACGAGAGGAAGGCTTTAAACACTTCGGTGCGCCTAGTTTCGAGCCCTCGCCGTCGTCGCTGTGCAATTACGGCGGCGCGAAGCGTCTCGTTTGCGCGCTATCTTTTCGACGCGGCCGCACTCTTCCGCGAAGGATCGCGCAAGAAGATGCCCCGAACCAGCGAAGAAGATCAATCTCGCGCGTCCGTTTTTCTCCCGGTTCGACGATGAAAAGCGGAAACGGATGTTTTTCCATTCGACGTTCGAGGAACGAGTACGATATTTCCAAGGTAGCACACGACTGGCTATAATAAACGTGACTCATCCAATCTCGTCGATAAAGTCATTACTTCTTATCATAGTTCGACTGACATCATTGTGTATTCACTTACCCACCCAACCTTTCCGCTTTTTTCTCATTTTCCCTTCTTGCCACTCATGCACTTGGTCACGGTTTGAACTCTTCTTTGTCGATGCAGCTTCAAGTGCAAGAGCGAGATGGCACACATATCACAAGAAGTAACTCACAAACGGTCTTTCGCGTTTGAGCTTTGCGTCTTTTGACCTTTTGAGAAACGAAGAATCTTTGTGTGTCATAATGTGATCGGTACTGTAATACTGTGATTACAGAGCTGTGAATTCCACATTCAGGGACTGACCGAGAAAGAAGTGTGCAATCCTTCATGGCCGTCATTGTGCAACGTCCTCACACGACTACATTGTAGTCGTATGTGTATACATTCCGTCAAGAAACTCCCGCAATTACATGAGTCCCGATTCGCGAGGCGTCGTTTGTCCGCACGAATACACCACAACGTGATACTTGTAGCATTCGTGAGAAATACGCGAGCCTCTTTTTGGAGTACTCGTGAATTTTTCATTAACGTTATCACGGCGCTACGAATAAATCGCGAAGTACGATAAACGAACCCGCGATTGTTTCGTTCTCGATGTTCGCCGATTTCCGTGCTCAGACGAATCGCCAGGAGTTTCCCTTACAAAATGTATAACTATTGGACCCCCCCCCCCCTCGCCAACTTATAATAATATAACAACTTCTTTTTCTCGAAGAAATCGTATTTAACGGCTAACAATGTTTCATCCAAAAATAGCATAAATTAGCGCCGCTAAAGTTATTGCTGGGAAAGATGTGAAGATGAAGGAGCCTGTAAACAGAAATCACGAGAGGTGAGGATCTTCCAGACGAACGAAATGAAAGATACAGAATTCGGTCGGTCGCGCGTATTAGACAATTTCGAACGTTACGAGTGAAGTAACCGATGCTCCTGGAGAGTCATTCGCAGTCATCTAATATTTTCGTATCTCCGATTCTCTTCTTAATTGCGGTTTCTTATACACATATTGCAACATGTCTTACTTACCGCGGTTCACGCATACGTTCCCTTGCCTCACGTAATTCTCGGCGCACGTACATTTGTTATTCTCGCACATCAGAGACTTGGTCGACGAACTATTCCCGTAATCCTCGGCCTGGTAACACTCGTAAATATTTGCGCATTCGGCATCAATCTCTGCGGAAAAACAATGCAAACTGTAGAATTTATTACAAGCAACATTTTCTCCCGCATTATAACTTTCTGTTCCCTAGGAATATGGAAATTATAATTCAAATATATTATAATTGAAAAGTGTAAAAAATCTAAAATATAATTATAATTAGAGATATAAGTAATTAAATATATAATTTGAAATTTAATTTAGATTTTGGTAATTCAACTGATTTAATATCAACACCACGATATGACAGAGCGCAAAAATGAATTTCTTTCTTCGGAGAGAAGAGTCAGTTGCAGATTCACGCGGCGGCCGGCGAGAAAACGAACGAGTACCTCCGTTAATGAAACACCTCGTCATTTCGTGCTCGTAGTGATAATTCACTTGGCACTGGCACATGTTCTCGATGCACGACGAGTGTTCAAATGTCTGACACTGCACCGACTCCGTGCATTCGTCCCGAAAGTTTCGCGCAACGGCCAGACATCTCTTACCGTCCGTGCTCAACACCGTCTCGGCGTCACACTCGCACGTCTTATTATTCGTGCAGATTGCGCTCTCGATGTGCGAGCACTCCTGGTTTTTCGTGCAGGGTTGTTCATATCCTGCAAACAATGTTGAGATAAGAAAGGAAGGGAAAGAAAGAATTTTTACAATCCCCTATATGATACATTGGGTAAAAAAATTCAGCTCAATTTCAAATTCGATTTTATAAGCCGAGAGCAACGGAAGCAGTTTATTCAGCAACCAAGCAATGGCTGTTATAGTTTACAATCTTCCGCCAATATCCTAGCAATATTTATATTCGTGAAGCATGATCAGTTTAAGGAAATAAAAAGATTGAGGCAGGCTTTCCGACCAACGCGGTAATTTTCTAATTTATCCTTCTCTCACTTTCCTTTCCTTTTCCTTTTTTCTATTTCTCACCTGCCATTCTCCAGCACGCACTGTCGACATAATGATAACCAGACGTGCAGACACATTTATTAGAGCGGCAAGTGGTGTTCGCTAAAAACACCAGGCACTGATTGTCGTCCGTGCAAGAGGAATTGATCGACTGAATCTCTGTTTGAAGAAAAGTAACGCAAATTAACGGCAAGGTACTGAAATCGAGCGATGCTTCTTCGACATCTCCTCGATTATTTCACGCCGCGAAGAAGAAGCCACGTTCGCACGTTCTTACGCTTACTCTGAAGGCAATGGTGCTTGTCGCTCGATGGCACATGGTCCTTCGAGCATTCGCACTGATTGTTGGTAGTGTTGCAAAATCCACCCGGCAGGTTGCAATCCTGATCGTGCTTGCATATCCGGTAGACCAGCGGACCTGCAAAAAGCACCGGTTTTATGCATGTGTGATCGTCACGCATATTCACACTCGACTCGGTAAACAGTAAAGATGTGCGAACTATTCGAATTCGAATCCCTATGATTCGAATCCGAATAATTCGAATAGGAATCAAATACGTTATCATTTGCGTGCATCAGCTACAAAACGGGCCATCTGTGTGTTTGAACTTAATTGTAATTAATTTGTAATTAGCTTAACTTATAATTAATAACTTAATTATAAATTACTTTAATTATTTAAATATATATTTTACTTTATGATGATATTACAATATCAATATTCCCTTTCATATTAAAATCTTCCATCATCATTATTTGCGTGTTTAATAGTCATGTTAAATTTTTTAATAATTCGATCCGATTTCATTCGACTCGATTCGAATTCGAGTGAAATTTCATAGATTCGCTTCGATTCGAATTCGAATTTAAAAAATGAAATTCGATTCGATTCGATTCGACATAAAGATTCTTGATTAGCACATCTCTGATAAATAAGTGAGGGATGCCGATCGAGTCGCTTTTAGTCGATTGTATCACCTGATGTTCTCGTCTCGTGTATGGACGCCTTGACGCTCGAGCAATTGACAAAGCCTCCTGCACTCGGGCACATGCAATATCCATCTTTGCAAATCGTATCTGGCGGAAGCGTCGGTATGTTCGTACAATTCGCCGTTTGTACGCACGGGATATGCGAATCTGCAATCGAATCGGTCGTTTCAGAAAAGATCGTCGTCGGGCCGCGACGCACCTTTCGCTGCGTAATAATAATTCTACTTTGGCGATTGTTATTATGATTGTTTGTGATCGTTTTATTCATCAATTGCCCTCGTTGCCGGCTTCTCCATGCCGCGAAAATAAATCGCTAAACACTCCCGGCTGTTCGGCATTTGACAAGTAGAGATGGGATTAATTCGACTTACTCTCGCCATTGCAAGCTACTTCTCCTCAGAAACAGCTCAGTAATAGCACATTATTTTCTTTCCATTAATAACAGTGACGGTAACGTGACTGAATTTTTCGAGAGACGGTGACGAATGCAAACGTTATTTTCATCACCATCTCGAAGTAAAATCTAAAATGGAGGTCTCCGAAACTCGGCGAAGAAAGTCACGGAAATTGTGTAAAGACGCGTGACTTCTCGTGAAACGATAACGACGATGATTTACCTTTCGAAAGGCGTAATCGTGCCGAATTACCGAGTTTCTTTCAACGCTTCTGCGACGATCGATTCGATCGAAAACAAATTCGGCGCGCTCGATTCGTACATTCACAGAAAGTCGGGAGACCTCGGCGAAAGATAAATAACATTGTCAGCGGAATTCGCAGCGGGAATATTGATGTATACATATTTTGCGGGCAATAAATACGCGCGTACGACAAAGCGAGATCAAAGATCGCGCGATTAATTAGTGTTAATTATGCACATACGATTGCAATAGCGTTAATCGCATTGTTACTCTCACGAACATCAACACAGACAACGCGCGAAGCCTCGGCGAAAGACGTCGGGTAAGTGACGGAGGATCTTGCTCGGCAGAGCAAATTATGCGTTCGTCACAACATCGATGTTTACAGGTCGCAACGCGGGCTTGACCGTTTCTCTCGTAATTATCATACCTAGCGCGCGCACGCACACACACATACATATACACATGCTCCAACGTGAAAATCCAAAGTTCCTCTACTGAGAGGATAAAGCGCGCTCCGCTGCGAACACGAGATGCGAACGACATGGTTGTTAATTTTGTTAATGTGAAAGGAAAGTGAGTACGCCGGAAATAATCGGTTAAGAGCCAGTCTGAACGTAAACAAGAAAGCGAAAGAATCCGGCCAAGATCCGGCCGTAAACAAGCTTGAAATTGGATTCGTTCAGGACTCGCTAGGTTTCGTTTCGCTCGATCTTTTTTTTTCTGCGTAATGCAACGCACGTGCGGCTCACCGATTCTGTCAGCGACGACGAGGCCGATGAGAAGCGCGATCGCGCTCACAGCCACGTGCGTCTTCATCACCGTGGAACTCCTCTTCAAATTTCCCGTATCGAACTGTTCGAACCTCGATCTTCCGCGACGAGAGAGATTCGCTCGTCGTCCGCGCGTCAGTCAGTCTGTTGGTCGGACGGTCGGTCGGTCGGTCGGCTAGCTCGCTCGTTGGCGATCGGCAATCGGCAACGACTGAAGTGTGCTGACGAACCCGAAGCGCCGCTGAGAGTGTTCGGAGGTCTGCGTCTGCTCTTCGTCCCGTTTCCGCTCTCCGGCAGACCCTGCGCTCTCCCACCAGCGTGCTAATTTTCTCTCCCGACTCTCCTGTTCACACGCACGCGATCCGCCGGTGAATCCGATCGGCACTTTCGCGCGTGCCCGCGCAAACGACGTCCGCCGACACGGGCGAATGCGCGACCGTGAAAAAGTGCAGCTGCCGGCAAATTTGACGCGCAGCACGAGGACGCGCGATGCTATCCCGACGACGCTACTTGATTATCCGGCGCTCTCCATACCGTTATATCATGCGTTTCTTCTTTCTCTTCCTCTCATTCTTTTTCCGCCTTTTTTTTATTACAGAAAGCGAGTTAGTTCATCATCGATCATAATCGATAACAGAAAGATTGCAGTACTTCCTTACCAACGAATTTTATGGCACATTTGTGTCCGATAGAACTTGTCTGATAAACTTCACAAGATGAATCTCCCCGTCGAATGCGTCTCGAAGTGGAAGAGATAAAAATGTCACCGCTTGCGGCGAATGCGACCGCTTCGTCCTGTTGGCGCGAAATTTAGCGCTGTCAATTTGTTCGAAGGGGAATATTCATTACTCATCGAGAGCTGCACCTGAGTAGACGACAACAACAACAACACGCGGGGGTGTTCGCGGCACTCCCCCTTCATTTCCTCGTAATTTCCGCTTCGACGTTTAACGGCGATGCTTTCGTCTTCTACGCAGGCGGTCGATAAGATGAACAAAGAAGAAGCTGCTCGTTGCTCGCTCGTGTCGTGAATTAGACGATAAATGCGGCCACACGTACGGAGCCGCGCGCGCACGGGTGCAAGTGAGCGTGAGAGGCTGCTGGCGCACATTATAAACGTAATGATAATGAAGAATCGCGTGGTAATCTGATGAGATTGAATTAGCAGAATTATTGAAATCATGGCAGGAGCTTTCCGTTGAATAGAATGCTTGGCTAATCGCCGCAACGTAGAATTGACTGCATGCGCGTTACAACGCCGCGTCGTGACGCGTGCCATTACTGCAGCGCTCGCGCTCGTTTCCCCGTTTCTAACTTATTGCTATTTTTGATTTATCGACGGGACTCCTCCCATCTATCTCTGTCTATCCGTCGCCAGGCGCGCCCCGCAGAAATTTATAAATTGATGACGCGAGAGAGAGAGAGAGAGAGAGAGAGAGAGAGAGAGAGAGAGAGAGAGAGAGAGAGAGAAAGAGAGAGAAAGAGCGTCTCGTTTTTTGTAATTTTTGTTTTGTGCAAACAATAACGGGAAATGAGAGAAAGAGAGACGAGGCACGCGATTTCCTGTACTTCGATTCGGTGTCTTCCTTAAACCGCAGAATTTATTGCGTTTGCGAGTCGAAGCGCGTCGCTTTGTTTGAATTATGCTTTCGTCGAGTGGCCGGAATAAATCATCACGCTCGGGAATAAAAGTGACACACACTCACTCTGTCTTCCTCTCCCTCCCTCCCTCTCACTCTCTCTCTCTCTCTCTCTCTCTTTCCTTCACAGAGATAGACTCTTAAATAAATGTGAATTAATGTCTCTTCTTATGAGACACCATTCTAAAAGGCAATGGTAATACGCGTTTCACACGATAAACAAGCCCTCTGATTCATTTCGGACGCGGGATATCGCTAGATACACTCAGAGATAACGTTTATCGGATGAGGGCGTATGTCGTGAGCGTGCGAAGACGCGCTGATGCGCTATCTAACAGTCACCTGTATATGTCTCGAGCTTGAAACACCCGTTTGAGAAGTAATTTCGGCTCCAAATGACGGATCTCCTCCGCACCGTCTTCGTCTTGTGCACATTGCTCGGTTGTTTTTATTGCCTCGATGATCGTGAGTGTCATTATCGCAGTGACTCAAACTTATATCTGTAACGTTATATCGTATAAGGATAGGAGAGTGTCGAGATATCGTCACGAAAATGTCTGAGTCCAACAAAATTAAGATCTGATAAAAGTCTGGAACGTCTAAGGTATCGATAGTTGTTACTTGCAACTTGTCTCAAGTGAAACACTCAGATCCGCGTTTAAAATAAAGGTTTCTGTGAAATCGTCACTACAAATGTAATGTCATATATAACAATGTCTGACTGAAAAACTGGGATCTAACTCTATTTCAAGCCTGAATGTCTCAAATGAGCCAAGTTTTGAGTATCAACAACTATCGATACGGGCTTAAAAGAAACATTTTGATATTTTTATTTTTCTTTTTGTGAATAAGAAGAATTTGAAAAGGATTCTTTCTCTTTATTTAGACATATTCGAAGAAATATATTGCATCTTATAGATTGAATGTTTATTCACCATTACTCTCACATGTCTAAAAAGCATCTCTTTGGACCTCCTTCGGAAGTCTCTTAGGTTGTCGTGTCAATTGCGAATAGTTGACGAAACTTTATCATTGGTGTTAGGTAATTAGAAGAGCTTCCGCGATAACCGTGCATCGCGACTTTATCTCACGCCGATTAATTGGATTTTAATCTTCTAACTGAATTATTATCTTTAATCTTCTAACTGAATTATTATTCGTTTTAGCGAATAACGACAACAATAATCGCCGCGTGTTTGTTGGCCAAAACTGCCAGAGGGACCATGATTGCATCGTAAATGCATTTTGCCGTGTACAACTCACCTGCCAATGTGAACCATATCACTCGCCAAGTCTCGACCAGTCGATGTGCATCGCCAGTGAGTTCGCTAGAAAACAGACTTGAATTGATTCGCCGACAAGAAAAAAAATAATTCAAATTTTCAACGCTTTTTCTTATGTTTGTTTCTTTCCTAAATTTGTCAGATTGATTCTCATTTTCGCAATTAGACGAAATTAACGCGACGGTTTTAATTAAGTGCAACGGTTAACGCACGAATTGACATCGGATAGATATTCGTTTACTCACCGATATCCTTGCTTATCTTCTCTTCCAAGTGATAAGATGCTGCTTTTTTCGCATTTTTGCAGCTGTCGGACGGACATGCGCGAACGAAACGATGTGCGCATCGATAATGAATGGGGAGTGCAAGCAGGGTCTATGCGTCTGCAAGGATGATTTCCTCCTAGATATCACTAATTCTTCCAGATGCATGAGAAGTGAGTGATTGCGATTCCTCGTTGCTTCAGGACAACATAATTACAAATTGTCACAGACTTATCCCTCTCTCATATAATAAGTGTTACATAATTTATGATGCAATATTCTTCTGTATTGATCAGTCAAAAAGTACGGTTTTTTATTTTCTAGCTCTAAATCGGCCACCTTTTACAATAGAAACATTCGAGTAACTACGACATTGGTAAAGGATGAAAAACAACATTTATTAATCATTATATGAAACAATTTATTTTCATCGAACGTAATAAGATTAAATCAGTAATTGAAAAGTAGAACCTAATTTTTGACTGATCAAATGTAACATTTTGAAAAGCGACGCTTTATTTACCCGGTGAGTTGTTGATGAAATACTTCAGGGCCCGTTAACATCGGAGATCAGTGCCAATCGCAGGCGGCGTGTAAGGATAGTTTTGGCTTCGCCAGTTGCATCAACGAGAGGTGTGAATGTTTCTCGGGCTTTCATTACGTAAACGAGACAAAGACCTGTATTAAAAGCAGAGGTAAACAATACAATTAGCGATAGCAAGCGCTAGATGCGAGACAGTGAAAAATGACGAAAGGGGATGCTGATTGGAACGTACGTGCGTTTTCTGTATTTCAGGTTTATTCTTGTCTTGCTTGAATGACTACGAATGCTATTTGGACAAAAAGTCTACGGACGTCTTGGAGTGTAGGCAACACCAATGTATCTGTAAGGAAGGAGAGCAATGCTATTCTAAAGGTTAATCGCTTTTAATTGCATCGTTACCAGCTAATTCGGCGAAGCCGAAGTCGCTTACGAGTCGTTTGAGTTTTTTTGTCTCCTTTTGTAGGTTCGCTGATTACGGCCACCGGAACGCTTATGATGATCTCGTTTTTACTGCAGCAACGAATCGTTTAATAGCGATAAACAATAGAGGAAAATTGCTCCAATATACTTCCCGTTGAAATTTTCTTCGTTGTACGACATTTGAACGGCGCCATTATTCGAAATGCAAGATGGAAAATATGTCGGCCTTTGTGGCGCTTATGCTCACGAATTTTTTTTATACAACTAAATGAGCAACTTTATATACTTCTTTCATATTGTATTTGTATTTTTCATGAATGATGATACTCTATTTTCTAAACATAACGTTGAAATTCATCTTAACCTCTTCAAGAATATCGACGCATTTATGTAAATTTAGATACGATAAATTTTTCTTTTTTAATTTAGTTTCATTATCGAGTAATACTATAAATATTTGCCACAAAATTCTACAGGAAAAAGAGAAATCTTGTCATATATGAGATTTATATCATTTTAAAGTTAAGTCATTTTCTATTCTCATCTTGATAAATTCATTTCTGAAGAGGTTAAACGCAATTCTGCACAACGAATAAAAATTACTGAAGAGAATTTTCATAGCTATTCAAAATGTGACAGATTACTATTAATAATATTTAACAATATTTACAAACTTAACGTTCAAAGTGAAAGAGAGTAAAGTCTTACCACTTAAAAAATAAAAGTCCGTTTATCCGGAAGCCCATGAATCGTGCCACGATCTCGAATTGCGAAAGGAATGGTGGCGTCTCATAACGGAAAATTTCGAACTACGTTTTGAAAAGATGGAATCAAACAGCGAAATGAGTTTAAATTTCGGCTGCACGTCACGACAGCTCGATCGTAAGTTAGCTCGATAAGTTGTAGTTCGAGTCTCGACTAAAATCAACTTTTTAGTCGAGACTTGAACCACAATTCTTCACGGAGGAGCAACAAAAAAAAGAACAGTTAAATATGTTTTAAATATAGCATTGTATTTGTCCTTTATATGGACCAAATTATTTACGGTATTAATATTCTTTTGACTGTCCGATGCCTTTTCTTCATTATTCCATATCTGTTATTGTCTATGCCAGAGAGAAACCTTTCTTGAGTCGGGATGCGTCCCGAAAGTTATTAAAAACAAAGTGACAACTTTTAGGTCTATGACCGTTCATGAAGTCATGACATTCCTAAGAGGACGTTAGTGTACAGCGAGATTTCTCTACGTTAAATCTCGTAAGACTAACAGTCTTCATTAGTATTTTGTCGATGCTGTAACGTTGTTTGTTCATTCTATCCTCCTTCAACGAATGAGTTACGTCACGCGTCGATCGTTGGGTGTAGTTCGTTATAGTCGGAAATAGTGATGTCGAAGGGTGTTGTCTGTTCGTGATTGACATAAAAAAGAATATTTAAAGGAAAAATGTGGTTAAAGAGCTATGCAATATTAGTGTCACTGTGCATTTTCATGTTACATCAAATAAATGGTATTGCAGCATAGAATTTTGTGTTTTATCTTGCATTGTTCGTTATGCGATTATGTGTGCATTAGCGAATGATTTTTCTCTATAAAATAGATTCCAATGACTCTTAAAATATACAAAATTAATCAAATTTTTGTTTTTATTTCTTCGCCGTTTTTGTGTATATACAATTATAGTTTTTTATTTATAATAATTATTTGCTGTACTTGTATATTCTTGTGCTTTAGCTTGGTTATAATTTCTCTGTAAATGAATTCTTTTTCCACATAATCAAAATAAGTAAAATATTGTATGATAAATATTTCTAATAATTACTGTTAATTGTTAATAGGGGAATATTACAACAATACAATTGTATGGTGTACAGTCTCCGAAGCTGAACAGAACAAATGTGAAGCATTCTCTAAAGCAGTTGAACGTGAAAAGTCATTTTTCAACTATGACTACATGATTGTTCAATGCAAGCAAGCATTTAACAAGGATGAATGTATGACTATGTTGGACTATGAAAATGCACATATAACAACATTGGATGCTGGAGAGGTCTTCACAGGAGGGCGATATCACAGTCTTATACCCATAATGCAAGAGACATACGAAAATGGTGTAAAACACCAATATGCCGTCGCAGTAATTAAAGATGGTTCTTTGCCTGATGTACAGTATTTACATGACTTAAGAGGCAAGAAAGCCTGCTTTGCTGGTGTTGGCACATTGGCAGGCTGGGTCATCCCTATCAATACTGTAAGTATATGATATATATGTTTTATATAGTTATAATTTAAAAAAGAACACCTTGTATATGTATAATAAAACACACTATGTGTTTAGCTTATGAAACATGGAGGAATGGAAGTGATCGATTGTAACAATCATGTAAAGTCTACAATTAATTATTTTGGGCCTAGCTGTGCAGTGAATTCATTAGTTGACAAATATAATCCACTTGGTAAGAATGCAGAAAAAGTGATATAAATGCTGGATATAAATAATTTCATAGTTGTTATAATTTTTGAAAATTTCACAGGTGATAACTCTGACCAGTTATGCAAATTATGTATTGGGAAGGTACCAGGTGAAAAGTGCACTAGCCAAGATCCTTATGCAGGTTATGGAGGAGCTTTTCATTGTTTGGTTGAAGCAGGTGAAATTGGCTTCATGGTGCATACCACCGTGGAAGAAATGACATCAACCAGATTTGATTTTGGTATGTATACAATTATATACAATTTACTAATTCAAAATGTATACAATGTAATAATTCAAATCTTAAAATAGAGTTAATAGAACATAAGTATGTATTGATTGATTTTCATAAATATTTATAACTTTATAATACTATCAAAAAATACTTGTATTATTACATATATAATATATATTATTACTAGTTGATGTGAAGAAAGAACAGTTTAAATTACTGTGTAAGGATGGCACCCGTCGGTCTGTGGATGAATACAAAATCTGTAATTGGGGCACCGTGCCGTCCCGTGCGGTGGTCACGTCTTCCGCAACTAAATTTGAGATTCGTCGTCAGTACCAAAAATTTCTGAAGAGGGCAGTTCAGGTGCTGCACAGGAATAACATGTCGAATTATCCTGATAATCGTTTAGACAATCAAAGGGACTATGAGAATCGCTCGGGTTACAAATTTGGCGACAATAACTACAAGAACGGGGGTTTCGACTACCCCAACGAGTACAACACTGACAGCAGAAATCGTAATTACAGTACAGATTACACATCCACCGAGCAACCAGATGTACAGCCGATAGAAGTGTTCAATTTATTTGAATCGACCAAATATGGGCGTTATCATAACCTAATCTTTTCCGTAAGATCCGTGTTTCTCGTTTGTCGAATATGTTTACACATAACTCCATATTCATCTTTCATATAACATTCCGTCTTCTTTTCAGGATTCTGCTCTCAATTTCGAACAGATGTCTGAGAAAGATCAAACATACACAAGTTACTTAGGACGGTCTCTGGATCACATACTAGGAGTACGCCGCTGCTCCGTAAATCGAATGACAATGTGCGTTACGTCTGATCCAGAAATGGACAAATGCATAAAGATGAAGGTATATATACAACTCTGGCAATTGCACCCAAAAAGAACTATCAATGTCTTACGAGTCGTTTGATATGTATATTGATCATTGTTGCAGATAGCTTTGAAAGCTCAGTTGCTGAAACCAGAATTACTTTGTCATCGAGGCCACAGTCAAATAAACTGCATGCAGTCTATACAAAACGGGTACGTGTAAAAGATTTACTTATAAACGTTATTCACAGTCTGATTTTATATTTAAAATCGTTTTAAATTCATCTTAAGATGCTGTACGAGCCACTTCTTCAGCTACACTGTATCTTAAAATGAATTTCAAACGATCTAAAGTACAAGATGGAACTATAAATATCTATGTAATTTAAAATACCTCGATACAAGCATCCCAATGTGAAATTGTGTGAATCACACTGAATGAGTCACTTTTGTTCTACGACAGAATCGCGGATGTAGCTATGTTGGATGCCAGCGACGTCTACACCGCCGGACTGCGCTTCGAGTTGATCCCGTTCATATCCGAGGTTTACAATCTCGATACACCGGATTATTATGTCGTCGCCGTAGCCAAGGAGGAAGACGACAATACAGATCTGACTTATCTTAAGAACAAGTACACCTGTCACACCGGTATCAACATGGCTGCTGGCTGGGTTTATCCGCTAGCCTATCTTATTTCTAATCAATGGATAAGAGGATACGGTTGCGATTCCGTACGCGCTGCCGCCGAATATTTTTCCAAATCCTGTGTTCCAGGCGCACTCAGTACTGAGTACAACACAGGTAAATGATGCTGAAACAGACTCCTCTTATCACTGAGGGAAAGAAAGTAAAAGTGGCCACACAATTTTTACCGCTGTAATCTTCTATACCGCTATAAGCTTCTTTCATGTAAATTCTTTCCAATTGAAAGTTTCCATGTTCTATAATGCAAAAATAGACTATCAATGTTTATCATACCAAAAAAGAAATAAAATTTCTTTCTTTCTCTTTCGATATTTATTACAATTTTCAATATTTCATATTTTTCTTTTTCAAATATAAATGATGTGACAACACTGAATCTAAAACGAAAAGATGATAAATTAAAGTGGAATGTCGATATTCTTCGATTAGAAAATTCTATAACAATTATTATAAAATCTTTTGCACGCACAAGATCTGTTTCATTGAATAATTAATTACAGGAGTGCCTTACGATAACATGTGCGATCTGTGTCACGGAGCGAGCTATAGATACTGCCGCAGAGATGCTTCCGAGGATTATTTCGGCTACTCTGGTGCCTTCAGATGCTTAGTAGAGGGAGGCGGGGACGTGGCTTTCGTGAAGCACACGACGGTCGCAGAGAACACGGACGGCAAGCGTAAAGAGACCTGGGCGCGCAATACCTTCACGAAAGACTTCGAGTTGCTCTGTCCGGACGGTACGCGCCGTCCGACTGCGAGTTACGCGAGCTGCAACCTCGGCAAGGTCGCCGCCAACGCCATAGTCACGCGTGGTGGTTATTACGGCTATAACGAGACGCAAATCAACGCGTATATTAATCTCTTTATATACGCGCAACAGTTTTACGGCAGGAAGGAGCAGGACGAGTTCAGTTTCAGTATGTACTACAGCATGCCGCCATATAGTGACCTTATTTTCCAAGATGCCACCCAGCAGCTGGTGATCGTGCCACCGGAGAAACGACAGTACAGTGCATATCTCGGTCCGGACTTCATGAGGGCCCGAAGAATCGTGGATTGTAACGCGGGCGCGTCGGCGATCAGTTACTCGTTGTTCGTCACGATAGTTATGATCGCATTTACTTTCGTATATGGTAGATAAGTATCAACGTTACCAGCAGCTCTCTGCTTCTACGCGAATACTCGATTCGTGTTCTCGTCAACGTTTTCCAATAGATATTTTTTTTATTTTTAGTTTAAATATGCATAGAAATTAATCTAAACTTCAATATAGATTCAATTCTCAATTTTTGTATAAAAAATTTCCATATTACATTTATATAACATACTGAATTTACATTAAAGATTAATCAAAATATTTATAATAAAGTGATTTTAAAAAGGGAGTATTCTCGTGGTAATGACTCGAGGCTCAATATCATTGCGACATAAGTTATTGTTGATTTCATTGTGGAATTGTACACATAGGCATCGATCAGATAACATTTTACAAATGAATGGATATTTTGCATTTGTATAAAGACAGAGAAAAAGACGTGACAGTACAAATGACTGACAAGGTAGAATTAATATGAATTGTATGAATTTTAACGTCCGACCAATGGAGCCGCAATCTCTAAAATGTATCCGTCCAAATACGAGAAATTTACGAATCAAGTAATTTTAAGAATTATTGTATTTAATATACTTTAATATATATATATATATATACTTTATATGTATATTTTATACTGTCCACTAGTGTTACTATTGTAATAAATTTTTTTAACTTTATCAACACGTCTTGTTCGTCAAACTCGTTCGCTAAATTTACACTTGCGACATCATGATTACAACGCATTAGAGCTTTAGATTGACGCTTGATAATCGGCGAGATCGAGATTACAATTGAATAACGCGTAAGAAACAAATATCGTTTCGGCTCTTTCAAAAATTCACGTCCATCTCACGCTCGGATCAAAATTTCAAGTTAATTCTCTAATCACAATTAATAATTCACACAACTTCAATCGAAATTCAATCGACGTTGTAAAGTACGTTGAGATATCGCCACTAATTAATTTACTTTGCTGAACAGTAGGGAAGAGTGCAGTCCGCGACTGCGATATGAATGCTGATATTCCGTCAGCGAATACGTCGAAAAGCAAAAAAGTGGAGAATAAACCTAAGGTGCATCGTAATCCGGATGACTCTCAAGTAATGTCGTTATAATCGTCGTGTGACCGGGAGCACGACATTTGATTATGTAACCGTGTGTTATTCCAGAAGATTCGTAACGTGCCCGATCAAGCACAACTCGACAACTTAAATCAATCTCCCGAACAAGAGCCAAAATCGCGCATCAACTCAACGCAACCGGCCAACGTGTCGTCTTCGTCTACGAAAAATATTTATTCTGCAACAAGTTAAGTCTCGCGCGTATTGTCTCGTTTCAGTTTTTATCTACATGAATTGTAAATTTTATATCATCACGATATTATTATTCCGATGTTATATTATTTACGAATGAATAATGTAATGATCGTCTTGTTTCTTCGTCGGTTACTTTTTTATCGACCATTAAGTCATATCTTCTTATTTTCATTTATGCGTATCTAAATCAGTTATTAATATAACATTATCCACAACATAAAGAATATTCAAAAGTATCTATCTGTTTATTTGTTTGTTATTTTCGCTTTTCCATAGTCAGCTTAATTTCACGATTTGGACCTTTTGCTTTCCATATAATTGTATTTATATAGACCCAATACTTCTCCAGATAAGCACCAGCCACATAAATTGGTGGACAGCAAGCAATTGTCGAAACCGTTCAATCAATTTGACAAGAAGACATTCCTTCTCGATACTTACGCCCGTATCGTCGCTACCAATAACAGACGTTGCCCTAAACGACTGCGTGATCTTGCTAAGCCAAAGATTCAAGTTTGCAACGATCGAAATGAAGATTCTACAAATTTTGATTTAAAGTGGCACACGGGTAAAGCCAGCACAGCAAAAGCGAAACGCGGCTCAGGAAATTCGAAGATGAAATAGTTTCATTGACATCTTGGTTAATAGTTCAAACAATTCTCACGTACGATTTAACCAAATTTTCATTTGGATTCTGTGTGGAAGTATACAGGGTATTAAAAATGGAACAACAGAAAAATCACCTCCAAATTACCCAGAGAATTTACCCAGAGTAATAATGCTAATAATTTGCTAGTAATGGTAGAAATAAAATAACGTACAAAGTATTTTTATATCATTCGAGATTTTTATACAAAGTATTTTTATGCGTAATACCATTTCCCGTAATGAGAAGAATGTGACTTCTCATCATTACTTGACTCACTTAGTTTTTATACTATTTGATAAATGTACCAAGCAGGAAAGAAGACAAAATGTCATTACAACAAGCTATAATCGAGTTTGAAGTTATACAACTTCTGCGCAAGTTTACTAGGCTCTAATTCAAGTTCTACATTTCACTGAGACAACATCGGCGACTTAGGAAAGTAACGTCAAAGTTTTAAGTACAAAACTACCACTACGTGAAGAGAGAAGACAGGAATATTATGAAAGTTTCTAAAAAAATGCACACACATATACACATACACGTATAAAGACGCTTAAATCTTCGGGTCCGATAGTTGCAGCTTCACTAAAGGTTCGCTCAACTCCCACAGTTTCTTGCCTTTGGAGGGCTCCTTCACACCGTTCGATAATCTATGTTCCTAAAGTATAGTGTTTTGTATATAATATAAATTATTATATAGTATAGTATCCTAAATTACATTTATGTATTTATATCGTTTCTTATAGAGATTCTTAAACGAATATGACCAATCACATGATCACTAAGGTTTCTTTCTTCTCGGAAATCACGAAAGAGTAACATAAGTAAAAATGACTTACGGCACAATCCATGAAGTATTTTCCGGAGACGCCGTTTAGTTCCTCGGACACAGCGAGATGAATAGTCGTTTGTGCGCCTTGCTCGGGTGTCTTAAAGAAGGCTTTGATTATAAGAGTCAGGAACCAAGATAAGGGGGCAGGCACATTTCGCCAGATTCCGCTGTCTATCATTCCGGGATGCAGGCAGTTCGCAGTCACTCCGGTGCCTTCCAGCCGTCGCGCCAGTTCCAACGTGAAAACTATGTTCGCGTATTTTGACACGTAGTACAGATACGCTGGGAAAGTTGACGTAGGATTGATGTTGTTGAGATTTAAGCGCGCAATCCGATAGAGCTCTGATGCGACGACCACGATACGACTCGGTTTTGATCGTTTCAGTAAGTCTGCAAAAGAAAAAGAAACATTAAGAACGCTAAGAATAATGAGAGAATGAAAAAGTGCTAAATCATATTAAAGTCATATTAAATCATATATTAGTTTTCTTCTCAATGCTAATCATACCATTGTCCGAATAAAATGAAAATGGTTTTCATGTGATTACAATTACTTTATTTTGTAATTAAATTGTCATAAACATTGAATACTTTATTTTTAATGAATGAATGAGAGAGAGAGACAGAGAGAAACATTAAAATTTTATACTTTTCGCATTTTACATTTTAACATTTTTATACCATTTGGGTAAAACAATGAAAATGTTATAACTAAGACTTTAGAATAATTAGAATAATTAGATGATATTGCACTTTCATTTTCAGCATCAAATGAACTAGATTGCGTTAACGCGGAAACAACGAGTAGCATTGAATTCATCCATTTAAATTACAAGTGAGATGTAAAAAAACTGATTTATGCAAATGCATACATTGCAATGCAGTGCAATTATTTTGTCACGTGGAATTATGTTTTTGCATGTATCTATCACTGCATATTACGTCTTAACACTAATCGATGCATTCATTATGAATGGAACATGACGTAACATACATAACATGTCGCTATCTTATATTACGTTGATTCGGAAATTCCTCACAAATTATGAATATATAGTGACGCAAAGTATTTTTCAAAAGTAAACATGTTAACAAATAAAACATCTGTGGAAAAGTTTTCCTAATCAACCTAATATTCTGAACAAATTCATCTTATAGAGATTCTAATATATTTAAGCCAAAGAAAAAGTAAAAGTGGGAGAGAAAATCTGTAAGACCAAAACTGCTCGATTTCAGTTAGGTACTTTAAAAATTAACCATTTAAAAACAATTTTTATAATCATATTCCTGAATGTCTATATTATCTTTATATTAATAGCAACTTTCTTTTCATTCCACACAATGAATAACATTTAATATTATATTTGATTCTCTTTTAAATGTTGCAGAAACCATTTCAATTGGAAATACGATGTTTCTTACCGATTAAGAGATGAGTCAATAGAAAGGGCCCGAAGTGGTTGGTGCCCATAGTCATTTCTAATCCATCTTCCGTGAGCTTCTTCTGGAAAGTTTCTGCGGTGCCAGCGTTGTGAATCAAAACGTCTAATCTGGTCTCTTCTCGATTGATCTGCCGTGCAAACTCTCTGATCGATTGCAACGATGACAGATCCAATTTGTGAACCACGATATTGCTGTTGCTCGTTTCTTTCACAATTTCATCTGGACAGAAGAAAATGTATATCAAAGTGATGCTGAAGTGAATTCTATGCAAGTTTGGAAATATCCTGTGGTACGAAAACTTGTAGAACGCATGCACGTTGCTTTTATCAAACGCTTCTCCTAAGTCGATCTAAAAGTGATCGAGAAGTGACGTTTGAAAAGATCATGTAAGTTGTAAGATTTCAATCTCATTTTTGCTGAAGCAAACTTCAATATTTATATCGTATCTTATAGCATTAAAAATGTATTTATAAAAATGCTAGTGCTTCTCAAGAAATCATGTAATTTGCATATGTTTATAAAAACTTTACTATGGAAATAGGATATAAAACTCCGGAACAAGTTACGATTATGTACGCAATTATTAGTATTCACAATTATTAGTATTATGTGATTCCACGTAACACAATGTTTTGAGTGCTTCATTAGTAATTCGCAAATATGTAAGAAGAACGGTATAATAATAAAATATATATTACGGACACGCGTATTCGGCCATAATACTAAAATTAAAATCGTCATATTAGAGGCAAGACCTTTCAGCTGATTAGCGTTGTCCGTGTTTCTACATGCCATGATGACCTTCGCACCTCTCTTGGCAAGGTTCCTGGCGGTCTCTTTGCCAATTCCAGAAGTGCATCCAGTAATTATTACCGTTTTTCCGTCCATCCGGTTTTTGCTCTTACAGACTCCTCGGGTGAAGCAATTGTAAAAATAGAGACCTACCAACAGCAGAACCGCACCTCCCAACGCGACAGTCGCGGCTAAGCAAAGCAACTTTGTGCAAGAGATGACGTACAATATCATGTTACCTGTAAGCGAAGTAGATTAGCGAAATAAATTAACGTAACGTGTTAAAGCTCAACGTCTTTAGACGTTAATTGTGAATCTGTATCATCTTCCGCAGGAGAATGCAGCGTATGAAGAAAAAGAAGATGCATCTCCTGACTTGAAATTAATTGCAATTTATTTTGAAATTGATGAAATTAACAAAACAATGACGAAATATCATGAATGAAGAGAAAAAGACGGAGAGAGAAAGAATTGTTGAAAATTGATTCGTCAACAAGTGAACCGTGTTGTTTTATTTGCCGCGTTAGCGCTGCGGAAAGGAGGATACCGGTTTCTCGGGGATCTCTCTGCCGATGCGTCTTCACACTTTTGCCATTTTCTAACACGGCAGGGAGAACGCGAAAGTGTGACGTCCGATTCATGAGGGTCGTTGACCATACGCGCCGTTCGTCGTCAGTAACGTTCGCGTTATTCCGCGTTCGCGCGGGGTCAAATTGCAAGTTACAAAAACAGTTTTATCCTCAATGACACGATGTAGAGAAACAGGTTTTCGGGAGTGATGATATTTCTTTAATAAAAAAGAAAAAGAAAAAACCCCGCTACTTAACTTGTCGTCTCCCAACTAATTATTCCCAACTAATTTAAAGTTAACTCGTCAATTTGTAGATAAATATCGACTATTACATCGAAATTACATCGATGTTATCGCGCCGACGCGTCAATGTCAGTCGATCAAACCGGTTTTCTTCGCAAAAATTTCGTTAATGTGATCTCAACGCAAGAGGCTCCGTATATCTCTATTTCACACAGAACACTCGATCAAGTGTCGGAAGAACATCTGAGAAAATTAAACAAGCTTACTGCGCGCACTGTACAGCAGAACTGTCTCTAACAATCACTTGCTGAACTTATAATGCCGAAAGCGGCTCACTCGAGTTGAACTCACTCGACTTCCCCCTCGTGAAACTTCTTCTCCCACTTTCTGGTCCTGTTTGTCAGGCCATCTTGGTGGTCGTGACTCGTAGTATTCCTCCGGACCATCTCATTCGATTTTTACAGAAGCAGCTCTGCTGCAGGTGGCACTTACTTGCAGTATATTCTTATGATCTTGTCCTGTCGCTTTGATTAACTATTTAGCTATTTGAAGCGAAGTGAAAAGAGAATAGATCTGTCGCTGTATGCGTTTCTTGTTCAAATGGGTGTCTCTCGGCTAAATGTGCCGCAAGTAACGGTAAACTGTGGAAGACGTTAATGGAATTCGCGTAATTATACTTACACGCACCGCACCAAGAGCTGCATTTCTTTATCGATGTTTCGCACGCTATTATTTAAGATCCGAGAATTGAACAGCTACTAATGCTATTCTTCGAAGTCTGCGGTATAAAGTAGCCAGAAAAAAATCTATATCCCCACCTTCTGCAAAGATGAAGAAATAGCCTTGAATTGACGTACAACACAATCGATTGGAGTATCCTTGGCTAACAATAAGTGTAAACTGATTACTAGTTTTCTTCTTTGCGTTTCTGCGGTTGTGCCGCAGCGTAGCTTAAAAACATTTGCGGAATACTGTTTTAAATATTTACATACAACTAAATATAATTAAATATTTACATACAACTAAATATATTTCAACCAAGAACCAAAATCTTCTTTCTCAAAAAATCACGATACGATAAACTTCTGTTCCATTAAAAATTAGAAATTTTGTTAAACTAGCATATATCTATTAGCTGTTTATTTATTTAGAAAACGACCGACTTACCGATTTACCGATTTACCGATTATTTGAAGTATGCATCTCAAATTTTATTACTGATATATCATTTTCACGTGTCTTAATTTGAACTAAAAAAAATCGTTTGTTGACTATGAAATAGTAAGCAGTAAACTGACACGATAAATGTAAATTTTTCATTTTCAACTTCTTAACATATAATAGCTGAGATATCTTGTAGTGAGTATCTTCCATTTCAAAAGTAAGTTTCTCAAGAGAGTAGAAGAGAGAATATTGTTAACATCACATATGTATTTCTAATTCGCTTTAGTCTCGTAAAAATTGTGTGATCGCGAACGTAATTTTATTTGAACGCCGTCGTTAGGTTGCAATTTCATAGTCGGACAATTCGTTTCGACTGCGTTCTGCAAAATCTGCGCAGTCAGACTAGAGATACGCAAATCTTTGAGCTTCATTGAACTTTCCAGGTAAGCGATCTTGTGATTTAGGGTGCGTATTATCTCTTCCTTCTCGCGCAATTCTCTCTTCATTTTTTCGTAAATCGCGAGTGGCACAGTCTCGTCGTTTTTACGTTGCTGGATTGCAATATCCACAAAGACGTTTCCTTTCGAAAATGCGTTTGAAAGTCTATCAATTTCTATCAATAGTGCATGCAAATCAGCTGATTAATACATCAAATATACTCACGAGGATGTTTGCCAAAATAGAAAAGTCTGCAGAAGCTGAAGATATTCCAGAAAAAGAGAGAAGTGATCCAATGAAAAACTGTGGAAATCCCTCGTCTGAAACATCCTACTTTTGGAGTTAGATTAGATTGGTATATTTCATTATTAGTCTTGGCCTTTGAGTTCTCCTCTAACAAATTAGGTTGTCCATTGTGCGGCAAATTAACTATAATTTTTTCCTCTATAGAAATATAATTTCTTTAATAGCAAATAATAGACATTGTCTAAACATCAATAAGTAAACTTAATTACTTGATAGCTGTGCTTCAGTGCTTTCTATATTATGCTTCATAAGTCTTTCCTTATGTAACTTTTCGTCATCCTTCAAGATCTTTGCTCTTAGCTCTAATAATAGCTTTTCAATAGTGCCTTGAGATCCACTCGCTAAGTGATAGATTGTCTTTTTGTTTAATTTCATGTCGATCTTCACAAGAACTTTGCGGTTCAAGGTGTTCCAGTTTTCAATCTTCATATTCAAGTTATTCACCGGAATATAATTATGTAATTCGACGTATCGCGGATAATACAGTTTCAAGATCTCCGCTACGAGAACTGTTGCGGAAATATGATTTGATGCGTCGATAAAGCAAAACATGGAGAATATATGATCTCAATGAGGTCTAATGAATAATGAATAATGAAAGTGTAATGAATAATATATGATGTCACCTGCATCCGAGAAATCCTTTGTCAGATTTTTTGTAGGTTTTGAGAAGGGAATAGAATCGACCCATGCAATGAGCTCCGTGTTCATCTGATTTTGCGCGTCGCCGACCATTTTTCTTTCTTTCTTACTTATTAATGACTGTTGGTCATGCCTATCAAACCTGATTTTTCCTCACGTTCCGATACAGCGAGTGGATAATGAAATTCGATATATTCGTCATATCACGTTGTCATTTGATTTCTGTTGTAAAGATAAATATAAATGAAAGATAAGTAAAGATAAATGCGTCATCCAAATATGTGAAATGCGACACACAAGAGACAAGCGTGAAGTCTTCCTTTATTTCAAAACAGATCTGAAGATAGCCGATAAATCGGCAAATCTCAAGACGATTTGAATTTCACAGCGGACGCCATGTTTCGATATTAGGCACGCCATTGGTCGATTTGTCGGTGAGGCGCAAGCACTTGTCTCCTAGCTGTGTTCCGAGATTCACTGCCGGTACGAAAATTCTATAGTTTATGTCACGTATACTATTGATATTCAGTGGCAGTAAATAAACTGAATGGTGTATGGTTCTAGAAAATATTATAAAATCCAGGGACATTTCTCACGCGAGCATAGCGCACTGTCAGACACTGTTGCCAAACATCACGATATTTGCAGTGTTCATGCCACTACTTGTACTGTTGCAAAGTAATTGTCATGGCTTCGGAACGATACAGTTTTTCGTTGACGACTTTTAGGTAAATACGTTTACAATTGTGAAATTAATCAGACAAAAATGGTTCTGATCGATATAAGTGTCTCGCATCTGCCAAAAAATGGAAGTCTGTGAAAAATCTAATGATGTCTTAACCTTTAAATTGGACTCGTTCAGCATTCCTAATCACAATGAAAATCTTCAACAAATTAATATTATTTAATTGATGTTACCGTTTTGTTGACAAGTGCATAAATAATTACAAGTATAATAATTTATTTGAAAGATACATAATGTCGGGTGACACTTATGATAGAATGACTCGTCAAATTCTGTACAGTGTGAGCGTGTTCAGTCGAAAAATAGAAGAAAGATATCAAGAATGAAATAATAAAATTATGTTTTGCAGTCCGTCGGGCAAATTGGTGCAGATAGAATATGCCTTGGCAGCAGTGGCAGCTGGTGCACCAAGCGTAGGTATCAAGGCACTGAACGGCGTTGTCCTTGCCACTGAAAACAAGCACAAGTCCATTCTTTATGATGAGCATAGCGTCAGTAAAGTTGAAATGATCACCAAGCATATTGGCATGGTCTATAGTGGTATGGGTCCAGATTATAGATTATTAGTAAAACAAGCTAGGAAGATGGCACAACAGTATCTCTTGGTCTATCGGGAGCCTATTCCTACTGCCCAACTTGTACAACGAGTTGCAATGGTTATGCAAGAATATACACAATCTGGGTAAGTAATAATTCAGTTTGGTGCAGCATTGTGTTTTCTTTCCAATTGTGTTATATCATATTTTAAGTACATAAATGTATGAGTCTGTATTTGTTAAAAGAAGTAAACTGAGAAATATAAATATAGAACTTTGGGAATAAATCTACAAAAAACACAGTTCCAATTTGGCTCCAAAACCAGCAGAATCAGTGAAATTAAAATTAACTTAAAATCATTTTCAAATTCTTACAGAGGTGTCAGACCTTTTGGAGTATCTCTTCTGATCTGTGGTTGGGATAATGATAGACCTTATTTATTCCAATGTGATCCTTCTGGCACATACTTTGCGTGGAAGGCAACTGCTATGGGTAAAAATTTTATCAATGGCAAAACATTCCTCGAAAAGAGATATAGTGAAGATCTGGAATTGGATGATGCTGTTCACACTGCTATTCTGACATTGAAAGAAGGTTTTGAAGGCCAGATGACTGCAGATAATATCGAAGTTGGCATTTGCGACGCGAATGGTTTTAGAAAATTAGATCCCTCCAATGTCAAAGATTATCTTGCCAATATTCCTTAAGCTTAAATTTCTTAATGTATTGTCGGCATGTAACTTCGTAATTGATTAATATCTTGATAAATATGAAGCAAGTGTCTTGTAATAAATACTTTTGTTCAAAGTAAAACAATGATGGGATACTTTCTTTTGGTTACAAAATATTTAGGTGTGTATTTTATTCAAACAAGATATATTAAAATCATGATTCCTATAGATTAATACTTATTGATGTTTGCATGAATCAGTTATTAAATTAGAATCATTGCCCATCACTCCATTCGGCATTTCTGGCACTAATTTGTATGTGAAATTCGTCTTCAATGGATAAAAAATGCAATTTGTATCGTATAATAATCTAAAAATTTAGCTCTTTATTATAAGATGATATAGAAATGCTGTGGTGCCAAATTTCATCGAATGCAGTAAATATTTTAAACGATATTTCAGCAGTATTAAATAAAATCTATATTTACATTCTGTATTCATATTCTGTTGTATATTCTATTATACATTTCTGTATTGTACATTTCTGTATTACATTCTATATTTACATTCTGTATTTCAAAAATAAAATTAATACATATAGAGAGATTTGGAAAAAAGAAAGAGAAAGATTACAAGTAACATGAAAAATGCAGTTAAGAAGAATAAATTTTGTTTAAATATAATAATCAAGGTGTACAATCATGAGCAGTTAGCATTTTCTGACGATATCGTTTGTTCCATTGCGTATATAACAACAAATAAGTAAATCATAGTCGCCATCTGGCGGCACTACCTTCAATTATCGATGGTCCACAATCAAAAATCGCAATTGCGGCAACGTTCATTTGCTCAGCAGCTCGCGACGCAGCTAGTAGATTCAAGAAGCAGCTCATCAGTATCTCGTAGTTTTAGTTCACTGATGGTGAGTTTTGCTCATGATTTATCTCAGCCAAGAATGTGAAAATTAGCCTCACACGTTTATTATGACAAATCATTATAAAACCGTCGTTAAAAGCGTGTATCTCGCGAGCTGAAAATGTCGAATGAGACGTTGCGTCCTCGCGTCGTCGCGTTGTAAAAGTCTGGAATTAAATCTGAGTCTCATTTTTTTTTTCGATGAGCGGGAATCTGGGGCGTGAATCGTCGTCGAGACTCTAAAAAGTAAATTCTGTACATTTGCTCTGGTAAAATATCATTAAATCGTCAAAAGTGGATTATCTGAACAATCTGGCAGGATGGTTCGTTCGAAGTTTCAAGTGAATTGTCGGGCGCTTCACTTGACGCTCCGAGTGCTTCAAGCGTTACCATTTCAACGGTCAATTCCGGGGCGAATTCGCGGGCCGACAATTCGGATTTCACGGTAGCTTCGTATTTCTCGCGATTTCGACCTACCCAGAGCGAGTTTCGCGCCGATACTATCGTCTCGAGTGGCGAAAATAGGTTCCGCGGGTGCGTGTTATGATAAAATATTCGCCGGAGTGTTGCCGAAACGAAGGAATCGAGGTTGGGAATATCCGAACAAAGCATCGCGCGTCCGTTGGGTTAGGGTAGTCGGCAGACTCGAATTTTACGTTTTTGACCGGAGTCTAACGACAGGAATACACGTGGGGAATGTCGAAAGTGAGTATCGCGCGAAACATTACGAAAGAATCGGCAAAATAGCGTGTCTTGCGGAACAGGTTATCGGCAGTACCGCGTGAAGTTGGCGCGTTCGCCAGTTCGAGAATCGCAATCGTTGCAACATGGACGCTCGCGATATATATATCACGGGGCGAATCGTCGAATCTTCCACTCGCCGCGAAGGAGAGACATATGCGCGCGCGAATCGTCGTCGGGATAGTGTCGAAAGCAAGTATCGCGCGTCTCTCTCGCAACGGAACGTCGCGAAATAGCCGACGAAGGTAAGCATCTCGCGAAACTGCCCGTCGGCTGTGCCGAGCAAAGTGTTGTGCGTTTGTCGCGTCATGCCAGTTCGAAGTTTACGCGTCTTCCACGTATCCTCGACTCGTAGAAGAGGATCACTTCCTGAATATGAATCATCGTCGTCGAGAGTAGCCAGCGGCATTTCACCTTCGTCGCAGTGATAGCAATTTGGTTTTGCGAATCGCCGCGCGAATCCATGCTTTCGACTCATCTTGCAGAGAAAAAAGAGCCGGTAAGTAAGCAGATGGTAAAGGAAAACCGCGATAAATAAAGTGCGCATTGGTCATACAAAGGAAGCTTTTGTCATTTTGTTATTCACACGGACGACAATCGTTGCGATTGTCCAATATATCGGGAGTGATTTACCGATGAAATGAGATCTATAATGAATATTTTCTATTTAATAGCACAATTTGGCAGAAGCATAATCTCGAAAGATATTCATAATTTGGTTTTGTATTAAAATTGGTCAAAGTTTGATTGGTTATCTGAAGCTGAATTTAAGACACTCTTGTGAATATGATACTCGATTACGAATACCGAATCTTTTCTCTTTACTTCGTATTCGATGAATTAGCAAAGTAGAATAATGCTTTTGTCGCGGCCGGTGTCACTGAATGGAAAGAGCCCTCGATATCGAGAATCTCGCGAAAGTTCATGCGACCGCCAATATCTCTGAACTCGCGGGATCGACTTTATCATAATTCATCCATTATCCGAACGTGCGTTCTCGCGGGCATGCAGTCGCATGCCCGGCGTGCGCATCGATCACATATTTCCTGATAATAAAAGCCTCCGTTTCCTCGCGATTCGCGCGGATGATAACATCGTGATATCGTGCCGACGGCGACGCCAGGCAGGACGCACGCCGCCACCTCCCGCAGTTGCCGACCTCGGCCAGCCGAGACCGCCACGAGGATGCGGGCGTATCGATCGAGCACGGGCCGTGCAAGAGCAGCGCGACGGCACACAATCAGGCGCGATATCGTGCGCGAATGCCAAGATGCTGCTGCCTTCGCACGGCTTTTGCAGTTGGTGCGCGGCTGGCCTACCGGCTTGTCTCAGATTGCTCGTCGCGTTGCCTCGCGCTGTCACGCCATGCGCTATGCCGTCGCTCTCATAGTGATTGTTTAGTTGTCGTCGACCTCCTCGACAGGTGTGCGCGCGCCTTGCCTCGAGAAGAGAATCCCCGTCGACGAATGTCCCCCAGGTAAGGCCGACCACGACCATTCCCTCGCAGGTCCGTTCGTTTCGATGCTCTTCTCTCTCTCTCTCTCTCTCTCTCTCTCCCCCTTTCTCTCTCTCTCTCTCTCTCTCTCTCTCTCTCTCTCTCTCCCTCTCTCCCTCCCTCCCTCTCTTTCTCTCGAACTCTCACTCACTCGCTCGCTCGCTCACTCGCACTCTCCGCGTTTCAAATGAAATCGATGGTCGGGCTCGGGGTCTCGCAGTCAATCGGAGGGTGCGAGAGAAGGAAGGAACGAGGCGTAGGAGGTGTAACCGAGACGAACAGGGTTTAATTACCAGCACGCGATCGCGGAACTTATCGGAACGACCGGATTCGGCCGATCTACCAGTTATCCGCGTTATGACAGACGTTGCTCCGCGACGATGCTCAAGCCGGTCGACTTATTAAGCGCGGTTCAGCGAGCGCTCGCAGGTTTTTCAGCCAGTGGAATCATTGCGGAAGCGGATCGGCGTTAGAGCCCCTCTTATCGCGCCGCAGAATCTCTTCCTGCACGTTTAACACCGCGTGATCGCGGAGGTAAAGAGTTCATTCTCAGCGTAGAGACGCACGTCGTTACGTCGATCGATTTGTACTTATTACGCGCTTCTGCATCTCGCGCTCAAGATATCACGTCCCGGCGTGTACTGGGGCGTTAATTAGGAAAGTGCTTAACGCGTTGCTGCGAGTTGCACTCCGATGCACAATGCAAATTAATTAACCTTGGGTTAGCGAGTGTGCCTGCTTTACTTTATGTTATAATTCTGCGCGAGCGAACGCATACACACACACACACACACACACACACGGAGTAGAGAAAAAGAATTGTTATTCAGGTTAATTAACTCGATCACATCGAGTGTCGGATAATGGATGAATTTAACAATACTCGGAGCTGATCAACAGTTAGTTAACGGACGAGCCGACTAATCTTTCGTTCGCGCAGCTCGTTAATTAACGAACAATCGCGCCTTAATCGTCTTTGAATGGCGAACGGGCGTTCGACGATCAGCGGGCGCGATTTTGTTCAGATTGGCGGCCATTGCGGCGGCATCGGCACAAGAGAGGAGGACGTGCGCGATTTGTTTACGCGCGGTTTCACTTCTCTCGAATTTCTCGTCGTCGTCACCTCGTGCGAAATATCGCGCTGCATCAAACGCGCGCAAATCGCAAATCGCAAATCGCACGGCGGCGGCAGCGGCGATAGCAGCGGCGATCGATGCGTCCCAATTCTGAGCGTGCCGCAAATTTCGATCGCCGATACTATCCGAAATACGCAGCGGCATGGCCGATGCTCTCCGTTTTGGGGTATGCCGGCACTTCGTGCGCGATCCGCTTCGTCTTTACGAAGTTTAACGCCAGAGAGGCGGAAAGTATCGGAGCTGATATACCCGGCGGTCCGTAAACCCGCGATTTTACTCGGCCATATCGCGGGCATGCTCATATGCTTTCCTTACTTTAAATCAGTCAAAAAAGCAGCGAAAAAAAATTATTTTCTCAGGCCCTTCGGGAGCACCGTGTCACAAAATATATTTGAAACGTTTTATGCAATAAAAGTATATAAGCAATGAGCGATAATATAACGTCCAAGTATAATAATCTTACGAGAAATTCAGGAATATTGGAATAAACGCGAGGAAACTCGAGAGGAATTTTTGCTTGTACATACTTTCGATGAAAATCAATTTCTTGAGTCTTTGCACATCTAGTCGAGAGAGAGAGAGAGAGAGAGAGAGAGAGAGAGAGAGAGAGAGAGAGAGAGAGAGAGAGAGAGAGAGAGAGAGAGAAGCACATGCAGAAAGAATTATTGGTGTATTCGTTTCTCGCGACGATGCTCTTAGATAGATAATCCGCTTTCGTCCCACGGTGTGATTGTTTCCTTGCCTACTATTATTTTTACACTGTCTTATCTTTACGCGATTTGCTATCTCTCACTATCCACTCGACGTAACTGGATTTCGACATTTGTATTATTATTTGTAACGCGTTCTCGCATACCCCTAACGTGTATACTCGGAATTTCTCCTTGGT